CTGCTTTTTAATGGTGAAATTTTTGACAAGCAAAAGTACACCTAAGATTTGGCACAAAATTGAATTAATTTATTTACCCTAAATGCAGTCTGATTAAGCTCTAACTTTTTAATGAAAATAAAGTGAACAAATTACATGCAAAAGAAATTAAGTCAATCTAAATTTGATGGTACTCATGACAGAACCTTGATGTACTCATTAAAGAGTTCATAAACAATATACAATTAAAATTTTATCATAACGGCTTGTTTTTTTACTATCACTTGGTACATTTAAGCAGCACAATCAAAAAAATAAAATTATTAAAGGCTTCGTAATATAAAACAAATTGTAGACATTGAATAGACCACATGCAATTTTATTGCAAATAGAATACTTTACTTAATTAATATAAGTAAAAGAACTATCATTAATGTAAAATGGTCAACAAGCATGATAATGATTTAAATATGTGCAATATTTGGGGACGTACATAAAGTGTATCTTTTGTATCTACATGCAAGTAATCTTAAAAGATTCGCACCAGGAACCAAGAATTGAAAGGCTCTCACAACTGGACTAAAGTCTGTAGGTATAATCATAATTGGATCATTTGTTTAACTTTTCACTTTGGTTTAGTGATCACTTAAGGCTTTGTCTTTGTATTCTCGCTAAGCATCATGGCCTCCGGACAAGCCAACAGTCCTCTAACCCTTCTGCACGTCGGAAATATATATTTGGCCCTAGAAATGAATTCCGAGCCATTCTTGAAGAGAAAAGAAGACAACATTGGCAAAAGCAGATAGCAGACCCATTCCTAAAGGATTATTATCTTGATTTCCACTTTTAAATGCTAAAACTTCACGTAACGGAAGAAGAACAATGTGATACTGATGGGAAAATCTGTGACTGTCCTTTACAGAAGGCTTGGAAATGACGTCAACCCAATCTATACCTCACTCTCGTGGTCTCCAGAAATGTCGTTTGTAACTGAGGAGACACACTAGCCATGTACCACCCGGAAATGTTTCTTACGGAACTATTCACCATATCTGTATGGGGATTTTAACTAATCGAACATGCGATACCTCCTCCACCTTTCTACCGCTGGGATGGAACCGAGGTACATATGATTGGGAAGCGTTGAAGTGGAAACAAATTTGCAAGAGGAAATAAAGGAGAAGCCTTATTCCCGTAAAACTACTTTAGATCCCGTCAATTAATAAACAACTCAGTTTTTTGGGCCAGTGTTTGTACGACCAACGATGGATAATCCTAATAACCAGCGTAATTTCTCTTTCCCCAATGCACTTTCCATACAGGGCAAAACCCCAGGTCCAGCAGGATTTAAGAGATCAGTGATATTACAGTCGGTTGGCTCCTTAGTCGCACGCAAATTCGATGACTCGCGCGGTTGGTCGTTGGATGCTTTTCCTTAATGCACCGACTGCGTTGAGATGTCCGATACGAAGGGTTGACAAAGGGGGAACGTTGAGGACGAAGCTCGAAAGAAAAGAGGAGCAATGTAACACTTTATTTGTTTAACTCCTCGTTTTGGTTTCAAGGACACTTTAGGCTCTGCCTTTGTACTTCTATTGGGCGGCGTGGTCCCCGTGTCATGCCAGTCGCCCCTTGACTCTTGTGGGCCGGCAACATGTGCTATGCCATAGTGTTGTCTTCTCTCAACTCCAGGGAAGTCTTGGGGTGCTACAAGCATTTCATTCATTTTCTACTTAAGAACATCTGTTTCATAAAGTTCATTTTTGGGGACAGCTACATTTTGATTCCAGATAAAACACGGACATTATATTCATTCCCTTTGGCGCCCCAAGACTTCCCTGAAGACGAGAGAAGACAACAGTTAGGCAGAATTTGTATTGTCAATCTACGAAGGACTTGGGAGCTACTGGCATAACCCAGAGGCCAGGCTGGTAGGTAAATGTACAATGACGGAGTCTCTAATTGTTTTGTTACCGAAACCGACAGCCAAATAAACAAATAAAGTATTGTATAGCCTCCTCTCTACTCGTGACCTTTGTCCCTGGTCCTCTTCTTAGTCAACTCCCCCTGCCGTCCGGCGCAGCGTAGTCGGTGATGTAATCGAAACACCGGTGATTCAACCGTGAAACTGAGACGGTATCTGCATGCAACGTCACTGATCCCTCTTGGCAATTTAACTGTGACTAGAGCTTCATTTTGCTTTGGTAACTGCATTAAGGGAAGGGGGAATATGCTGGTTATCAGGTATGTTCATCGCTAGTCGTAGGAACACTGGCCTAAAGGCAAAGTCATTTGATGGAGGATGGGGTCTAATAGTAGTTTCGCGGAGATAAGGTTTTGCGTCCATTCCTCCTTGCTAATTTGTTCTCGCATATCTCACATATCTGCCTAAGTTATATCCAACTGGTAGAGAGGTAGAGGAGGTATCGTGTGTTGGGCTAGTTGACATCTTTTTACAGGCACGGTGGGTAGCTTCGTAAGGCACACATTTGGATGGTTCATGGCTGGTATGTCGCTTCAATTGTAAATAGCATTTCTGAAGAACACGGACTAGGGTAGTTGCCGAAGGTTGACGTCATTTTTAAGCCTTCTGTAAGAAGTCGTCACGGATCCTCCCGTCCGCAACCTATGCGCTTCTTCCATTATGCTCACTCAACAGTAGAAATTCCAAAAGCTGTCCTTAATGTCGGGTTTACCTTCCGCCGCCATCATCGTAGAACCCCGAGACTTCCACAAAGAAGAAAGAAGGCATAATACTCGGGCAGACTACACATTGTGGACCCGTGAGAGGACTAAAGGCTACTGGCATGGTCCAAAGTCAGTGTTACAGTACCCACAGAAATAAGTAATTGGAAACGTTTAGTTTTGATATGGTGTCAAAGTCTTTAAGGACCATTTACGGTCCACTTTTACGTTATGTTAATTTTTGGTAACTATATATATCCCGTCACTATAATTTTTCTGAAACTAAATAATCTCTTGTCGCTCTTGATCCCTATTTATTGTTTCTAAAACCAGATATGCTCCATTAAATGTGAAGGACATTATGTACTAAGTGAAGCATAAATATACCCCAAAACCTTAGCATAAAAAAGAGGTCATTTTATTGAGAATTTTCGTGTCTACTGAGCCGCTGGGGGATACAAAGTAATCTATTTTTCAGATGAAAGTATTCTTTTATAAAAACCATCTTTACGTTTTACTAAAAGCAGAAATGATGGAAACCTTCTTATCCAAGTATGATGGCTTGTGTCGGTGCCATCAAACAATGACTATCATTTTCGGCTTTTGAGCACAAAACAGACAATTAACATTCTGACCATTGGAAAAAGCCATCACAATTTGAAGGGATTTATCTCATACCTAGAGGAGGTGTTTCGGGATTTTATATTAAGCATGCAGAACCCCACCGTCGTTTGATGGGTGAAAAAAAACTTACAATATTGGTCAGGCTTGGGGTCATCCTCAAAGAAGTGATAGGACATACCGGAACTGGTGTCTTGAACTCATGATTCCACAACGGCGACCGCATTGCATGGGTCAGAGAATCTGTATGGACACTGGTACGACTCAAACTGATGTCATCCTCTCAAGATAAATGTAGGAAGTTTTTTTCTTAACAATTAAATCTCCTTCTACAGTGTTTTTTTTTTGGGCAAAGAGGAAACATGAATGTGAGTTCTTAAACAATCTAATTATTTTAGTTTTATGAACAAAAATACAGCTAGCTTTGAATAGTTGCCAGGACATTGGACAAAGTAGAGGTAATAAGATGAGGTCTCTATATGAACTACATACATTAACAACTTTATCTCTGGCCACCGGTTTTTCAAGTGAACCCCAATTTTCTTCATACTTCGTGCATTTTATGTGTTTTATATCCGTGATACCCACTCAACCGAAGAATGCAATTACAACAGACATAAAAAGAGGGCTCTACAATTCAGCCAAAGAATTCAAAAAAAGCATCTTTTAAGTGTTTTTACAAATACATAGATAAATAGATGTGTCCTATTAGGATATTTTGCACTTGCGAACGTCTAAGAACATAAATGAGTTCCTAGCCCTAAAGTCTTTTACTATTTGTAATGGAACAAATGACTATCATGGCGATATGTAGTGAAATTGGATTAGGTTAGATTATCATGTGAAAACTCATGAAACACTAGCGCCTTGAAAAAGCCAGTTCTTTTTCCCCACCGGATTGGACGAACCAATGAGCTAGCGGAATCGTCGCCTTCGGATTCACCAATCGCACTGCTCCAAGAATTAATCCCCGGGCATGAAAAAGCACAAGGGCTTCCAGGGCGTAAACAAAAGTAGTTAAGATGCTGATTTTGTTTATCTGTTGCTCATGGGTCACAGTTTCCTTATGTGACGCGGAAATATTCTACTCAGAGGGTCACATTTGCCGAAATAACACGGCCTGTAAGCGTAACCTCCCCTGTCAACTTTTCGACAATGTAACCTGCATCCTGGATCCTCGTGAAGACTGTCGACCCCGATTTATTTCTGCTATTGATGACTCCGAAGTCACTTGCGGTGAAAGTGAGTTTGGTCCTTGTGCTAAATGTCTTTGGATTAGTTGGAAAAAACCAAGAACTACCTAATGTACTTAATCTCTACCCATCATTTTAGTATAATTAAAGTAAAAAGCAACGGATTTATACTAGTCAAAGCCCATTACGTCCAAATTAGACTTGGTGTTATTTCTCATTAAAATAAGGCCTCGTATATTCATACTGTAGAGAATACTTCCTCATAAGAGCTTAGTGGTAGCCGAGGCAAAGGACCATTAAAGTAGCCATAGAGATGTTAATACTTTATAGCCATTTAACGTGCTATCCACAATTCCTCGTATTCTTTCTGTGCTGAAGATCACAAACCACCGCTCGACCATTCAACAACCAGCAATTTAATTTGATCCAAGTAACAAACCTACAACTGAATCACCCATTTTGCGATAGCTACACCGATAGCTACACTACTTATCAAAACGTTTTACAAGAACCTCATTATTAATGAAACAATGCTCATTTTTAAATAAATACAATTATATGAGGTCTTTCGCATATGCCTATTGCCCACCACTCAAAGGAAATTTGCATACTGAGAAGGCAAGCACTGACATAATTAATTGGGATATGGTTTAGCAAGTTGGGACTGCACAACTCCTTCAACATTTTACAACAAATGGATTTTCTAGATAGTTATATTACATTCCCAAATACATAAAAGTAAAGAAAAATTCTTAAAATACGACAATTTTGCTTTATGTAAAGGCCTGAGGTAGAGTAATTCACATCATATTAAATTCTGTTGACAATTAGCGCACCACTGAAAGTGGGAAAAAAGTGGAGGCGCGTTTTCTTACAACCTCAAGCACTTTTATCAAATAGGCAATCCAACGGCCTCGGGTTGTTTTATTTTCATTGAAGAGCACTTATCCACCTCACAAATCAAGTTTCGTTATTTATTTTATCGGTGTCAATGTAATTTCGTACGATTAAAGTGATTTTTTTTGCTATAGTATTGGAATGTTAAAAGCACCCATTAAAAAAGGATTGGGAAATGGGTCCCAGCTACAAGTGAATTGGGTGATAATAATTCTTGACCATTCGAGGAGAAAAAGTATATACGAGGTGAGACATGAAGGTAAGGTAAAGTAAAAAAAGAGCAACTTTCGATTGCGGAAAAGTTCCATTATTCAGTTCAAAATTTGCAAAAAATAATATGCAAGTCTTAAATTCGGGGTATTTTAATTGCGAGATGTCTAGGCCACAGGCTGAATAGCGGAGAATTTCTGTTGTTTGCAAAAAATTGTGTTTGATAAGCTTTTCACCCTTTCCGTCATACCTACTTTTTGTCTTGCGTCCATAAAAGGCCGCAATTACTATTAGATGTTTAAACATTTTTAGTTGCTCATAAAGTGCTATTCATAAACATAATTCTGAAGTCCTTACCTTATAATTAAAGCGGAATGTTGTTTTGAATACGCATTTAGAGGAACAAGGACTCATAACATCCTGTCATGCATAAGCGGATTGAGATTGTCATTCTTGCAAAGCAGCTACACACCCGTCACCCACACCCATTCCTGTCTAGGTAGATGTACAAGTGCTTCGAATGACTTGTTTCGCATTAAAGGGTATAAACAACTTTCCTTTGAAAAGGAAAGACAGCTGTAATAGGTGTTCCAGACGGCTATTTTCAAAATTAGACACTGTGGTGGGAAGCCGCGTAATGAAGCTCAATGCATAGCCGTGTCACTTGCTTGGAAAATAAATGAGCCAAGCAAAATGATTACAACTATAGCATTTTAATTTGCAAAGTTTTGAATACTTAACAAATGGAAATTGTAGCGCTCCGTGACTTCTCCGAAGACGGAAGAAGACATGATACTAGGGCGGAATATGTATTGCCAACGTACAGAAGGGCTGGAAAATTATTGGCATAGCCTGGAGGCCTTACTGTCTAGTAGAACATATTGCGAAGCCTTAGATGCCCGTGGTACCAAAAAGTGAAATTAAACAAACCATCGCGGCATTATAAAACCACCAATTTCAAGAACAAGATTTTTAAGTGCTAGGTATCGTAACGTGGATTGCATTCCAGTTTGCCAACTTTATGATGCACTTTTCCATCCTGTAAAAAATTAGATTTTAAGTTTCTGTCTAATCTGTCTTAGAGATAAATGGGTTTGGCGCAAAGTCACGACAAATTACCAAGACAAGACCAAAATAGGCGCAGACGCTATTAAGAGGTCTGCCTTGAGAAAAAAAAACCGAAAAAGTGTCGCAGAAATATATGCAGAGACAAGGCTTTTATCACCTATTTGTGAAACCGTGACACCGATAATTTTAAAGCAAAATTTTAGTTCGCTGTCAAAAGTTAATCAAGCTGTTTCATTTGACAAAGTATCACTCAAATTAACACATTGATTTCGGCATGTAACGACACCTACTTTAACTTTTAGATGACCGCCTCTATTGCACTGACGAGGAGGTTGCTCTCTTCTGTCCAACAAATACTACCTTGAAGGTGTTAACAACATCTTTCGTTGAAATGGACTCAAACTTTTGCCTCGCCCAAAATCACAAGTTGAATAGTCGGTCAGTTCTAATTCTCCCAATCCTCATCCCAGTTAGTCGTTCTAAAGCAATTTATAACCACACCTGACAAGTTTTTGAGCAAAATTAATGTATTTCGAAGTTTGCTCCGATATGCTACTTATTATCAAATCTAGTTTTACAAGCAGTCGTAAAATTTACTTGGGGTAGGTTCATTTTTCCGCTTAGTTGATATTATACAAGTTCCGGTAAATGCGTGCAACAGCTTTGTCTCCTTTAAGGAGAGTGTAGAAGTAGGCCTTTGCAAAGGGTTCATTTGCTTAATTCGCCTTTTTCAATTCACAGAAGTTTAAAAACGAGTGCCTTTCTATGTTATCCAGCCTTTTACCAGGAAAATAAGATTTGACTCTATTAAGAAGGGAGTGATATGGTCTATGAAAGCAAGTCACCTTAATTAATAACTTATGGCATAAATGCGTGCATATCGTTTGCTTAGACTCTTTTGAGTTTTCCTTTGAGAATGTCTAAATAAAGAGATGTAAAGGAGTTTTAGTTTTATTTCTCCTGTCATTATAAAGTACAAAGCAGGCTTATTTTCTTCAGCAGCAATCAGTGGAATAATTAATGGTTAAATTTTTGAAGAATAAAAGCAAAGAATATTTTGTTAATTAGCCTCTTTTTTTAGTTCAAAGTGACATTGAAGGATGAGAGAAGGCAGACACTTATGCTTTCATTCGACGCAGAACAGATGCATTTCAATTGCATGGATCAATTCTAGTTCCTTATTCTTTAGACAGTCAAGGTCTCGATTTTTCAGAGCGTGATTTAAAATGCAGGGATGTGGGACTGGTACTGTTGACATGGCGTTAGAAATATCCTACTCACTTACTACTGAAGCTGGAATCTTAGCACACCAGGATTTCTTTCATAACGCTGAGGGTGCATGAAATTTCCCTTTAGCATAAATATCCATCAAACAGTTTCAGCTTTTTACAATGAATTGTCACCTTTAATCAACGCTAAAGCCTTTAACAGCGACAACATTTTTAAAATAAAGGGGAAATGATTGCTGTTTACTCAAATAAAGATCAGTTACTTCATCCGGACCTTTTCAATGAAAAGTTGGGATCATGTTTTTATTAAATCCGGTAATAAATCGGTGCAACTCAAACAAGACATTCATCTTCCTCTTCTAAGAAGGCACTCCGCACAATTAATTCAAACAAATCTTCTTCCAACTTGCATCAAATTAATGGAAATCGTTCTGTTAAAATAGGAGAAAATTGTCCCATCGGAAAAATACCGGTTGATTTTTTTGTCAAAGTTGATCAAGATCATTTAATAGTTATAAAAAAAAACCAAGGCCGGTCGTTGTATGATGCCGCCTTTTTCCCCTAGTTAAACGAAAACATGGGTGCCTCTTTCTTTACAGATAGGTTTTGCAAAATAAACCGTCTCCATTAAAAAGGTATTTATAACACAATTTTGATATCAATGCTTGGGTTTGTTGAAACCCAGCACCTCTGTTAAAGGCTGCTTTTAGCGTAGCAATGATATATCAAGGAATATTTCCCCTGCTACCTGCTTTCTAATACCTCAGTCAGTGAAATTCTTTTTCTTTGACCCTCCTTATATTAGCTGATATCAAGCAAGAGGTAGGAGCATTACAGTGTTTTTAGTGGGGAGAGGTCATTATCACTTGCTGCAGTGCTTAAGACCTCAGCGGCAATAAAATATGCTACTTGATGGAATTTATGGGACTCAAATTCCGCTATTGTCATGCATAGCTGTATAATGGGGGGTAGGGGTGAATTACATATAACCCCTTTTGATTGAAAAATTGTTATTTTACGACTGTATGTGCTTTATACCTCGTCTTCCTCAAATAAACTACGCGCACATATATCTCACTAAATACCCGTGTTTTGGATGTCACCTAAGTGACATTCAGGAGATATGATCAAAAAGGTAGATTAAAAACTGTCAAAAGTGTCCTCTGGACAGAAGATGGTCAAACAGAAAGGCTCTATGTGTTACCTAGCCAAAGAACAGTTTTACTAACGCAGTAGTACCCTTCCCAGTTATTACATTACAATTGTAATGTAGAGGTCTATAAAGAAGCAAGAGCATTACTTAGCTTCGAATCTCTGCCTAAAATATCAGTATTTTTGCTTCAACGATTACCTGTGCAACATTTGCAAACATTCTAATTACTTATTATTTCCAAGTAAATTCAGGCGACAATCATTGCTTGCCTTAATAGCTTTGAGGGTAGACTTCATGTAAATTTTAATTTCATAAAGTTGGTCCACAAATCATCAAAAATTACTCTACGTGGTGTACAGCAGCCCCCGAGTCGCATTAAAGTCGAGAACTAATAGGAGACACTTCCTTATGAAATTCATCAAAGGTTTCCTAAATTTCCTATAATTTCGATAAATTTTATGCTATAAGCATTTGTGGTATTTTGGTGCAGTTGTTCCAAAAATTAGGCACTCCAACTGGCTAAATTCCCCCTAACACCCATTACGATACTCTCGCTTCATTCCGTGCAAAAGTTACTTCAGATAAAGGGGAAAATAAACTTTGCCAATTGCTTATTAATAGGAGATGTAAAGTTTACTTTTTCCCCAGTTCAACGCAGCCTGCACTTTAAGCGAAATTATTTTCACATTTGAGACGTTTGTGCGTAGCCCAGCCTTCGTGCCCATCCACTCAATTGCTGCCTTGGGTTAGAGGCTGAATACGTGGTTGGTATGATTTATTCCAAAAATCACCTCATTCATGGTGGCGGAGAGAATGGCACTTCTGCAACACTTATTACCTCTGCTCCGACCTGACAGCTGCTGACTACCCGACATACGTAAACATGGCCCCTCTTTCTGCTTGAATGTTTCAAGTATATAAGCAGCACTATCCCAGGGGTCATTGCATTTGTACCATCGAATTTCAACAAAGTAGACCCTATTTTGATGAATAAATAACGACTTGTTGTAAAAGCTAAGCTATAAATCGTATGCAGCCTGCTGAGGAGTAAAGTTCCCACTGAAAGTCTTGAACAAAAGTGGAGAACCCGTGGCTATGTTGCAGGAAATGACTAACTTTTGTCCAGTTCCGCCCAAAAATTTGTATTTTTCAGGTGGTTGCCTATGCGGCATTCAGAGCGCCCTACTTAAATTCACTTTCTTTTAAAACACAAACCAATATGTGTTCAAGAATGCACTTTTCAATAATTATATGTTCTGAGACTTCTAATTTTAATATTTCGTTTGCCATTTCGAATGTTTATACCAAAATGAAATGCTTGGGAGCACATGATTAGTGCAGAGGATTAAATAAAAAAAAAGGTTCACTTATTTAAATTGCCCACTTGAGGCGGCCATGTTGAATCAGTCGGCGGCTTCCCCGCAATCCTTTTAAAATGATTATTTCAAAGGTCATTTAGCTGACAGAAAATGCTAATTGTTGGATCGCATTTTCAAGGCGTTTGCTTAAATTGTCATAAACCTATTTGAATGTAGCCTAAGTAACAACACTCGTAATAAGGACATAGTTTAAACCCGAAAAATTGAGCCATTCCCCTGAGCGTAGTGCAAATTTAACAGCTACACTAGTTGAATGCCATAATTCAAAGTTGTTCCATCTCACTGGGTGTTTCCTCTTGCCGGCGCTGCACCAATAGGAGTCTAGGACGGTGGCCAGGGGAACAGAGCAAAGAATTGTAACTGAACTTTGGAAACTAGCCAAGTTTGCTTCAAAAGTTATTACAAACAGTCATAAATCTAGCAACCGTAGGAACGATTGCATTTATCAAGAGCAATCATGCTTTAGATTCTTATCACCATGACGGTGCCAAAAATTGCTCCCAGTAATGCTGTGGTGGAGTTTAATCACTCGGACTGTTTGAATAAATCGTAGTGAGACAGGAGACATGGTCTTAAATTACTGCAAATTCAGTCGTCTGGCCTTCACCTAATTGCAGTCTCTCCTCTCCATTACTTTGTCAGTTACGCCTTCCAATTGGTTCGTCCGGATGAAGTGGGATTGGCAGCATCAATCAAGCCACTTAAATTCCTTTCAGCGAGCACCTCCACTTCACACCCCATTCCATATAAGTTAATTATTGGCTAAGCGACTTAATTCAAAATTTAATGAGATGTTTTGGATTCTGTTCATGGATAACTGCCTTCTAAAAAGAACATCTTTGAAAGGTTTAATTTTTCCAATTATAGCTTTCTGCAGACTTGCAGAAAGCTATAATTGGAAACTGAAATTTAACCTTACCAATTAAGGAAAATATAAAACAGAACTTAAAAGTATCCAAAGTCTTCTTTTGCGTTGCTAGAAAAGTCGTTGTTTTGTAGTATTTTTTGACAAAACTGCTTTTTGCACGATTTGTCGACCAGGCAAAGCAGGCGTGCCATAGTACCAACATTTTTAACTTCAAATGGGGTATGTTGGAGAATTTTGACAATTAATTTTTCACTTCCTAAAAACAACCGTGGCTTTTACTCCTCATTGTTTACTATGCCTTCGTAAAATTTAATCGAAATCACTTAATTTCCCTCCTTTAATGGGGTTTGAAACATTTGATACCTGCTGTTGGAAAGTGACTGTACTTTATATAAAAACTTTCAAATGAATTCCCACGAGGAGTTTTGTGAGACGCAGTAAAATTCACTTTTATCCCTCAAATCACTGCAAGAGAATAGATTGTTTTTTACATAATGGTTTGAATAGACTTATTCTTGTGAATACCGTGACTTCCCGAGTGATCTTACTCAGTACCAAGGACATTTTTGTACCAACCAGGGTGAACACTTATAAACCACATGTTTCGCACCGTCGGCCATCAAAGTGGTGCTAGAAGCCAGCGGAGAAATCAGAAGTTGGTTTTTCTAGGTAAAATAAATCTATTTTTTTACCAAATGAGCTCTAATAAGGTCGTGAGAGAAAATTTAATCTGGTCATTAAAAACAAAGGATCAAATTCTCAATCCAAAAATCAACGTACCCTCACCAAACTGGCACAGTTAATATGCGCTAGGTTACCGAATTAAAATTCTGGAGACTGGGTGAATCGGGTTTCAGACTAGAAAGACATTATGATACGACTACAGGAGTAAATAAATCTTTCCCATCACTTTGCGCTGTAATATTTGACCTCACATTCCAACTTGGTAACTGCTTCACCGTTGCCTTTTCCATGACCTCATGCTAAATTTAACTTTGACCTTGTCTCAACATTGCAAGTCTTAGCCAAAGCAGCATCTACCCTAAGTTGTGGATGAATGAAGAAGCAGTATGAGTTTTGCGAAATCGAAACGGAACATTTCAGTGCCCCTGTGCAGTTGAATCTACGACAGAAGAAAGAAATTCCGTTCAAGTTTAAGCACTCTTATTGCTTGCAGCTTACCCTTTAGACATTTATTTTTCGAGAAAAGATAGTATCAACAGTAACAAAAAATTGCTAATTCTTCTTGACAGGGGTGGTGTCATGTTTTTACCACTCTAGAAAACGTACTTTTCGCTTGGGCAAAGCTTAACACAAGCACTCTAGTGCCTTCCTCCTAATTAATCACTTCCAAGAGCAGCAGCAGCAGCAGTAATGATGACCGATGCCACTCCAAAACAATCATTGCCATTCTTGCAAAAAGTTATTTGCATCACCGTTGTTATGCCAGTAGGCAATAAAATACTTAAGCGATTAACCGTCTCTACTCATATTCCTTATGACTAATTTGGCTTAAATAATTATGTTTGCTGCAACTTCCAAATTTTGACAACACCATTTCTCTCAAATACCTTTGCAACTGCCTACTTAATTTAACCGAATTTTTACAATTCGGTTTTTTAGCGCAACCAAGGAGGTTTTAAGAAGGTGGGATGGCCCTTCAAAAATCATAAATTACATCAGAAGAGCCGCGTTCTGATGTCTAAAATTACTGAAAAGATTTAAAAGGACCGTAGTATCTTGACTCTTTTGGCATTCCCCTAAGTCATGATGAGGTTTTCCAGGTAGAATCACAACCTATGAAGACTGGAGAGCTCATACGGGTTGATATAATTTTGAGCAAATACTAGTTTACTACTTTGCCGTCTTCTACTTCAAAACGTTGTAGTAGACCCTTTCAGGAGTCCTTCTTTACCTGTCACCCCCATCACCCATAGAGATAGGATAAAAATTAATGCTGTAAATTCGCATCATAGGCGGGATGATGTGTATCCAGACTTTTTGAGCCTCAATTCCACCCTAAGCTAAGATTCACCTACAAGGAGTTGGTTGGAGATATTGCGTTAATACTGGACTATGTTCCTGAACGAACATATCCTGCACTTTAACTGCTTTTCTTAGTAACATTTCCTTAGAAGCAAAATGGGAAAAGAGACATCTTGTTCTCTAATTCTCTGGTGGTCTATTTCATTAAGGGTTGTATCGTAGGTCCACCTTTCAGGTTGGTTTCGATTCACTAAGACTTACACTTTCTGTTTGTGGCTATTATGGAGATTTATCTGCTTTTGGCACAAGGAGATTCAGCAAGTAGCATCAGATTTAGTCCTTTTGTGAGGCTGAGATTTTGTAACCAACAAACAAAACCAAGACTGATCTTGGATTAAACTGGTTTGCTGCTGCTGCCAGTGTAGCACTCGGCATCCTCTCTGAGGTTGTCGAAGGCACATCAATGAGGAAACCGTGTCATTAACGAATAGAAGGGCTGGGAGGTCACGGATCCGTGCAGTGAACTGCGCCACTGCAGTGGAAGTAAAACTTGCATAAACTGAAGCGTGTGTTTTTCGGATTTTTTTTCATGTTCTCTTCCTCAAAAATTGTAGGCAGCACTGTGGAAAACCATCTCATTGTATAATGATCCTTTTTTATTTTTTATTATGCCATTGTATCATGATGTCCAGCGGTTGTGCTCAAATGCTAACGAGATTTGGACTGTTTAATAACATATTACTTAGCAGTTTACCTATATAGAAATGTCTCCTTGAGTAGCTATTAGCAAATTTTGAAACCAATGACCTAAAACACCATTTTTCTACATGCGGCTTGTACTTTTTTTGGACTTATCAAATAAGATCCATACTAGCATTCGGATAGTTCTTATTTCATTTTCCCGCTAAAGAAACCTGCATTTTTAAAGCAAAATTTTGGCGTTTTTTGAAAAAGATGGATTTTTGTAAAGTTGCAACGTTCTTTAAGCATTTTTAAAGCAGTTTCTCTACCACTTGGAACTTTGCAGGCTTCGCCGACACTGCACCTACACTACAATCTCGGATGACATTCTTCTTCGGATCTATGAGACCTGCGAGGGTCAGCAGAACTGCTCCTTCCAATTTCAGAGTCTCCTAGATCCTGTGTGCGATGGGCAGGCCTTCTGGATTAGCGGAAAGGCCCTCGTGTTGAGAATGGAACATCAATGCATTGAAAGTGGGTCTAAAATTGCCACAGAAATGCTTTTTAAGTGAATGATTCCTTAGCTAAAAATATGGATTTTAAGTCGAATAATTAAAGTAAAATTCCAGTCTTCTGTGTAGAGCTAGAAATGACTTTGCTTGATTTCTTCCGGCCAAAAGGGGAAATTTCGGGTGCAGAGTTATATGATTACCCAAAAATTTTTCGGTTTAATAGACGGCAGCTGTAATCTCCAAACGTAGCGATTGCCGTTTCCGCATGGTAAGCGGATGGTTAACCGAAATTAAAATGAGGCATCTTTTAACAACCACAATCTATATTTCCAAATTGCTTAACTGAAAAGCGGTTTAAACCAGAATTTTCCACTTAATTTGTAGCGCTTTTCTAAATAACTTCTGAAAGTACGCCGTTTTGTGTTTGCATTTTAGCGCACAAGCTCAGTTGGAATAATTGGTGTATATCAGCATCAGTGCCGTTCGCACTTCCTCATTGCACATGATTAACCTTTGACCTTTAAGTACCCTAGCGTCACATCACCTTTACTTGCCCAACCACCTGTCTTAGTAGTAATCATAATTCACCTTCGCTATGCCGACTTTTCCATAAAGTTCACCCACTTGCCTGTTTTTAAAGAAATTAACTACTTTTGCTTCAATGAATTGGCATAAAATAATCCACACTTTGTCAAAGAAAGTTCTTCACTTTTTGTAGATGAGAGAGTCCCTTAAGTATATAGTCCAACCATTTTTGTGTTTTGCATCCCAATCAACTGTTGGCAGTCATAAGAGTGTACATGGTTTATGACTCAAAAATCCAAGCAGTTCCAATGAGGTACCTTTTTTGAAATAACTTAAGCAGCCAAATACTGGATGCCTCTTCTGTATTTAATCCTTTAACCAGTGTTTGCAAGACCTACCCCGTCATCACTATGGATGCCCCTCCTGTGGATAATCCTCTCAATAGTCTTTGCAGTGGCAACTTTCAGCGCCATCGTCTGTTTTGACTGGGGCTCCTGGTGTCGACACACCCGACGGCACCTGAGTCGCACCCATTGGCATGTCTCCGTTCCCCTTCTGCTCTCCTCCGATGCCGACTTCGTTTAACTCACCTCTCTCCATCCCCTACCAACTACTAAGCCGAGACCGCTTTTTTATTTGGACCCTGAATAAGATCCTGGTACTTTTTTATGATATATCTGGTTCAGAGAAGGATCGCCGTCACATATTTCATATGTTAGATGGATACTCATTTGATTGTTCGATTTTAATTTGTGCTTATTTAGTCTAGAAGTTAATAACCTGTAATTATTGAATAAAGTTATTGGCGATTTCTCATTAATCCACCATAGTATGGTGATTCAAACCATCTCTGTGTCGTCTCACACCGTGGTCGTTTAAACAAAGTGATGCTATTTGATTTATTTAGCACATTGGATGCCTTTATCATGTTTGAAACATTGGCATTCAGAAATCAGACATAGGCCAGTAAACTTCGATTAATCTTGGTTATAAATTTAAAGTGATTAGAATATTCACGCAGCTAAAGATTTTGGTTGAAACCGTACAATGCAGAAATCTTCTCTACCTCTACCGCCACGGTCCACAGGTTGCATTGTATTTATTTGTCACTAGCTGCCATTGCTTCGTTCTATTTTACGTTTTGTTAGTTTCCTTCCACTTACATGTGTCACATATATGCGACGCTAGGGGTCAGGTAATAAGCCTAGGGCTTCACGTACAGGTGGAGCCGATTAGAAACGTACAAGCAGTTTGGACACATTCTCCATCGAAAATAAAAGTAATAGGTTCTTTAAAATGTGGACAAGAAAACAATGTTCAAACGGTTCATTCGTCTACAGACTAACTGCTTAATCAGAACCTGTTATTCGCCTTTATTTATTTACATCATTACATTGTGGTGCGGATTGAAGGGTTTGGTGGTGTTTACAGCTACTAGTTTGCAGTAAAAGAAACCAAATTCAAACTATACTTATTGCTTTATAAATTCTCTAGTTAGTTTTGCGGTCGCGTAATTTATGACGCTCAAGGCATTCTTCAACACTGCTTGTTCATAGAAGCCAAAATTGAATGACAGAAAAGGCTCGAAGCTCTCACAAAGACACAAGTTGGGAAAAGATTAATCCGGAGCCTTTCTAAAGCACTACATACCAGTGCGCTTGATTTGGAAAATTGCATTTTTATTCTATGATGCCTTGTTATGGAGGCTTTTTCTTTATTATGTTGGCTTTAAAATGAGATCCTACAACTTTGGTAAATTCAAATGCTTCTACCACCTATTTGAATTATTGGTTCATTCAACACTGGAAGCAGTGGCTATTTAAGGACCTTAAAACTACTTTTAAACATTCGATGACTGTATTACTACTCCAGCACCTAAATCTCTTTTAAAGTTGTGGTTCGGTTAATCAGTGCTAAAGAAGGGCTCATTAGTAACGATTAAAAGGTGAAGGAGGCTACTGCCCTAATCAGGGGGCCAAAGCTGCGAAGACTCCGAGAGCCCAGGTAGAAAACTCCATTCTGTGACACAGCACTGTCGATACGTCATCGAAGAAACGGGTTCTTTTCAAAATAACACCATCATCATTGATCCTACTCCTATTTCTCCTATCAATCAATAGCCAGTCTTTTACCTTTACGCATTTTTGTCTTGTGGGTTCTCTCTTCCCGTTGCTCTATTAAGCATGTTTAAGTGTTGATTTTACCCTCAACCATTGGTTTGGAATGAGGCAAAACCAAACCTAATTCGCCTAGCTAAACAATATACATGGGTTGTTTTTTTTGCTTGAGAGCTAGAACTCGTTCGTTGGAAAACATTTGTGGTTTCCACAATGATGAGAAAGTGACTAATTTGGATTTTAAAACTGAAGTTAACTTCTTTACTTACTCACAAGTTACGAAGGAGGAGTTAATTAGGGTGTAGATGAGTTTTTTGTTTTACCAAATAAAACTCATACTACACAATACACTGGCAGTTGAGATTGACAGCACTCTTTCAAGAGTTGAAGCAGTAGCTGTCAGGTGAGTGGACTAATGAATGGTGAAATGTACGCGGTTGTCTCTGGCACACCCCCAGTCTTTACACCTAAATTTTCCGTCATGTTAGCTCAAAATTGGAGTCATTTGACACGTGCGTGTCAGCCTTGAGTGTGCCTAAAATCATAAAGGACGCCGATCAAGCAAAAATTCTTCTACCCGTTTTTGCTATCTTTTTTGGATTTCACTGCAATCCACTTAGGCGTACACATCCACAAGTCCGAAGGATTTTTTTAATATTGTATTATAAAATAAAAATTGAGTAATTTTCCGAGTTGCTATACTTAACTCAAGCGCAAATCAAACGACCAAGTAGTTGACTTTTTTCATTTTTAAAAAGCAATTTTGCATTGTAATGAAAACCTAATGAAATGAATCTTTACTGTCTCCAGCATCAAAACCACATTGGGAAATTTCACCCGCTTTAATCACCCTCCTTTAAGGCAGCGGCCGACTACACAAAAAAATTGAATTCCAAAACGGATTTAAGACTGCCTTTTCCGCCTCCTTGACCACTTAAAAAAAGTACAAAACCAACTTCATTTAAGTAACCGCCCCCCTTCCGATTCCCTGGCTTAGAAACTCCGGGTGGAGGACGTTACAAACAAAATTATTCACCAAAAGCCAGTAGCCATTCTTCGCTCCGATCAAAAAGTAGTTTTTGAGTACACTACCTAATTACTTAGCCACAAATCAAAATCAAACCGCTCCAACGTTCAACGCATAATTGCAGGCACAAGTCACTGGCAGAATGTAGGCATGACAACTAATGGGAATTTGAGGGACGCCCACTTTTCAAGCGTCTACATGCCTATTATTTGCTTTAAAAAATTTTAACGCTTGCCTATGTCACAGAAGTTTATAAACATGTCGAAAATCACCACACACATTAAATCATTTTTACCCCGATTATAGTGTAAAAATAACACTGCTGACTCCCCATTTGCATCTTTAAACCTTTATAAATAGTTTTGCAACTAAAACTGATATCTGCATACCACAGTTCAAACGTGAGCTCAGGGGTTGCTCCGGCTTGCGAATTCAACCACTCTACTACAGTTGACTCCTCCAAAACCACGTGTAAAGATACCAGTTGAAAGTAAGTGGAAATGATTTGTTATCTGAGCGGAAGTGGTCTGCCATCGAAAGGACACGTGAAATGATGCGCTGCGCATTATACGCAATGAGATGAATAAAATTGGGCGGTTGGCGTGATGGGAAGGGATAATCTCATGTAACCGACAAAGCTGATGCAATTTTTGAGATGGCTCGCCACAGTGACTCATTAGAGGGACTGTAAAGGACTCTTGGAGGCACGTGATAGTTTACATGCATTATTTGGCATTGATGTTTACCAGTTTCTCTGTGTGGTAGCTAACATTACTGTGCTTCGTGCTACTTCCCCCTTAATTCGAAGCCCTACATCAGAAGTGTCAATTGTTTGCTTTGTGAGTCGATTTGAGCTAATTTTTAAGGTCGCAGAGGGCGGCTTATGGTCAAAGTTGCTGTGGAGCAGCTAGAGAAGGTGCAGTAGCGGGATGCACGACTCATAAACAAGTGGGAAATACCCTCTGTTCTCAATTATGAAGAACTACGTGTTGTCATTGCCGTGTCACAGGCGACTTTCAATAATGTTTGACGAAATAAGCGATGAAGCACTTTGCATCTGCATCACATCGGAAGGGGAAATCTTAAAGGATGCTAAGCAAGTAGTTTAACTTACGTTCAGAGGGCACCCATTTCCCTTTTTGCGTCTTTCACGTGAAAGATGGGAGATTGCTTGGTGAGTGAATAGTGATGAGATAAGTCTTCTATCCTTTTACATTGCAACATTTGTTAAGCAAAAGAAGATGTCACTAGTTATCTCCTAATAACCCACTCAATACTCAGACCACACTTCTAAGGCAGGCGCCACGCCTTCCCAAGAGAACTACAGTTTGTGTGAGTATGGGTGTGTATGTGCTTGGTGGAGTGCAGAGGGAAGAGCTCAAGAGGAGTATCCTGCTGAACGCTAGGCAGCAGCCAAGACTGCGATATTCGGACTCAACACAACAAGAACGTGTGCAAGAACAGCTTTTTATTCGAGAACCTGATAGAACTAATCATCTATTAAAAGGAAAGTTTTATCTTAAAAAAAGCATGGAGCCTCACCCCGCACACCGCAAAATTGACCCGTGAGAAGATTTGCGCCTCAATTTGGAAGCGGGAATGGATGAATAGGGGGGTGGAAAAGAGAGGAAGAGAGGCGATAATACCTCATTCTTATCCGTCCATGTCCATCTAATGATATTTCTTCAAGACGTAAGTGAAAACTATCACTCTTGGAAGGTAAAAGTGGAATTCAAACGGATGTGTCCAGGAGTGAGTTTGTGTATAGTTGGGAAAGGGTTTTGCATTAAAGTGGTGGTTACTTCAAGAATTATAATACTATAGTAAGATTTCTACAACACTTTAATGTCTGGTTTAAAAGCTGGACGATCCTTTCAGATTGCGTTCTAACATCAAAGTGTTTGTTTGCTATTATGGTCTATTTACCGAACCCACTTTTACCATTAAATTAAAGGCAAAAAACGGCACGAATATTCGTGCCAAAGAATCCATGTAATGAGTCACTGTGGCGAGCCATCTCAAAAATTGCATCAGCTTTGTCGGTTACATGAGATTATCCCTTCCCATCACGCCAACCGCCCAATTTTATTCATCTCATTGCGTATAATGCGCAGCGCATCATTTCACGTGTCCTTTCGATGGCAGACCACTTCCGCTCAGATAACAAATCATTTCCACTTACTTTCAACTGGTATCTTTACACGTGGTTTTGGAGGAGTCAACTGTAGTAGAGTGGTTGAATTCGCAAGCCGGAGCAACCCCTGAGCTCACGTTTGAACTGTGGTATGCAGATATCAGTTTTAGTTGCAAAACGTGATCTACCGACAGAATAAGCTGCCAAGTTTGTTTATCATGCTAAAAACTCAAACTACTTTGTGCAAAATTGGAAATAGGGGATTTATTAGGTATTGTAAGATTTTTAGGGTATGATCATGGAGGAGGTACTTTGACACTGGGCATTTAACCGCGACCGTAATTAGCACCACCTGCTTTCCTCATCGCCTCCTCCACAGCCTCTTGTCTGCACTCGGACACCTCACTGTAGGTGAGATCTACCGCGAAGCTCTAAAAAAATCATTCAAAAAATTAAAAAAATGTAAATCACTTATCAAATTTGTGTTGGGCAAGCTTATTGTCTTATCTATGATGCTATCATTAAAAGTGTTTGTAGATGTAGATGGAAATTCTTCTTTCTAATTTATGTGTTTGGAACAAAGGCAAAAATTTCCTTTTTTATTACTACCCACTTTAGCTAAGCCCACGTATTGATGGAGTAGTCTAAAGAGCCATTTTCTCTACTTAGAAGATTATTGTTCTATAAGTATTTTAGAACTTCTGCAAAATTATCAAATCTTCTTTAAAACCACAAAGTTTACCACGCATAATAAATTCACGTTTGCATACGTCCTTGAGACGTCACCACCATTAAAGATTGCACTCTTGCCAACGAATTTAAGATACCCAACTGCCTAAATTCTATACACCGAAATATTTTTTGCAAAAGGTGCGGAAAATGTTGAAATAATTTGTGATGCACGGCATTCTTAACTTCTCAAAAAAAAAATTTTTCCCTAACTGTTTGCAGGTCACTCAATCGCCACGCAGTCGGTGTTATTGGCGGTAACCGTTGGTGAATCACTCGGCCATTTATGACGGAGTCAACAAGAAGGCCTTAAAATTAAATTCTTCCAAGCGGTCCCAGAGACAGAAGGGGCGTGTTAATTTAAAAAATAAAACATCAGAAAATCTTTAATAAGATAGAGTTTGCTAGCCCCTACTGCAACGATACAGCTTGTAGTCTTACGTTCGCTTAATTACTTGAACAAGAAAGGTGCTAGAGTTACACAGTTACTGGTTCCAAGTCGCTACAACTTTGTTTTGATTTGGAATAAAAGGCAGCATGCCCAACAGACCATTATCACCACAACTACAAGGCATGCCACTTGTACGAATGTGAGTTTTGCTAGACTATAATTGCTCTAAAGTGCTGTTTATGGGCTTTTTAGTGGAAAGAAAAGGCCATGACAAATATTATCACTTTTAATTCTGAGGAATTCTTCAGGTAAGCGTCAAGCGCAGGTTTTTTACTGGAAATATGCATTTGCAGTAACGAAAACCGTTTAAATTCACGAAAGGCTCCGAGTAAAAAGAATGTAAAATTCGTCTTAGCAAGCACCAGACGCATCAAATTCACCGAGGGAAAAAACTGAGCTTGATTTTTGGTTTAAAATAGCATTTCCAATTATTTGACTTGGCAAGCAATTTATGGAAATTTATAGTCATAAAAAATTGTTTCAAGACATCAAAGGATGTTTCAGTCGTTTAAGGCAAAAGCATATTCTACTAAAAAGACATTTCTCGAAGCATTTTTTGCATCTTAGTTAAAAAAACACCTTATTCATTTGCCACAAAGAAATATATGCTTCAAATTGCGAATCAAACTTCATTTTATTTTTGTTCCAAAATTTCTAATACATAATATGCTTTAAGGTAAGGTTATTCACGCAATGTGAACTACCACTTTCTTAGTTGTAAATAAAGTACGGGTTCTTTTGTTAAAAAACTGACAAATCATTTAAATCTTGGATCAAACTAGGACCAAAAATTATATCGTTATGTAAAAACGCAAAGTCGTTACGCAAACTGCATCGGTGTGCAGCATAAATTCTTTCATTTAAGAGAAGATCTCTAAAAAATATGTAATTCAACACAGAAGGTCCACTTCCTTACTGCCTTCTGGGTTCAAATTTTAGCACGAGTGGTCCCTTTTTAAGACAAATATCAGGGGAAGGTATTTCAAAAGTGCATTTACAATGACGCGTGATAGCACAACTTTATTATGGCAAAATCTCCGTTGTTCAAGTACTTTGAGGTTAAATGACACTTAATTTTACCTAGCAATTAATCAGGATTTCAACAAATCCCTTTTGAAAAACTGCTTTCAGAAGCAAAATAAAGCGTTATTTAAGTAGGAGCGGTACTTTTTCCAAAAAACGCAATAAGTGTAGTCTAAAAGTGGATACGGCTTCAGTCACATTTATCTAATTACAAAACGTTGCTACTAAGTAAACTCTTCACAAAGTTTTGACGTTTAAACGGGGGTGGTTTCGGATTTTATCGGAAAATCTTACTGCTAAAATGGCTAAACTCCACCAGAAATAAATATCACTGCCGCGGATTAACTTGTAGAAAATTGTGCCTACTTAAGCTGATTAAGTAGGCATACCTGAATACACTCCTTGATTCGGGATTTTTCAGAGGCTACTAGACCCTTTCGGATAGGTTTGCAGTCGTTGCCGATCCACGTAATGAGACCGAATTTAGCACGTTTGCTCATCTCGTCTCCTACTGTTAGCCGTACGAAGAAAAAGGCTCGAGTGCTTGGGTCCAGGAATGTGTGGATCTCGCCGAAAGATGTACCCTTCGCTATTACTGTCAACTCTCCGTCCCGATCACCGACACATATCCTAGAGTGCAAACGCAGCAGCAAAAAAAGTTAGTATCTAATAGTAGATATTTTCCGTGGTAATGAAGGGTACTTAAATGGCTCCGATTTTTTTACAAACCAGTATCTAAAAATAGCACAAAAGACTAAACAAAATTTGAAATATTAGTAAGCGCCGTTAGTCGGTATTTATGAAAAAAGTATTTTACGTAAATAAAGCCTATATCTTGCCTTTGCGGCACAAATAAGCATAGCTTGCAAAATTTTGCTGTAATGAGGAGAAAGACACCACATTACGACCAATTTTCCGTCCACTAGTTAATCCACTCCGCAAATACCACTTGGTTCATTATGATTTAATTTTGATCAGCTCAATCCTTTATATGTAAGCTCTCCGTATAACATTATTTACTTTTCGGGAGTTTCAATCATGCCTCTATATAGCAACATATTTGATCGTTTAAAAGATTGTTTCTGGTATAAGTTAAAGGAGTTTTTTATGAAATTTTATTAATGTACTTATTCGTCTCCATCGCGAAAGCAAATTGTGCAATCGCGGAGTTTCACATTCAAAATGTTACAGAGGTTACACCGGCCTCACTAAGTCTAACACCTTTTTTTCTATCTACAATTAATTCATTTATATCAGATCTCATTCTCGTTTTCGACGTTTTGACCAGTTAAAAGGCACCCTAAAGAACAACTGTTTTGGCCACTCAATGACATTCAGAGGTTATCTATTCACCCATTTGAACCTTGAATATCGTCTAGAATCTACTGATCCGCTGTATTTTGCTCTTTAGACTCATTGCTCGTCTATTCCTCCAAAACACAAACTACTATCATTCGTCTGTACTAAGCAACGTAGAGTCTGAATTTGTGTAGCATTTGTATCTAGTCTTAAAGTTGCCAAACTCCCCATGTTGCTTGCGACTGTGGCTGCCTTTCAAAAATCATAATGAGGAATGAGCTGCTTACCATGTCGTATCCATGCTATCATCGCGAACTTCCTTGTAGGCGGCGCTTATCGTCTCCTTGTTGATAGTAGCAATCATGGATCTGTGAAAAAAATACCGCTGTTTGTGGCAGTTTCCAATGCGTTTAGAAGACTCCCAAATGCACTTCGCACTATTAAATCCCCAGATGTTAAAATTCGTGTTGAACTAACCTAAGGAGCCACGACTCTTCAAACCACTCTCACTGCATCATCGCAAAAACCAGTATATTTCATTTCTGCTTTAAACAGTTTGACTTTCTATGTTCGAAGTAGGGGTTTGTGGCTGAACTTGAACCACTTGGTCGTCCCCAAAAAAGCAGCTTTATTTATTTGTGATCAAAAAGTAGAAACATTAAAGGAGCTCAATATTCAACTCAATAATGTAAATTTCATCAGGCGTTAAATGGTCACCTCTTACCTATCAGGAGTACCGACTAACGTAATGGGGATGCTAATATCATCTCTGCCCAATTAAATGTAAAAAGCAATTTGAAATTTAAACTTTTTCAATATTTTTAAGTGTCTGATCAATTTGAGTTTGATTAGAAAAAAATAAGTACGAACTTCAAAGTGGTCGTAGATTAAATTCTTCAGATTTTTATCAAGTTAGAAGTTGAATGTATAGTCTTCACTGTGTAGAGCATAGTACCAAAAACTTAAGGGGTTGTAAGGATTGGTTGTGTCTGTACCACTGCAATAATGGTTGTAACCAGGTAACCTAATGGTGTCATGATCAACGTAAGTATTCACCCTCTCATGTGAAACAAGTTTAGTGAGTTTTGGAAAAATGTTTATTGACCTTTTTTTTCATCATGGAGACCTCCTCAGCAGTAACGTCAGATACGCCGAGTTGTCTACGCCAGGGATGTCGCAATGTAAAAAGTAAACTTTGTAATACAGGCACCAAACTGCTCGTCCTGTTTCATTGTAAGGCTTGACATAAAGAGTTCTGTCATCAGGAATGTAGTAAAGCTGTGGAATTTGCAGGGGAGTAATGTGGTGTGCCCATGAAATAAGACTACCTTGTTGATGTGAGGGTTATAAAAGTCCTCCATTACAAGAATGCGTGAATTTAAAGACAGTTGCGACACTGGCCAACCTCGCTGTCTGGCTCTTAAAAGTTGGTATTTCAGGGCAAGATTTTGGGACATTCAAATACTATAAGTGTGCAAATGTATCAAATGCCAGGGCATTACTAGATGATTGGTGAGTTAAGTACTGACTTTCCGATATTGCAATGCTGAAATCATCAGTTGATAGTATTGTTTTCGAGCAAAACATTCGCGGAGCAGTAAGTGGCTATTCCAGGACTGAGAAACTTGAACTAAGCTTATGCAACCCTTACTGGTTTGATTAGGTTTTCTGGGTATACCTGGACTTGTTTCACTCGTTCATGAATCGGGTCGTATGGATCCGAAATCCAATCCAGACAACTGTAAATTTAAGGAATGAAGATAAGCATCTGAATACCTTAACGCTGATCGCTTTGCTAACATTTCACTAAGGTGGAGCTGATAATCCTCCAAGCAACTCTCCAAACCGGAGCATATCTTGCGCTTAGTCTGTGTAAGCAATTAGAAGTGGGTCGTGATATAGTGGATCATTATGATAGCACAATCCATTACCGAATGTTTTGTGCTATTCGATGGCCCATACCCATAGGGCATTGGTTTGTCTTGAAGGCTACTTGCCACTTTCAAAAGCTAATCAAAGTTAGAGCGTTAATTGGGCGATGCCTCGTATGTTGCATTTGGTCCGGTTACTTGGAAATAAATGCACCGCTTTCTTCCAAAGCGCTCGTGTCTACTATTTGTCGACTATTTAAATTAGCTTAAAGTATAGGAGCAATTAGAAGTTGATCATCCTTATGAGATTTAGGAAAAAGAACCCACAAAACCTGTAAAAATACTGAAAAAATGAAACTAATATTAAGGTGATACTAGGTGATGGTATCAGAGACAAACGGGTACTTACACGAAGAGAAGAAGTCAATCCTTCAAGACCGATGCTTGCGTCAGCCGATATCGTTAGGTCACATAAACGCACCTTCATCCTTATAAGGAGACTGAGTGAGACGTGTGCCCCACTCTCATAGGTCAATTGACGAGGCACGCAAGCAATCACGATGTGATCCACGAATCACCGGCGCTCAACTCTACACAAAAAACCCGAGGGCCTAGTCAGTTTTGGGTAACACCTCGACTCAAATTCTGGTACATTTTATAGGGCATATGTTCTTTTCATCACCATAAGACTACCTGCTCATATTTGATAATTTACCTGCACTTTTGGGGTTTCGGAAACACCCTTCTAAATGAACCTCATTTCGTTTTTAGATTAATGATAAACAGATAAGCATCCGCCCATAAGTCGACAACATCCTAAGCTTTATCTAACCTAATTGATGAACAAAGTTGTCAAAGTTTATCTATTGGTTGGATGTGAACCGATCAGAAGGCTTCAAGTAGCTTAAGATGATCTTCAAACAGTCTTGCTATTGTTATTATCTCATGACGATTACTGCCAACGAAATGGATTTCGTCGGCTGAACGTGTGCTACAAGCCTGTGCCGCCAAGGTGCTTCAAATGGGAGTTTTCCTGCTCCTCAAATTTTTGCAACAGACAGGACTGTATCCTTATTCTAAATGCAGGAAACCGGTGTTTCTCATAACTGCTGCTAACTAAAGGTAGGCGAACTGAAAGACCTTAGGGAACAACTACCGATACACAGAGTGGGAGCTTAACGCATGCTTCTTTTAATTTTTCCCCAGATTTCTTAAGATCTTCGAGAAACCTACTCCACTATTGTGTTTTTTTTACGATTTCTAAAATTCAACTCTCCAAAAATGCACGAGTAGGGTGTTAAGTGAACCAAATTAGGGGTAGTTTCGAGGTTGAAAACCTTTTCGATAGAACTGTGTAAATGGATATCCTACCACATTGCTCACATTTTCTGGTGACCTAAAATGTTTAAACCAGCTCAAGACAGCCCATCGTTCTCTGAAAGTGGTAGAATCATCCCTTTCCATCATAAATTTCAAACGTCCGGTCGTCTTCAACGCTTATTGGCTAACGTGCTCGGTCTGATGAGCCAATAGGCGTTGTGGAGGAGCGGAGAACACAGCAGATGCACATCATCGTCCATTACACTGTCGCACGCGCGTGCGAATACGCTTTCACCTTTAATCATTCATCGCTAGCGTGTCTCGATGCGCATGTTCACGTGACTGCTCGATATGACTCCTAGCTTTTGCCTCTTCTTCCTCGGCCTCTTTCTCCTTGCTTCTCTACCCACCATGGCACTCGAACACCACCTCACCCCCTCCACCAATGACACCAACGTTGTAGCCGATATGGACTCGAAGTTCGTGGATTTAATCTGTCCTCCAAGTCACCCAATATGGTTTGTGCCACGCTCTTCTATCGCCTTTCAGCCGATCGAGGGCAGTCAATTGAGAATCCGTCTAGAAGAGAAGACTAGACCATTCCAAAGAGGCTTCTACATATGCTGTCCTCGTACGCGTGCTCTGTGGTCCAATGATGTCGTGCAACGCGTTCAAATTCCCTCTTGTTGTCCCTGTTGCTCGTGGCCGGAGGAGGAGTATTGTTCAACGCGTCTGTGGAACACTTCTGCTAGCTTGAAAGCCCTGCCCTGCATGCAAATTTTCCTTTTCACGGGGATGGTTCCCCGTAATGAGACAACCCTTACCCTGCCTTGGCGGTCTAAGGTACTCATCCCTTGTCCCGCGCCTCTGCCAACCTCAAAATTGAAAATTTATAGCCAACTACCGAGAATTAAGCCATCTCGAAGACTCTGGTTTAACACTTCGATGGCTGATATAGGCGAATTTAATTCGCGTTTTGGGGTGTGCACGACGCAGCAGCGTATTCCAAGTGGATACCTGCAGTTGTCATGCGAGTATCCCACCTCGAAACGCTTGATCAAGCCGCAGGCACCACTCGCTCCACCAGCACTTCTTCCGAACGTGACTTGTAGACTACTTCCGATCGGAGAGGAGTTTACTATGAACCGAATTACCATTCCGGAATTCAGGGTTCTCGGACCTCGGAAGTTGACAGTAGCGTGCACGGCTCTGTACGCGAACATATTCATCGCTAACAGACCTCCCACACTGTGCTTTCGTTGGCGTAGCACTATCGAGTCTCCACGACTTCATTCCTCAACCTGGTCACAGCATAAGTGTGTAGCGACCGGGCAGGTTGAGGACACTGTCACAGTAGCTGCAACCAATGCTTACAATTTTACAACTGAAGGTTCTTGCATAACTGTAGAGGTGGAGATTGTGGAACGTAACCGAGCTACAGTCGCTCAGGTATTCTCCATGCGTCTTCGTGTGTCACCTCCATCGCTGGAGAATCGAATGTTTGTGGAGGTTACTCAACCCACTGATTTCAACTCTTATAATCTGTTCTCTGACAATTCAACCCGCAATTATACATTGGTAGTATTAAATACTTCGCTAGATCACCTGACGCTTGGGTTTTATGCTCTAGACGAAGTTACTGCGAACACCTCCTGTTCGTCCCCAACTCTCGGGAAGGAGCACTTTTCTCTCAGTCGAACCACTGATAGATGGCTCTGTGATGTGATTCTACCGGCACATACATTCAACATTTCGTTGCGTCAAGGCAATTTGGAGACTCTGGTGACCGTCTATCCCTCACCAAGTGCTCTTCTACCTCGTTCCACGGTGGCCAGTTTACGCGGTTCTGTTGACGTCCACATTAATGTCACATGTCCTCTGGTTGAAAGTGATACAAAGGCTCTTTTCACTACAGAACCTGACCGCGTTCGTTGGCTAGTATATCGTGGCGATGAGCTGGTGAACGAGACGTACACACATGTCCCATGGCTGCTAATCGCTCCTCTTATCAACTCCACCGCAGTTGGTGTGGAACCGGTGCTGGAGTGGTCATCGCCTTCATCCTCTTCTCTGTCTGAATTTATCTCAAATCTGTCCACCTTAAGTCTACCTTCTGTTGTTGACTTCTCGCGAAGACTTTGTGTCTCCTGTGAGACATTTTTCACCCTCGGAGGCAGTAGTAAAAGCAGTAGAGAGTGTGTCACTCTCGAGGCGAAAGAGGAGCTACGTGAGGAGAACCTTTCTGTGGTTGAGACCGCCTTGCGTCGTTTCTCATCTGCCTTCATCCCTATTCAGGTGTCCAACATCTCGAATCCGAGTTTTCGTATCACTACGGCTTTTCCGTCAGATGATCTAGGCAAGAATGGGTCCATCTCTTCGCTAAGTGTCTACGCGGGTTCGATACTCGAACTGCGATGTAGCATGAGTCGGACAAGTGATTCCACACCTTGGCCACTTATTGGATTCACTGCGTACGATGGGAATCTAAGTCTTCCGGATGGAACCCTTCGACTCTATGCACTCCCCTTCACTCTTGAAAGTCGACTCCGAATTCACACGTCGATGGTGAAGACATCTGACATTGGTGCCTATTCATGTTTCACTGTTAATGCTGATGTGATTCATCTCTTCGTGAATATTGTTTCCTCAAAAGTTCCTGAAATCGTTGAGCCTAATCAACCTGTCCGTTACTTTACAGCCAACGAGCTTATCCGACTTACTTGCCGGGCCATCGGTGGGCCTGGACCGATAATTGTTTGGCGTCTTGTGAATAGAACCCGGGAGATTGAAACGACCGTCTTAAAGTGGTGCAATGAGTCTTACTTGAAGGAGGAAAGCAGTTGCAGTTTGGTGTACGTGCCTCTTCCACTTGCCGAGAATGTTACAATTGAATGCGAAGCCATGAACTACCTCGGAAATGCAGTTTATACACTCAACATGATTCGTGTAAGTACTAACAGCGAATTGGCTGGAAGCATGCTCTTCAGCAGGTTGTGGAAAAACTACGTATTCTGGATCATTGTACCCCTCGTTGTAATCGTCTGTTTTCTCGTCTGCTTGGGTACCTGCCTGTGGCGAAAGAGTCGGCAGATGGTGAAGGCCGAGAAGTTGATTAAGATGGACAATCTGATTTACGAACGTTCAGACAAGTTGGCAGCTGATACCATGGGCTTAGATCCTTTCTACCGGGAACTCATGTGTAGTTTGATGCCCACTAAAGAATTACGTGATCGGTGGTGCTTGGATAGACGTAATTTGCGACCCTTTTCCCAACCCCTCGGTAATGGTCACTATGGCACTGTCCAGAAGGCCATTTATTACGGACCTCGAGAGAAGGACAAAAAGCATGCTGATGCTTTCTTTGTGGCTCTTAAATCACCCTCCGCTGAAATTGCCAGCCTTTCGTGCTTTCGAAACGAGATTGCCCATCTAATGAAACTCTCTGATGGGCCAAATATTGTCAAAATGATTGGTTGTGCCTTTGGCGAGAAAGGTGATCTGGGAGACACTCTACTGGTGTTGGAATTCTGTCCAAACACCAGCCTCAGCGACTTCATCCGTCGTATGCTCTACCCTCGCGGATGCTATGACAACCGACCGATGTATGTCCGCAACACAGAGGGTGGAATCACCACCGGCAGTACGCAGGTCTCCACAACGCCCTTTCCCTCCAGTGATAGTTCAGTCTCACAATTTGTTTGGGATGCTTACAACACACCCATTCGAGTCATCCGTAATGACTATGAAGAGGCGGATGAGACACCGAAATTGCAAGGCAAACGAAGACGGCGTGGTGCTGGTAGTAGTCGACGTAACACAGCCCTGGTTTATCAGCGTCTAACTCGCAATTCTTCTTCCATGTTCCTACAAATCGCAACGGGTATTTCCAGAGGTTTGGAGTTCCTAGCTGAAAACAACGTCATTCATCGGGACTTGGCAACTCGAAACATTCTCATGGATGCCAAATATGAACCGAAGATTTGCGATTTTGGACTTGCAGTGACGGTGAATTCTCCACAAGACTGCTCTAGTGGTACGCCTCAGCAGTCTTCCACTGGCTGCTATCACATAATCACCTTTGCAAAGCAGCTGCCATTTCGAATTCTTCCACCGGAAGCGCTTTCCAAGCAACTCTTCTATCTCTCCTCAGACATCTGGGAATTCGGTCTCCTCCTCTGGCAGATGTTCTTTTTCGAGACTCGGAAACCCTTTGAAAATGTCCAGAGTTCCGATGCTCTTTTGCGCTTTCTCTCTTCAGGTCGTCGCCCTTCAAACGGATTCCTCAACTATGTCAATTCCGACAACACTGGTGACAGCTGTCAGGCTCCGCCGACAATCGATCGACCTCCGGCTATTCCCGACGCTTTGTGGGAGGTGATTTGTGACTGCCTGCGCTTCCAAGCATCCGAACGACCAAGTGCGTCTGAGGTGCGTCAGCGGCTCGACGAGTGCTATTCCACTTATGAAGAAAATGGTGATGGCTGGGGCGTCACTGAACAGGGGAACAACTATTACTTGCTCTGTAAAAGGGTTCCAAGCCACGAGAACGTTTGTGGGAGTTCCTCCTTCGTACAAGATGTGTTTGGGGAGCCCGGATCCCATTTAGCCACCTATGAGAATATTGAACGGGCTCACAATAGTGCTGGCTACCTGGAAAGCTTCCCGTCATCCTCCGTCTGACTACACACCTGTTTGGTCCATGTCCCTAATCCTCCTTTACCCACCTGTAAATACTTTACAGTAATTTATTTTATAACAATGCTACAGATTCCCAAGTGTACACATTCAGTCGGTTACCCTCATAATACAAAAACGCCGAGGCATCTACACCTACCTCTCTTGCCTCTCGATTGTCATTTCAGTGATGACTCATGTGGCCGTGGCAACCGTGGCCCCAGCGAATGGAAACGGTAGGTTTGTTTATGGCATGCTGGAGATCAGTTTTGATTGACATCCTGGGGAGCCTTGGTGCAACCCTTCACCGTTTAAAGGAATGTGGTCTTGGACCTAGTAAACAACAGAGTAACGAGTGGGGCAACCAGCCACCTTCGGTGGGTGTGTCTGCTCGCTTATTTCTTTTCACGTTGACCTACATCCGGCTTTCAAGCGGAATTGAGTGTCTATTCAAGCTTTTGAACCGACGACCGAGTAAATTCACGTCATGCAGCATAAGGGGACCTTACGGAGGAAGTCCTCTCCCGGAAAAGGACCCAGGATCTGGTCACGCGTTTCATGAGCAGGGGAATTTCGTTACTTAAGCGGTTCGATGATGCGGGCCTGTTTACGAACCTGTGGCTTGAGCAGCGTTATTAATTCTTCGTAATTTTGAGCTAGTGAACGACTCAAAAGTTCACAAAGGAAGTTCAAAGGCAAGATTCTTAATGCAGGTAATGGAGGAAACATGTGTAGAATAGTAAATCTGCAAAGCTATGCATCATTTCTTTGATTTTAAAAATTTGCTTATTCGGTTTTTTAAGCGGCCAAGAGAACGCAAGGCAATTTCTGGACAGGAGTTTACCAGTGGTGGAAATGAGTGTCTACACGCCTGAGTCATACATCAAGCCAGATCCAGTGGGTTCCGGAGGAAGGGGAAGTGGGAGGTATGGCGAGGAGGGGGAAAGAGGGGAAGCAACTTCAGGCACGGTGGGACTGCACGCGAGTGTGCCTGGGTGTGTGGTGACTCAGGTATCGTTCCCTCTCCCCCTCTCTCTCTCCTTCTGTCAAGGCCATTCGTTGGGCGTTTGAGTCATGCATGTAGTGTGACTCAACGACAAAACGGCAGCCGCTGCCGTAGGGTTGGGACAAAAAATGCGTGGTCTTCGCCCGTGAACGCATGGATGGATAGGAAAGAGGAGGATTTTGCACTGCATGAATGCGGAGTCCCTACAATGGGCCTCTTTGTTGTTGGCGTGTGATGGATTTTGTGTCTGCTATGGTGTTGACCCGTGCGTACTACCTGTCTTACTGCTGTCTGCATAATTTGGTTGGGATAAACAAACACATTTGCAATGGGTACTTCGAGATTAACACCTGAAGTGAATCCGAAGCTAGCCTTTATCTTTTCAATTTGAGGAGCTGAAGTGACCTGTTAGCCCAATCTGCCTACTACAGGTGGCCGACTACCAGCAAACACCGACTTAAGACTGACTTGTTGCGTCGGCGATAACTTTATCAAGAGGTTATTTGGAGGAAAAAGTTGCCCGAAGAAGTAACTGTGCCAAACAAGATTGGGAATCAGAAAAGTGCAAAAAACGGGCTCCGAATTCGCAGACCAAAAGGTGGTTTATAATGCACATTTATTAAATGGGCAGACACAAGCACGGGTCCAGGAATTAGCTTCATGCTATCAGGGGAATACTTCAGACGCATTAGAAATATTGATAAACTAGCAGAATTTGGAGGCATTCGTGCTAGGACTGGCAGGCTATTTGGACTAAGCAGCGAATTTAGATGCAGTAAAATGGCCACTTTAAACTGGACCTAATCGGTAGCTTTTTTGACCTAAGTGACGGATTCAACGAAGTGCCGATGGAAATACGTCCTTGACTGTCTGAGTTTGCCTGTGAAAAATAAAACGGAACATGCTCTGTTGTGTTGTTACAATATAACACGAATTTTCAGTAATTTTTGACTAATTCAACTACTTCTCCAAAGCTAATCAACTTTTTATTCTCCCACATGACCAACAACAGTCTACATTCCATTTAAACGCAAATTGGGCTGTTTCTAAAACGATTTTAAGCAGCCGGCTATCGCAACTTGAGAACAAACATCGCATAATTGTGATGCCAGGGCGATGTGTGACAGTCGGGGCGTCATTTTTAAGCCGCCCTGGAAGCGTTACCAGAAATGACCCCATTAAAGAAAACTTATCTCTTCGAAACAGCAACTTTGAGACGTTAAGGCCCCAGAATTTTCCGGTAGTTAAGGTGGTGGAGAAACGTCCACGCCGTCTTCGTCGACAGACAGAAGAGGGGGAGGGAGAAGGTGAGAGATGGGTGGCTGAGTCACGGGATGCAAAAAAGAGACAAAACTTGCGTGCTGCGCGAAAACCCATATCCGCGCATGCGCCAACCAAGTCGGCGAGGCCCCCGTGAGTGCGTATCCTCGGTGTGTTAAAGGAATTGGGGGGGGGGGGGGAAGGTGGTTAAGGCGATGGGGAGGAAGGCGGAGGGAGTGAGATTAATGGCGAACAAGCCCAAAGGAAGACAGCGCGTGACGACTGAAGGCCTAAGGCCTTTGTTCGGCTAGTGCGAATAGACCCTCGTGCAATGAAGGACTCTTTCACCAGTTTTAAAAGAGAAGTTGGCGAAAGTGTAGCCTGTCTGGCTAACCGACGTAATATAACTGAATGGTGTTGGCTTTATTTGCATAGCTAACAACACGAGCTCTTCAGTCTCTGTTGTTTTCGTTCACCATCCTAGTATCATGGCGTTTCGCCCATGTCAATTCTGTTATCAGCTAACCAGTCATTCTGCATATTTAAGGTAGAATTCTTCTCAGGTCTAGACATACTGTGGGGTCTTGATGAAGGTGTCAAGCAACAATGAGGGCGCGTCATCCAAATGAAGAGGAATCACGATTTTTTAGACCAATTACTTAATCTAGACGTCATAGAAGAAGGAAAATTCTATGTCTAGCTGAACCGGTGAGTTTCGAAACAAGAGGACTACCAAAGTCTCATGCACTTGTGGCAATCATCTCACAATCCTGAAGTTACTCTAGCTTTGAGCTATGCAAAATTTTTCAGCATGGGGCCACCTTCGGTATTTATAAGATATGTGAATTGCATTGGTAGATGATGCCGCCTTACTAGCATAGCGGCCGAATGGAAGCCTAGCAGAGGTGTGATTGTTGAGTATTAACACTAAGATGCCAATTAAAATTGTGTGGTTTATTGAATTCCAGCGTTCTTACAAATAGTTATTGGGGCATGCAATGTGCTCGCCGTACGACGCTGATCCGCTTTGAGTAGTACAATGCCTGTGAACACTCACACCGCAGTTCGCGAAAAGGAGGCAATTAATGCTTTAATAGAACCCACAATATGCATTACTGGCACTGGGATAAGATGTCCTTTAGTCTAGATGCAAAATCAACATGTGATCTTTGACTCCTGCTTCTGACTTGTGGAGGATTATTAAAGCCACCAAGAGAACACAGAAAACCGACGAAGGGGATTGTTGGAGGAGGGCCATGTAACCTAACTATATCCGTCTGCGTAAATTCCGGCCGCCATCTTGCAGCTCCGCCTATGTCACATCCGCTAAAAGCCGCCCACCAAACTTTCTGCGCAATCATAATGAAGTCGCGTCCAGAAGTGCAACCTCACAGGGTCTTCACGAAGCACCCGGGTCACTCAGTACCATACACAGATTCTCTCAAACAAAATGTAGTTTTTAATTGTCGGTTAATCTAAACACAACCCTACTCTCTCTCTCTCTCCCTCTGAGGTAAGGTAAACACATACAATGGCATGCACACACGCGCCGATGCCTTTCACGGCGCAATCAATACGCTACGCTGGTCTGGCATACCATCCGTGCGTGCTTGAGTGGATGGATGGCAGAACAGCTGCCTTAGGCGACGCGAGATAAGGACTGGCCCAACCTACTATGCACGGCGCAAAAGTGCACAAAGTCCTTTTGTAGTGGACCGTGATCAGGTTGTGCCATTAGTTTGAGCTCATCAGACCCTTAATTTTAGCATAAAATTTTTGCAGCAATAAGAGTTATGTAGAGGAGGCGACCGAGGGCTTGGCACAGAGGCGTAAAAGCAGCTACGACTGTACTGCAAAGTTGTTATAAAGTCGCCCTGGTGCCTCATCTATTGCGTATTCTACTGTCGGTTAGGCAAATAACAAAACAACATTGTTACACAACCTGCCTAGCAAGTCAATAAGAATAAGCAATTGTATTTGAAACAGACGCACAACAATGCAATGTAACTTATTTGAAACTTTTGATTGCATATTCCAAACAAACCTATGAAAAAGTTTGCTTCCGCGACCCGATTGCAGTCATGTATAGCAGCGGCGTGCCAAAGAACCTAAAAGCTGTCTTTTGAAGTGTTGCACATGGTATTGAACGTTTACCATACTATGCACACACCTCCCATTGAGTGCTTGAGCAACCTCTCTCGACTGAGGTCATTTTTGCAGATTTTTGCAAATTGAGCTTCTTGACTTTTTTGCCTTAAATGGAGCAGGAAGCTAGCTAGAAGCCTAGTACTCAAAGGGAGCCTTTTTCTATGGCGCCAGCAGTACTTTTGTGATGGCAAATGATTATGAATAGACATAGGTAAAATGACTCTAAAAATAATGCCAACAGATGAAAGTTTTCCTTAAACCGACTCAATCAAAACAGTCAAGGACTGTTGCGGCACATTGAACCTCGACGTCGACTTGTCAACATGTAATAAAACAAAAACTGAATCCTTTCCATAAACTCTAGAAATCATGTGCTTTTGAAAAATAAGAAATATGAAACAAAAAACCAGTTGCTAATTTCCTTCCTTAATTTGAAGCCATCTCTTTCTAGATTTTGAAATAGATGTTCAGGTTGATTAAAGTACAATTTGTTAACACCTTTCCGATTATTATAGTCATAAAAGATCTGGAGACAAAACTGGAAAATTGGAGAGCTTAAAAATGCTGCTTTGCGTACATAGCCACTACGATGGCGAGTCACGATCTGTACAGACTAATACCAAACAGTCTCTAAGGTAAATTAGAACCCCATGGAATTGGTAACGTAAACTCTCCGCTAAATCGACGCACTAGTAAGTGAAGTGGGTATGCTACGTACGCACAAAATGCAATTCATCATGGCGAAATAAGTCACCATCAGGTGCACCAAAGAATATTGTGGTGATGCACTGTTTATGCTTGCGTTCCGATGAAAACACTTTTTGATTACTACAAAATACCCATTTATTTATCAAATGCAGCTACAAACAAAAACATATGGGGAAAAGTAGTACAGATGCAAAAAAAAGACTCGCGTTGACACTAAGGACTACCTAGATAAAAACACCAGATACAACAATTGAGGGTTCACTGGCGTTACCAATAAAGTATAAGTAGGGTTATTTTTATGGTAAGCTCAAAGAACGACACAATAAAATTTCGCGAAGCATAAGGTGGATCTAATGCGGTATACTATTACAGATTTGGGTAAATAAAGCTATGTCAAACTTGTTCATCTGCGTTAATTAAAATAATCCTTTTTAATAAAACCTGCCTTTTGGTGTCGGCGACCGAAAATGTGGGAAATGTGACCTCTAAATAACTAGAATTTGTGAAACGCAAATGCCACGTCAGTGATAAATAAAGAAATAGTTCGGCCCTTGACAGTGGCAATGGCCACATTGAAGTGGAAAAGAGTATAAGGAAGAAGACTCATTAATAACAATTTAGAGTGCATAACCTCCAAACGCAACTAAAATGTATCATTTGCGTGCGTAAAATACATCAGATCCTAATGTTTGGGTAAAAATAGTAGGATAGATAGCTGTCATTGTTTTCATTTCGGATTTACATAATGCAGGAAGGCCTACCATAAAACTGCACTTTTAACAGCCGTCCCAGCAAAATCTATGCACGATAAAATGCTTTTTTACAAAGAAACCATATGTCCTAAAAGTACACGAAAAACATCGGTTTTGATCCTAATTCTAGTGTGAGAACTGCAAACTTTGCTGTGGCGCCACAAAAAAACACATTTAATGTTTGCATTAAATGTACGCTGAATTCCGGAAAGTGACACTTCTTGAAAATTGATAATCAATTTAATAATTTTTCACGTTGTGGATATATAGACTAACTGATAAGCGTTGACCAATAGAAACGCAAAAAGAAACGGCGCAATTTGTGAAAGTCCGGGTAGAATTCAAGAGCGTTAGTCAATAGAATTGTCTGGGTCACTGGCAGTCTGGGTAACAAACTACCATTATGACAGATATAAGAGTGATCCCCCTCGGTAAGACAAAGTGTCATTATGTGACGTGTAAAGGTGCCGGTCAGGATGTAGGCCGAAGCTGTATCTTGGTTTCTCTCGGTGGTAAAAATATAATGCTTGATTGTGGAATGCATATGGGTTATAACGATGAAGTTTGTGCCACTTAATGTTTAGTTTCATTCTTAAGCGTCGCTTCCCTGATTTTTCTTTTATTGTGCAAAAACATGACCTGACTGAGTACATTAACTGTGTCATTATAAGGTAACTTAGTGTTAGTATAATGCAACTTCCAGTCACTTTCATCTTGACCATTGTGGTGCTTTGCCTTATATGACGGAAATGGTTGGTTACAATGGCCCGATTTATATGACACATCCTACTAAAGCCATCTGTCCGATTTTACTGGTAAGCTTTTCTCTTCTCAGGACTTGCCCGCCCTAGGATGATTACCGTCGTATCAGTGTTGAAAGACGAGGTGAACAAAATTTTTTTACTGCTGAAATGATCCATCGCTGCATGAGGAAGGTGAAGTGCGTTTACCTCCATCAAGCTGTAAGAGTCGACGACGAGATTGAGATTCAGGCCTTCTACGCAGGTCACGTGCTGGGTGCTGCAATTTTTCATATCAAGGTGGGCGATAGGTCTTTATTGTACACAGTAAGTTAGAAATCAACTAATTTAGCTACCAGGGTGACTATAACATGACTCCGGATCGGCATTTGGGTGCCGCATGGGTTCCAAGATGTCGACCCGATTTATTGATAACGGAGACCACCTATGCCACTACCATCCGCGATTCTAAGCGTGCCAGGGAGCGCGAATTTCTCGAAAAGGTTCACTCACGACTTGATGCTGGTGGAAAAGTTCTCATTCCGGTTTTCGCTCTAGGCAGAGCGCAGGAACTCTGCATCCTTCTCGAAACCTACTGGGAACGAATGAACCTCTCATTCCCCATCTTCTTTTCTGCCGGAATGGCTGAAAAGGCGACGGAGTTTTACAAGTTATTCATCTCATGGACAAGTCAGAAAATTAAGGAGACCTTTGTGGAGCGCAACATGTTTGACTTTAAGCACGTCAAGGTAGGATACCTTGTGCGATCATTGCTTGTGACACAATATTCAGCATCTAACTCCAGAAGCTGTGGATCAACCAGGTCCAATGGTGGTTTTTGCAACTCCGGGTATGCTTCACGCCGGTCAATCCTTGCACATATTCCGAAAGTGGGCTCCAGATCCTAAGAATATGGTCATTATTCCCGGTTACTGCGTCTCGGGCACTGTTGGCTACAAGGTGGATCGGTCTCTTGATCTGATGCGATTTTTTTAGATCCTAAATGGAGTGAAACGACTAGAATTTGATAAGCAGATACTAGAAGTGTGTATGCGTGTGGAGTATCTCTCTTTTTCTGCTCATGCCGACGCTCGTGGAATAATGCAGCTCATCTCGCAGTGTCGTCCCGGTCACGTCCTCCTGGTGCATGGGGAAGCCTCCAAGATGGAATTCCTCAAAAGTCGCATTGAATGTGAGGCGGGGCTAGAGTGTTCCATGCCAGCCAACGGGGAAATAGCTCTTATACCAACACGGCCACGCTTCGAAGTGGTCGCGTCGGTGGATTTGCTCAAGAAAACCATCAGTGAGCTGCCATTGGGTTGGTGTTGATGTGCTACATTTTAGGTGAAAATTCCATTTTACGCAAGGCAAAAGATAAGCAGTCTCTTTTCAAGGCTGGTGTTGTCGTGAGGGCTGATGAGGTTTGTATGATGGTCTTTCAACAATTACGAATTTTTGTTATTTTTAGTCACGAGGGATCCTAATGAGTCGGGAGGCAGCATTGGCTAGTGTCGGTCTGAAGGAACATGCGGTGCTGTTCACGTCTGTGCACGCGTTTGCTTCAACAGAACCGATTGAGACACTTTTAAAGCGCGCTATGACACTGTGTCTTGTGTAGGTCATACCTTTTTGGCTTTTGATTAATCTACGTTCGGCTGTTAGACTTGTGCCGAAGGAGAAAATAGATACCGAGGATTCGGGGCTGGCTCTCTTCAAGCGAATTTTCATTGATTTTGAATCACCTCCCACAAAGAAAGGCGAACAGAATGACATTCTCCTACGGGTCACGTTTACACTTCAGGTGACGGAAAATTCGAATAACAAATACTCACTGAAGAATGCTGAGAGGTATTTATCAAGTTTTGTTTTTCAGGATGAAGACATGGGCACGAAGATATTTTCGAAATTGAGAGACGCCTTTACACGAACGTAGCTGTGTGGACAGGTTGTACCGCTTGTACGCAAAGGATTATTTTTTTACAAATTCTTGATTTTAAAATTGCGTTTGGAAAAATGCTTATCAAGTGGTCCTGTTTTGGCAAATCAGGGCATGCTGCAAGTCCAGCGACCCATCACAATTTGTTTACTCTAAGAGAAACTACTTGGAAATTAGATCGGTTGCTGGTGTCCATAATTTGATTCTTCTAGTCCTCAAACCCACTGTCTAAATCGACTGCTCAAAATTGAATGTGAAGTTGTCAGCATCCCCGCTTTTATTTTGTGCATTCTTGGCAGGCTGATTTCCGTCTAAGCTGCGTTGCTGACCTCGGAGCCTTCCAGTCTCCTGCGATTTGGCCCACAAAGTGGCGACATGAATTCCACCCGCGGTACTGTACATCGATAGTAAAACGGGTTCAATGCGCAAAGATCGTGCACCCAAGGCACCGTGTTGATAGTAGGTGCAAACGGATTCATCGCGAATGAATAAATCCCCAACTTTGCTGGCTGGACACTACTCCAGAACGTTCCGACAGTTTCCTGTGGTTAAACATAATTAGAAGACTACTTATTCCACCTAGCAAGCTGGCCTAGCGTCAACTTCAAGGGAGAGCTGTAAATGGTCTGTACCACGGCCGAACCTGCGTCAGCGACCAAACACCCAGAACACTGTGTAAGCCATCGCTACTGCCTCCAAATAACCCAAAAAGGTTAATGTGTTTGCTGAAGAATTTTAGAAGAAGCCAATCACCCTAACCCAGATGTTTCAATATTCTAGTAATGGCGACTAATAACTTCATAGTTTTTCTAATCTTTTTTAAATAAAATGGAAGCCCAGGTAAGAACTCGGGATGCCGCATGTATGGCATTGGTAAGACACGCTTTAATAACCAGATGGCCCCACTGTGATCAGGTTGATTTCAGAAAATAGGCGAAGTAAAACCAAAGACATTAGAATGAGTGGGGCTGATAAAAGAAGCGCTTTTAGTAACACACACTGCTGCCTCTCAGGCTCTTCAAATATTACGTACTCGGTATGCGTTGAAAGAAATATGTAATGTTTGTGTGGGTGAATGGGAAATGGAGACAGGCAGTAAAAATAACAACACGATTCGGCTCGGTTCATTACCTCGGTGTGGTGAGTTACATGGCAAGAAATCAATAGCACCATCATTCATAAAAAAGCGGGGCAAATGTACAAAGAAACGTAGAGACGGACAAAAGAGCAATGGAGAGTAGATTATCAAAAGTAGTAAGTAGCGCCCTGCTAGAGATGTGGCAGAAAGGTGGTGGTAGTGGAAGTTGAGGAGGAAGAGGCAGGCTGAGAAAGGTTGGGAAGGGGTGGGGAGAAATGCGGTACCGAAGAGGGAGAGGTGGAGGACCTGGAAGTTGTGGTGGCGGTGGAGAAGGATAGCGAAGACGGTGGTGGGGATGATTGGAAAGCCAAACGAGAGGCTGCTTCGCGTGCCTGTTGGGGGAGAAGGTTGGGCTGTTGCAGCACGTTGGTTGTTGTGCTCAAGCTGCAGAGCGCTTGCATAACAACTGAAAGTCAGGAAAGGGTCACCTGGAACACTTCTACTAGGGATTCCTGTACAATGCTTTCTCCACAGTAATAAGGAAGCAACATCAAATGCACCGTCGCTATCGTTTCGGGTACCAAAGTCCTGCCCTATGAAGTGACTTTATGTCTAAGACCGAAAGCTTCCCACATTTTGCCCCAGCTCCCAAAATGCAACATTGATACAAGTGACAAAACAAGGAAATACATTTTTGACAGTTGACCAATCAAGTTAGCGTCCATTAACAGACAAAACAATGCTGGTATGATGGAGTAAAATTTGGTTGAAATAGGGTATATATTGACGACCTTATAGGCTTGGAATGGAGTTGCGCAACACGGATTCCTTTCGAACGGTCTACCAGAAACACAAAATGCAATCTGAGTGTTTTGCATTGACACAATGAAGTCTAGTGATGGGAGCATTAAGAGGCACCAAAAATAGTCAAAACAGCCATTACTGGAGCAATTATCAATGGAAGAGGATTAATCATAAAAAAGAAGGCTGAGTTAAAAGGAGGAGAACCATACTAAACTAGCTTCTGGTTGGCAAACAAGAATAGTATTTCAACCACATGATATAGATACCACTTGTTTTGCCCTGTAAATCCTTCGTTACATCATCAGGTTTTAATCATAATCATAAGTGGTGGAGAAAAAAGACCGAACAGTCTTGATAACCCAAGCTTAGTGGGAAAACGCCTACTTGAGGCTCGGGATGACCATTTGGTGAATGTGACAAACCAATCAGCTCACACTGCACCATTTACGGGACCCTAAATCATCGAATTACCAGATAAGACGAAAGTTGACAACGAAGACTACCAAAAGATATGCGAATGGAACGTCCTTCTAGACAGTTACAACCGATCAATCACTACTGCGGCTGATCATTCAACGCAAGGAATTGCAGGTATGTTCTCCAAACTTTTTGTAGTCATTGCTATTTAATATGCATTTTCGATGCTAATATCGTAATTTACCTACATTTAGTGCAGAAACAAAGTGTAATTCGATGTATTATAATGAATAAAAGCATACTTAGGTAACCTTGTCACTTGCATAGATACGACAACACTGACGCCTAAAATAAAGGAACATGAAGGCACTACGAACAGGGGAACACCAATGCCCGCACGTATAACCTTACTCGAAATTATCATCCCCTTAAGTGGTGCCTGTACAAACGTTAATACAACTTTCAAATACCTATAACCAAAAACGTACTCTTAGCTTTCATCGTTTCGAATTGGTGTACAAATGCTCCATGAAACACCGCTAGCACTTGCTGGCAAAATATTAGACGGATGGCAGGCTCATCTATTGCCTAACTTGATTTTTTTTCTAACAAGCAACATTTTTAATGAACGACAGCCTAAGGTTTCGAGGAAACCCATTTTGATCAAACTTGCAAAACTTTTCGAGTAGGATTTACGAGTTAAGAGGAGCAACTCAACATGAATTTTACACCTACTTATGTCCGTACTACTCAATTACAATTCAGCATACTTTGGCTCCAATTCACACACTGCATGCCCGCTTCAAAGGAAAACAATTATTATTATCTAATTTCAAGATTCCCAGGGCCGATTTATGACATGCGAAGCGAATATTGCTGTAAAATACGTCTAAGCCTACTAGGTTCATAAGGCCGTTCAAAATCATATTTAACTAAATCGTACTATTAACAGTAAATAGTTATTACCCCTAAATCTTGCAATCACCTATGAATACTTCACGAAATAGTTTTGGGTCGACTTAATTAGAAATTAACTGGTAGTTGGAAATCCGAGCTGGTTGACTGAGTGTGGAAATTGCTACAAAACATCCTTCTTCCGATACACACCCGAGTGCAATAGTCCAGAAAGTGTTATTTTCACCGTATCCCAAAGTACCTTCTAGCACTTTCCAGGACGCTTTATTGCTGAAGAAAGCAAATTCACCATGAAATAGGTGAAAAAGGCACACATTCACACTACTTAATATTCCTATCCTTAATCTAGAAAATAATGCATCGATTACAAGAATGAATTTTTATTCAAGCATTCTACATCTTATACGAGGGTTTTACTAGATAGGGGTCCAACCACGATCCACTAGGATTCATTTGGTATTCATGCATCAGATACTTCACAGTCAACGTGTTTGTAAAGCTTCTCCAAAATGATCTTGTTTTAATAAATGACGGCCTAATGCCCATGAGAGACTTCTCACACAGAATCCTCAAGCATCTCAAGGAAGATCCACAACCCACGCAGGATAAATTCGTTGCTGATTGAGCCAAAACTATGTAGTACGAAACGCCTGTTTCCAGATAATTAGATAGAGAAGAATAGGAGTGAGTTGACTTACGCTTTCGTAGCTGTGGCAAATCGCAGTGATCCTCCAACCAGCTGATCGTGGACCGTCGAAGGACTTCGCGGGAAGCTGAGCAGCAGACCTTCTCACAGTAGGTTTCGAAGACCTCTGTGAAGATGAGGCTGAAAATGTAGAACTTCCAGTTGGCCTCTGTCGCTGCGGCCACAAAATTACGGAACCAGACGCGTGCCACATTCTTCATGCTCTTCACCTGCTGCTTGGACATGGCCCCCGACGTGGGCAGCTTGTCGCAACATGCGCTGAAACGAGAGGAGGCAAGAAACGGTATTGTAGCCATGGCCGGAGGGCTTTGGCCGTCCCACCTGAGCTTCAACTGTTTCGCGCATAACCACGCTTCCGCTAGACATGCATGTCTAATAACACTTTTGAGGGTATCTTACAGGTTAAATCACGGTAGCTTTCATTCAATCATGCATCGATCCGTAGTGCTAATGTGCTATCATGCGAGACCATTCAACCCTTCTACGAGCCGGCTTCCAAAAACATCCGACTTCGCATGAAACCAGATATAGCAAAAAGTTCTTTATTTTGATGATATGTGCTACCACAGGGGCATTATCAATCCCAATGGCAGTCATATAAAGCCTTGTTCATGAGGCTTTTGGCCTGCATAAGTCGATGATAAACCATAGGACAGGTTCAAGGACAACTCAAGCGCTACAACAGAGTCGCTTCGTTTCCGTCGTGCACCTAAATGTTAAAAAAAAAACTATTTTATCCTAAATTTCCCATATTGTTGCGTTGAAAGCCCTTTAAACGACTGTTTCTGGGATAACTACTTTTGTTGAAATAGCAGAATACTAATTCCAGTCTCCCTTGATTTGGCCATCTGTGCTACCAGCCCCTCATCTCTGTGGCGCTCTAGAAATACAGCCATTCCTTCACATCTTTGTCTAAACATATCCAGAGGTAACCTGGGCACTAAGTTGATAATGAAGTGATATCATTCCTCCATTTTATATCGTTTTCATTTTAACGACTGAAGATGACCATGAACGAATTGATAAACTGGCTTCATGATATCTTGTTTACACCAATTCCACGGTGGCACAAGCATGTCAGACTAAGCATATAAACCGCTCTCTGGCTCGACGACAAAAATAAATCGTGAATGGGGTATGAACGCATGTACTGTGGTAAATTATTTGTAAGGGAGTTGACACGGTTAGTCTCCACAATCTATAATTAAACAAAGGGGTGCGAAACGAAATAAAGGAATTATAGACACACACAAGAGAACACCGCATCCTAGTTTCAACCGACGCAGATTAGCACGATAGTATCCGTTGTTGTCTGGAGGGAATGCTAAACATCAGACCGTTTTCATTCGGTGCGAATTCCGTCAGGATGTGTTTAACTTGAAGGAATCAGACGCTTTGGAAGTTACCAGTTAAGTTGTGAACTGGTCTTTGAATATCGTATACCTACCAACGAATTTTCAAAGTTTAAAACTTCAAAAGTTGCACCTGATATGGAAAATTAATGCTTGGTAATGCTTCGATTATTTGTTTAACTGTACGCTTCGGTTTTAGTGACACTTAAGGCTTTGCCTTCGTACTTCCGCTGGGCGGTATGGCCTCCGGGCTATATTAGTAGCCGCCCAGTCCCTCCGGAAGACTTCGGGAACCACACTGGCGGGACGGAAAAGCGAATCCAATACTAAAGAATACCGATCCTGTATTTTAATCCTGAATGCCAACTCTTAACGTGACGAAGGAAGGGTGTATGCTGCGGATGGAAGAGTCGGTGACGACTCCCAACAGAAGGACTGAAAATGACGTTTACCTTCGGCAACTACCCCAATCCCATGTTCTGCAGGAATGCTAATAACTGGAGCAACACTAGCTGTGAACCATCTAGAAAGGTTCGCTGAGCTGCCAATGGTATCTCTTTGAAGATGCAAAGAAATAAACCCGCAATACATCCCCCACCTCTGTACTAGATAGACTGAACTTAAAAAGAGATGGCTGAGTAGCACTGAAGTTAGAGCAATGTGGCGAGAAGGAACAAGTGCGAAACTGTATCCCCACAAAACTATATTAAATGCTGTCCCTTATTAAGTGACTCTGCTTTCAGGCCAGTGTTCTTACGACTATTGACGAACGTTTCCCCTTCCGCCAACAGAGTTCCCAAACAAGACAAAACTTCAGATCCAGTAAAATTGCCAAGAGGCATCAGCGTCGTTGCAATTCAATATCTTCTCTGCTGCACGCAAACTCGATGAGTGGTGCGGTTGACTCGTGAGTAAATTACCTTACAGCACCGACTGCGTTGTGATAGCTAATGCGGGAGGCTGACCAAGGGGAGCGTCGGGGACGACGCTCAAAAGAGGATAGGGACTATGTAATACTTTGATTATTCGTCTAAGTCTTTATTCTGGTTGTGCGGGCACTTAGAGCTCCGCCTTCGCACTTCGGCTGGGCGGAATGGTCTTCGGGCCCTCATCACTTCCGGAAGTCTCGGAGCGCCACAGCTATCTTTTATTGGTTTGAGAAGGTAGAATGACAAATACAATAGGTCACTCAAACAAGAATTGATTGTGAAATATGAACCGACTACCGAACACTGGACTAGCATCAAATAATAGGGTTCATGCTTCCGTATAATTGCAAAATTCATGGAAGACTATATAACTGACATGCATTAGAAAAACAACGGCGTATTATGAACCGATTGCTCATCCTTGAGAGTAACTTTTCAACCTATAATCAAGACGGATGTTAAAACTATCATTAAAATGATAGGGAAAGTGTTCAGAGAACAATGACTTTTTTGCAGGGTCCTTGGTGTAACCCTAATTTAAACGCTAACTCAAACCAAACACAAATGATATGGTTATGGTCAAACAACTTTTTAATAAAATGTTAAGGTAAAACCGCAAAATAAGACATTAGCAACAAGCGCCAAGGACACATAAATGCATTCCAAAATAGCTAACGGAGCAAAAAACGTAAAACTCGTTTACTGAGCTTAAATTCGAGTCAAGATACCGAATTCTGAATAAAAAATAAGTTTGCTGAGGTCATTCTAAACTACGGAAAGGTAATTGGTTTTCTGAACAAAATAAGTAATTGAATATAGAGTTTAACGTCAGGAGTCGTTTGCGTAATCAAAGATTTGCAGTATCCGGGTGAGATTCCGTTGGCACATGTGATTTCGCTTCGTTAGTCATAAAATACGACACTAAGACGTTAAAAGCCGATTAGAAAAAAAAACAACAATCCGACACATCAAAAAGCTCAGCGTTTTGGTGAAAAACATACTAGTGACGAAGATGACTGGAATTAAAATGGAAAATGAAAGGGATGTAGAACTGAAGCTGAATTGCATTCTTGACCAAGTAACTTCCGATTAAACCTTAAATAGAAGAATGAAATCCATGTAGTGTTCCTTTCCTCACACAATTAATTCGAAAGAAACAGGTTAATGCCTTCTGCCCTACGAGCTGCAGCGGAAATTCGCGGTAAAATGCTTTAAAATTACTTTGTGGTGATATCCATCTAGATTAGAATGAGAGTAATCCAATAGGCGTAAACGACATGGATATTCTTTAAAAGGCTTGAAGAATGCGCACGAAAATCTGCACTACATTGACTTTAAAACAAGTTTCATCGTTGTCCTACACAGCTGACATGACACACTCAGTTCACCTCCCATCTTCCTATTAAAGTATGAGAGGTCGGACATTTGTAAACGTTCTCAACTCACTTAACTGACTCCTGGAGACTATCCAGCTCCGCCCTAAGACGATTAATCTCCGCATCCAACTGATCACGAATCGCCCTCTGAGATCGAATCAACTCCGCACCATCCCTCAAAACCGCCGCTTTTGAGGTCTTCTGGTGATGAACGTGGTGGTTATGCTGTTGCTGCAAAGTTTGATGACCACTGGTCACCTTCCTCTCCCCTCCCAGTCTCTTCTCCTGGTTTTGCAGGACGAGCTCCTGCAATATCTTCAAGCTTGACTGCATACTCAGTCGCCTACGTTGCTCCGTGCTCGAAAGATGAAGGCACGCAGTGGTGGAAGCTTCTCCCTGTTCCGCAGAGGACGATTGACGGGGGGTAACCAAGAAGGCAGATTTGATGTCCTCATCATCGTCCTCATCGCCGGCACCACCCTCTTCCCCTTCAGTACCGGTGACAACATAGCTATCGAAGTCAGTGTCCTCATTCTCGTTTCCCTCGTCAAGTAACACTTCATCCTGCTCTTCAGGTTCTTTTAAGACTTCCGAGATTCCCAGTACTGTGGTGGCTGAAGGCGGCTTCACGGCGGACGCATCCTCCTCTCCAAAGTCCGAGGGCTCGTTGACAGTCGGGGGGAGAGGGCAGATAGTGTAGAGCTCCGGAGCGGAAGAGATGCTTCCTCCACAGAGCTTGGTGGATTCGGTAGGAGGTGGCAGGGGACGACGGTAGGGTGGTGGGTTCGGATGGTATTGGCTGCGACTGCGGCGGAAATGGGAAATGAGTTTCTGCGAGTCAGCACCGCGAGGAGCAGTGTAGGAAGCAAGGACCCGTGGTGCTTGGGGAGTAGCAGCTGCGGAAGAAGGAGGGGGAGGTGGTGGTGGTGGTGGAGCGGGGCATGATGGAGGGGGGCATGCGTTCGGCACTGGAAAATCGGTTATGCACTGAAACAAGCGGGAGAAAATTTAATTTTGCAAAGTGTTTCACACAAATTGCAGATCAAATTGATCTGTACCAAAACTACTCCACATGAAAAGATAATAAAAATCTTAGATAAAATTGGAATATGGAAGTAGAACCTAATAATGAGTGTGTAGGGTCTTCAAAACGAAGAAATAAAGTCCCTCTACATGCAGATTACAATCAGGAAAGTAAAAATACTTAACTGCAGGTGAATGCTAAGATATAATGAAAACGTCTGCAGCCCGTTTGCTACTGGAATGACAAGCATCTCATAGACAAAAATTAATTCCTAAAATAGAATAATAAAGATTGACTTTAAAGAGCTGTTCCATTACAATAAAAATTCTGCCGAAAAAGGGAAAGAAGTCGGTTTAGTAAAGGGAGGGATGAATTGCAGGCTCTTCTATTTTTCTTGTGGATGACTTAACCCTGCCTAATATTCAAAATATTTTCAAATAAAAGGGCACCCTTGATATCAAAACTCAGGTACAGAACTTAATAATGGATGGGCACAGAGGAGGGAATGTGACGAATGCAACACGAGGGTGGAAAAGGGTGGCCCTACACATGACGGAATGGACGATGCTTGATGATTACACGAATATTGATAACTTAGTACTAATTTAAGGTGAAGTTAAGAACGCAAATGACACTGGAAATACGCTAAAACACAGAGGGGAGTTCGGAAGCTCCGCGTTAGCGTATTTTAGACAGTAAGAAGGTAAGAGGTTTCCTCGAAAAAAAAGGTGTCCCTGAATCCGACAATCGTTCAAAAGGTATTTTATGGTCCGATTTTAAAGAAACTACAACGGAAAGTACAACTGTAAGGAGAGTAAGGTCGGAGTAGGGGAATAATGAAGAACCAAACTTCCTTCTAGAAAATTTACAAGAACGGATGGATTACGTAAATTAGCTAAAAACGATAGCTTCTGTCTAAAAAAACTATTAATTTTTTTTTATAAAGACAACTTTTGATGCTAAACTGAAATTGACGGTGGACTGATTCACAATTGTTCGAGACGACCGGAAAGTGTTCCAACCACCAAAAGTGGCTGAAATAGATTGAGTACAACTTAAGCTGAGTTGGTACTGTTTGCAAGTGGAGACCAAGGTATCAATGAAAGGAAATGGGTGACTAGATGGACAATGAACAAATTCTATGCCACAAATACGGATACTGGTTGAAGCAAACAAAACTAAACAAACCCTGACGTCGGGGAAGCGCCTCAAAGCACAAATAGTATGAGCTCCGAAGTGGAAGGACGCATTGATAACAATTTTTCTGTTAAAGCTTCTTGGGGAATCGATCAACGACGGTCTCATGGTACACAAGAGCCAATCAGAAAACAGAAAAAAAAAGGTTCTGGTAAACTATGTAAACGAAAAACGAGGATGTTAGATATTATTTTTGAAATCATCACTACTTTTCGAGGAAAGCTTCTTAAATTCAAATCGGAATTTTATATACTGTATCAAAATTACTGTCTTCTGGTGTTAATAGAAAACTGGCATTTTGCGTATGCAGTCGCCCTTCCACTAGGCGGCATGGCCTTCAGGCTTTTTACGACTTCAGGGGAGACTAAAAGCGTTTCGTAGCAAATTACATCATCAACGATCCGGTCTTGCCCGAATCATTCCTGTTCATAGGGTTTTAACATGTCGCTACCAGGGTCTTTCACGAGAAAAAACCGACTACCACGATGCAGATGTTTTACTATCCTAGTATGACAAAGCTACCAAAAAAATATAATTTATCTCAGATTAAACATACTTCACACCTACAGCATTGTATTAAACTCAACTGATTAGTCTGTGCCATAATTTGGTGCAGACCATTACCATAAATTGATAAAGAGTAGAAGTCAAAAGTCACGTATGGCGTAAGGTACAGATAAGGGAATGGGTGCTTTATATGTGTGCGAGGCTGGTAGCTAACCATGTTATAGAAAAATGCAAAATTTCTTACCAACAGTCTGGTAAGGGCATAGAACTATTAATCAATTTACACACAAAATAAGGCTAAAACAGCAGAATCTCATCAACCTAACATAAATTGCTGCAAACTATTCACATAATCACGTTTCACGATTACTCCATGAAGATCCAGGAACCGTAGAACTAGAATTTACAGAAAACCACACATATGTTCTAAATTAAAAGAGCCAAAGATTTTTTAAAAAAATTGATAACAAATGGGCAGTTGGAAAATCACAACTTAGCAGTGCTTTACTTTACATTACTAGGGCCGTGGAAATGGAGGCAAAAACGTCACTTTCGAGTTTTCTTCAGTGTCTAGTGATTTCTGCTCGAAACGGATGTTTTGTGATTCGAGGTAAATTCATAGGAAAAATCACTTAGATTCGCGATCGCAACTGTAAAACTGTTCGGCAGTAATGATGATGATGATGAAAGACCTACCAGGCCTGGACGATTGGTAGTTGTATTGTGACGATTCACTGAGATTAGGAAGACGGTGTTGCTGAAGGGTGTCGCAGACGGCCTTCGTCGGCTACAGAGGGAGCAGGAAACAATAAATTGGTTGTTAAGGTGGGGTAGACCTAATTTGGTGCTACAGTACTAATGACCCTACTTGGCTTAAACAAGATACGGAGCATGGGTGTGTAGACGCGTGACCTGTCTTTGTTTATACAGGTGATGGCATCCATTTACGAGAAATCACTGACACAAAACACACCTAGCTACCAGACCTATTTTGTCGTGTTTATGTGCCAGGATTAAGGCTACGGACACCCATTCCGAGAAAACCAAGATTGCAATTTATGTATAGCACCGCGGTCAGCAGTAGCTCGATACGAAGTCTGGTTTGAACAAATTTTGCTTTTTAAAATAACTAGTTTTCCGCAGTTTCAGTTGCATCAAATAAAATAAAGAGAATAGAATGAATTCACACGGTGAAATGGTAAAAAAATCCAGAAATTTCTTGCAAACCACCAATTTGCTTATCGAGCATACATATATAATGCGAACCAAAAAAAAGGAATTCCAATCAAAATAATAAGAAAACCTGGTTTAACATTCTCTGCTCTTTAAGAAAACTGCACCAAGCCTACTTCTGATGTGAAGGTTTAAATGTGTTCACAAAAAGTCTACCCATCTGCTATATTTAATAAAGGATTTGTTAAAACCTCAAATTACGGTACTGCCCCACACATTCTGTAGGGGCGGCATTAGCCAATAAGATCTAAAACACGCGATTAAAGGTTTCAACACATGAACTGAAGCGGTCATTCTGAGGCGATTGACATGCAATAAAAATGAGATGACGAAAGGTAACGTTATATTATCATCTGTGAAGAGCCCTGATCACAGCAAAAGAGAACTTTGAAAGGGGAACGGTGTTGACGTTGAAAACTAATACTTTTTACAAAAAGAAAGCCATTTCCCGTAACTCGGGCTTGTTTTTTTATTTGCAATACAAACTCCCTGCCATTTTGTTACATCGTACCTAGTTAATTAACTGAAGGACCACCTTTTGCTAAAATATGCTAATGGAGAAAGCGACTCCCCTTTACGGCTCAAAAGGTAACACCTTAAAGTATGAAACCGTAATAATTGATGCTGGCGGCAAAAGTAGGACTTATCGACTCAAATTCGCATTAATTTGCGTTGGTGTTAGGTTTTGTGCTCGGGGTTTGTTGAATGGCCTCCGCCAGAGGTGTCAAACCAGCTGCTAGTGCGAGGATTATAACAGTCAACCGTTCGGTCAGCCAGCCACAGGCAGTGAGTTTTGGCCTCAGAAAAAAACAACAAAGCACACTTTGTTTCACGCAACATGAGGCCTTCCTGGATGGATATGGATGCAAACTGCCGTCTCGCATATATAGGGAAAAAGTAAAGCCAATGAAATTCACACGACTGCTAGCCGTTACAGGCGATGGGATGGAAAGCAACGCACAATAAGAAGTCCTCAAAATCAACTACGCCTTTGTTAACTGTTTGAACTACCATTGCTAATCGTCTGGGAATGATAAAGCATTGCGCGTAATATATCTCCTAACTAATTTGTTCAAATTCTTGCCCCTTATGTTAACTCAAGTAATTACACTAATGCATTACTAACTACTCCCAGATTAAAAGAGCTTTCTACTCACCACTAGAAGATTTGTCACTGACGTTTACTATGTATGATACCAACGTTTCCCTTTTCCTTTGCAAGAACCCATAGGTGACTTTTATTCAAGATTGATCTGTTCCAATGTTGGCCGCAGGACAGGGAGGCTTCCTGAGCGTGATACATCATCACCGGAATCAACGTACAAAGATAAACCATTCGATTCTGGACAGTGCGTCCCGCTACCACATCTTCTCCAGATGATACGCAAAAATCACGACAAAAAGCTAGTTTCTGCAGTTTTCGAATCGAGCACAACTTCATTCGTGGGATAGACAGGTTTGGATCGCATCCACCGTGTGTATAAGCATTAGCGTGTATTTCACGATGAGACCATAAACGTTAACCCTAGACGTTGAAAGGAGTCGCATCGAAACCCACAAACACATTCAATTCCCTGGTGCTATTTGAATAAGCTTTTCAAATATGAGGGAGACAGCTTTTCTGAAGATCCACACATGTCTAAACCTTTGCTTACATTAGTTCTATTAAGGTAAAAACACAATGTCAGACTAACATGTGGGATAATTAGTTGAATTTACTAGCTACACTAAAAAAACCAACAAAATAGGCCAGCACAATGTATAGACTCCATTTAATAACTAATTCCACCAGATGTCTAAATCGTACTTTGGAGAAAGGTTTTTTTTAAAAAAATTTTGACATAAGTAAACATCGCATTAAATCATGAACCTGAAATGAATATATTCTGAAGCGTTTATTGGGCCGGGTTATATTTCTAATGCGTAGGGTTTACACTTTAATATTTTTACAAAAATCTTAAAATACAGAGGGCGTTTGATACGAGTAACATCAGAAAAAAGACTCGAAATGACGCTGGCCATTAAGGATGATGTAAACCTTTCAAAACAGTAACTCTACATAAAGTAATAGCAACTTCAATACATATGCAAGGGGTTTTGGATCACGAAGGAATCTACTCTTTTTAAAAAAGACTTTCAAATGCATAGCACAAAACAGAAAGAGCGCATGGCTTATGTTCCGTGCTTAGAAGAACAAATTAAAGTTGCAAATTCACATCAAGTATTTCATGTTACCTTTGGTGAAGCTGTTTTATTTTACCTCCTTCGTTTTGACTGCGTTTTTGTGACTAAACGGCCACCTCTTATGCGAAATACGCAAAATACCTCCAAACTTTGTTCAACTGCAATTATTACTTCAGTCATATATGCTGGAAAATGGGCTACTACAAACAATATTTAGTTATTCACCAGTATATGTCCATGTAACTTCAGAATGTAAGTCTACCGGGTTATAAAGTAGGCTTAAACTCTTTAAGAAATTGCAAGCTTTTCCTTTGTAAGATAAAGTAGAATGTACAGTTTTGCAAAGAAAACGACAGTGTATGCAAAACGAACGGTACTCGTGGTTCTAGGATATCAGCAACACTTCCTTTCAACTTAACTCTCCCCTTTGCGACAAATGGTTCCTATGATGAGACTGTAAAGCCTTACCAAAACTCATTTATTATATAAACAGGGCTGAAATTGTGCTTTGATGATGGGGATTGAATGGGAGACGGGTAGTGTGTATGTGTTTGTTTGCAAATCAACCCCGTTGGCTGTGCCAATTGGCACTTGCATAAGCATGCACCGGACCGAACACAACCTGCCTGCCTTTTGGCGTAAACCGCAGGTGTGAAACGCACCTTTGTGCGGGTTAGTTAAATGTTTTTCTCGATCTAAATACCTTCCTTAGGGTGTGGCTCCCAGTCTCCTCCACATACATGCACATAAGAGCCAGTGAAATAATCGTGAATACAGCACGGAATTGTGCATACCCTCGAATAATGGCATTTAGAAGACTGGGTAAGTTTGTCGGATTAAATCCACTTATATCGAGGTAGTTCAATTTAAGAGCCTATCCATGGGAAATGTTTATCAGAAAGCCTTTCAAGAATAAAACAAATTTGAGAAATTTTTGTCATTAAAGCGACAGATTTTTGGTCTACAATCGAAGGCAAACACTGATCTCTCATACCTGTGAAACGCTGAATTAGTTGATCACTCAAGACAAAAACAACAAGGAGGAAAACAAAACACCAATGAAGTTGAAAGATGAGCCCCCCTAATAAGCCTAAATGTATCTCAGTTTTTATAAAGTCTGAAAGGAAATTATTATGAAGTTAAAATCTATCATCTAAATGTTAACTCCTTTAGCTTGCTCTTTCAAATAACGGCTGGTAATAAGGGAGTGGAATTTTCTTGGAGAAGAACCTCTAATTGGGTTTTATAATTCCTATTTTGCCAAGTGAACCGAAAAAGGTGATTAAGCCAAGAAATCACCCTAAGAATTGGAAAGAAGAACGAGAATAAGTCGACCCCATTTTTTTTTTACAATTCTCTATATAGCACTTTCAACAAAACGGACTCAGTAGAATATTGAAAAGCGGTGTCAATCTCACAAAAAAGTACAATTTGTTTGGGCACCTAGAAGGAAAGGGAAGTTACATTTTGCAAGCTTCTCAAAATCGCATGATCCCAATATCCAAACTGCCTCGCCTTTCTCTAACAGACGCCCCTCGCTGGTCAGGTTTGATCCATGTTGCCCCCTAAGCTAGACAGGAAAAATATCTCGACGCCCTCCGCAGGGTTTTAAAATTCCATAGACCACCGTAGTAGCACGTACCAATGAGTTTTTAATAAACGTCGTCGTAAGAATACACACAGGTTTGTTTATAAGATTGGTATCCTCTCTCTTCAACAGCATCACATTCATGCGAAGATGACCTATGGAGAAAAACAGACAGATGCATGCAGCACACACACCAAGTTGAATGCACTTTTGGCTGGGTGAACAAATCTACTAAACAGAGAGTTGGCCATCATGATTAAAGAATATAGTGGAAATGGTGGGCATGGAGGCTAGAACAATCGGTACGATGTGTTTCAAACGGGTCAGTCGTGGCACAAGTTTGAAAATGTAAGGATCTGGTGTTCGACGAATTAGGCAAAAGTGGATTTGCTTTTAAAAATTAATCAGGTACTGGAGTTAGGTGTCTGGATTCGCACAGAAAAGGCAATCACCAGATTTAAACAAACTGATTCAGTTGGTACTCGAACTGCTCGTTTAAGGTTTTAATTAAGGCATCCCAGATTTCGCACAAACTCACATAAACCACTCATACGTATAGTAAAAGTGCAGTGGAGACGATTGCGAAAAATACTGAATATCAGAGATTTTGAAAATAAAACAATACATTACACTTTAGTGCCGTCTTAGCTGTGAAACTACTTAATAAATAGATGCGGAAGTTAAAATCTAATTGCTATTTAATAAGCGTGTGAAAATAAATCGACTGGTTTAAGCAGCTTACAAAAAAGAGGATCATTGTGAGGAACACCTGGTAGAGAGTTCCTCCTGCCTGATCACCCGCCACACCTATCACTAGCAGGTTACCGGTTCTACTTATTTACTACAGCTACGAGACAGCAATTTGCATACCAACGCCCACGGGAGTGCGAGACAAAGCAGCGTGTGGATTTTTATTAGAAAGACTGGCTGGCTGACCAATCACCTGACGGTGATACCACCCCTCTTGTCATCTTGCTTGAAATATTTGAGGGCTACTCAACAAATGATGACCAAAACCACATTGACACCGAAACGAATCTGATGAAAACTTTCGAAGAAAAATGTTGCCTCTTCCTATTTATTCTTTCCATTTGTACTACCAAAGACACTTGCTTTCCTGCCAAGAATATTTTTTAAAAAAGCAGTTTAGAGGCATACGTCGTCACCAGTCAGAAACATACTTTCCTGGCAAATATACGTATCTGTCGTGAAAATTTCCCTCCATCAGAAACAAGATGGTTTCAAAAAGATCAGGTGATTTTTTTTCTCGCTTGTAATGCGTATCAGTTGTCCCCAGGTGACCCCTCCATTTCGTATATATGAGACACTGTAGATTTTAATCTCATTGGTTCGATATTAGACGATGGTAAGTTCATTCGGTGGAATACGTTACACGATTTCAAAACCCATGATTAGATAAATTTACTTTAGACACTTCGTAAAAGCCCTACCTCCAGGCTTTGGACATTTGATAGACAAAAAGACTTTTAGAATCGAATCCGAATAGATAAATTATGAGTATGACAAGTATTTCACAGTTGATCTGAAATGGCTTTTAGAAAAGTGGATTGACTAGGCTTACTTATCTTTAGTGAGACATAAAAGGGACTATTTAGTCCGTTATATAAACAGCGGCGTTACATTTAAAGTGTGAAAAAAAAGGGCTCACCAGAGATTATTTTAGAAGCCCGTCTAATTTGCCTCCACTAAAAGGTTCTCATGGAAGATGAAAGATAGAAATCAGCGCCACAAGACCATTTGCAAGCACCTCATAATTCAACAGGCATAGATTGACAAACAAAGGATCTCAGTACTCTTACCTGACGCAAGAATAAAAATGTGATTCCCGTCGTAACGAAAGACGAAAAATAAGAGAAATAAATCCTATCTTTGCATGCAGGAATGAGCTTGCAGGAAAAAAAGGGGAAAAGGAATCATATTCACTAACTAGCCTCCAAACAGTAATCACAATGTGGCAGAGATTCAGAAAGAAAGCACAAATTCGGACCGAATTCAAACATATGGCTTCTGAGTAGAACAGACTAAAACTACATGCAAATTAAAGAACGTTTACATTTGGTGAAAAGGGAAACTACGAATTCTTTGAACTCCTCATTTGGAGTCAGAGCATAGCAAACAAACTTGATCACAAGGTGGTTGAGGATAGACTTTCAAGAACAAAATGATTCTTAAATTGCATGACGTCAAAACTGTCAAATTCATTCAATAAGAAAAAGTACGATAGGGTTGAGATCTGTTCCCCCCTGGAAGACTCACATGAGTGACACCGAAATATCAAAAAATGTGAAGTTTTTCAAGTGGCTCCGACAGAAACTTGTCTAAATTACGAAAGGAGTGGGTAAGGGAAAGATAGATTTTTAAGATTTTCCTTGAGTCAGCTGAAAAAAAAGTTTTTGGGTGAAGGAAGACTACGAACTCACATGGCTAGTGTCGGAAAATCCTGCCGAACTCTCATCCAAGTACATGCCAGAGGAGGGTGAAGTCATTTGTTCCTTGGTGATGTCAACAATGAGAGCATTGGCAGGAGATATACTGACCTGTCGTTTGAACTGCGCCGAACTCGTTGTCGCGATCGCCGCCACCATCGCTGTTTCGGGCGAGGAGGCGGAGGAGGTGGAGTGATGCCGCTCCCGTACCCCCCGACCCGGTTTCTGCAGCAACGCATTCAGAAGAGCTAGATTATTCCTCGATTTGCCCGGAGTGCAAGCTTCCTCCCGATGGTCTACAAATCGAAGGGACTTGGAAGCAAAGGTGGATGACGGTGGCGGTGGTTGTGAGGATGAAAACTGTTTGCTGGCAGCGGGAGCGTAGCAGTACTCGGGTTCACGAGGTACCGCCGGTTGGGGAGGAGAGTAGGCGCGAAAGGTTGAGCTGGAAGTAACCTGAGGAGGATTGGGTTGACGTAAGGAGTAGTGGTCATGAGGAGTATGGGTGGAAGACTGGTAGTTACTGGCGTTCCCATAATCATCTTCCGTGATAGTTGGCATGGCTGGCTGCTGGAGCAGACCCGTAATGAGGTCGCTACGGTAGTTCTCAGAGTTGGGTTGCAGCTGGGTCAGGGCTGGCTGCATAATATCCGAGTTGCCAAGCATGGACATGTCACGAGGGTCAGGGAAGGGCTGATCGAGGAAAAGATCCAGACTACCATCGAAGTCCTTCATCAGCTCGTCGATAAAACGAGGACTGCCAACACCAGAAAAATTTGAGACATCGTTGAAAATATCCTTGTCATCGACGTATTGTATCTTCGAGGGAAAGTCCACTGGTAGTTCAAAATCCAAGCGCCGTTTATCCGAGCGACTAGTGCTGGTAGGTTTTTTACGAAGATGGTTGATGTAATAGGTACGCCATCGACGATATTCATTGGAAAGTTTGGCGCAATGCCGATCCCATAACCTCCCGTCCATGGCCAGAGACTGAGTCTTTATGCCTGAGGTCTGGGAGGAGGGCACTTGAAATTGCACAATAACTGGGAGTCGCTGCTTGATATCTAAGGAAAAGCTTGATCAGACACCAAAATGAGAACTTACATTGCATGTGATATTCACGCCAAATGATATTGTTCAGGCGGACCTTTTGCTTCAAAGCGAAACCAGCACCCCTGAAATGACTCCATCTGGGACTGGTAACAGTCTCCACGTAGGCAAGGGAGAGACTCTTGAAAAGTGACTGAAGAGTATCGAATGCTGGAATACCGGAATTCCGATCGGAAGAGGAAGACTCAAGTTCTTCATGAGATTCTGATTCTCCCTTCTCGCTATCGGAGTCATCCAGCTTGCTAATCATAAACTGTCCGCTTTTGATTTCAGAATGCTTCTCCGTCTCATGCATTTTCGCTGAAGAAGGGTAATCATAAACAAAAAAGGCACTCATTTTTAGGAATGTTAACAGACTACGCATGAAAGCCAACTGTACAAAAGGTGCATGACTGAAGACCAAAAGAATGAGTTTCTAGACTAAAGGGAAGTCGTCTCCACAAAAGTGACAAGGTTGCATGGAAGAACGGTAAATAAACTGGTGAATTCGTCTTATTTTCTGCACGTATAAACTAGGGGGAAACATAGGCAAGCAACTTATGCAGAAGTAGATTTAAAGTAGGCGAAATCATAAAAATGGATTAATGATGCACTAAATGAAGTGAAATTACGCGAGGTGCCGGACGACATGTAGACGGATCGCCACAAGATATCAAGTATCGTGCTAACTGTTCCGATTAGGACAAACAAATATCATGCCAAAAGTAACGTTGAGTCAGCCAAAAAAAGCAACTCTTAAAAGTGTGCACTGTTTAGTTTCAAATATATTTTCTGCTCCTGATTGCAAGCACAGGTTATATGTTCTTTACACATAATATGGCTTTTAAGTCCAGCCTGCTAATCTAAGAAATTCATCCGTATTGCAAATTACAAATTACCTAGGTTTTTAGCTCTCATTTATCAATGTCGAAGCGATTAAAAAATATGGTTTATTGTGTGGCGCTCCAAGACTCCCCTGAAGTCAAAACGAGACACACTACTGGGGTAGAATGTTGTAGTACTCCAATGCTTCTCTGAAGACGAATGAAGGCATAGTACTCGGGCAGAATATATGCACAATGCCTATGTTGTTTAAATGTTCCTTTCGGAGAGATGTCAAGCAGATAAATGGAACCTCGTGACTGAGGAGCTGTCAACATCTCCCAATCCAGAGAAAAGTCCAGTACCCAAACCTCCCTGGAACTGTACCCGCTTTCCCCATTTACTTTACCCAATAAACATGACACAGCCAAAATGTCCTGTGTATTCTAAGGTTATGAAGGCCAGGAAAGAGGAGATCAACGAGCCTCGTCCCAAACATATACTTATATACCTAAGACACTAAAGGCCTGGGTCAACCGGTATGGCTCAAAGACAAGCACACCTAGTAAAAGTAAAGTTGCTAATGCACGAATTGGCTCTTTACGAAAACTGAGAGTTAAATAAGCAGCCATTGTATTACATGTCCCTCCTCCTCTTTTTAGCGTAACCCTTTTCCCCACGCTTCCCTTGGTCAGCCTCCTGCGTCATTCATCACAGCGTAATCAATGCTGTAGGGAATAAACTGTATTATCACTGATTTCTCTTGCAATTCAACTATGTCTGCAATTTTATCATGTATGATAACTGATTTCGAGGCCTGAGAATCGCACCAGCCATCGCGCTTATCCACAACTTGATTTAGGCTCACTAACATAAAAGCAAATTTATGTAAGAGAGGAAGGGATTTAACATTGTACCGTGGGGGGCGGATTTTGCGTCTACTCCTCCTTGCCACGTTGCTCTCACCTATGAGCAGCAGGCTTCCAAAAAACCCTTTTTTAAAATGTTTATTCTTTCGAGTCAAAGAGCCGTGCATGACGTTTCGGCGATTAACGTAAAACTGTATATTCTTGCCCACTCATTTTTGACTATGCATGCATAGTCCACCTATATCAAATTTTACTGTAAATCAAATGTCGAAAGCAAGTATCGCAGAGTAGAAGGCAACTAATTTGTATGCATGCACCCTCCCAGTTTGACTGGTTCTGATAAACCTCACACATAACAGGAAACAAGCAATTACGACCGAGAAATCGGAGTTTAACAAGTAAACCAATTTGATAGCTTACTAAACACTGCCAAGATTAAATATTTTACACGAGTGTTGGGATTTCCAAATCAATTTCTACGATTAAGTTGGATGCATCCATTTTAGCACTGTTTAATGGTTCTCCGCAAGAGCACAAAACAATGGGCTAGTTACAAATTATTTTAAGAGTAAAAAAGCTTATTTTTTTGTAAAAGCGTATCATTAAAACCACAAGATAACCCAATAAGTGGCTGACAAAAGCTAGTAAATGGTTAAAAACCTTGAGAGCTTTTCATTCCAAAATAGTTTAGATGGTGCGAACTATCTCATTGGGAAATCCTGAATTAAAGTGGACTGGGCAACATAAGACCAATTCCCTCCTTTCCGGTAAAGCACTTCCATCATTGAAATCTTTCTAATGGTGTTTGTATGCATCTATGGGTGATGGATGTAAGACCGAAGTTGTTCACCGCATCACAACGCCATCAAAACTCGGAGTTAGAGAGAGTAGCCCATATTTCCTCTTTATAGCTAGACTGCGTCATGTCTACAAAGCTGAATTCCGTAAGCAATTACGAAAACACATTTCTGTGTGGTTTTTGGTACCTCAAGCAAAGCTACGGATAGGAGAGTAGCATTAGGTTGGCCATCTCAGGATCGCACAGAGCCTTCCTACTGGTCAATTGGCGTGCCCTGCGAATGGGCGAATAAGGCGTGAGCTTCATCAAGTAAAAATGCGAACCGGTACAAACTCTGAAGTAATATTTGCCCTCAAAAATACCACTAAGGCTCCAATTGTAAAGAGAATCGAAGCGCCTTTACTTAAGTGGGTCCTAAGATGATGATAACTTTCTTCCTGTGTAAGTGCTCGCTGTTTACCTGCATACAACTTTTATGACACCATTTTATGCTTTCCAAAAACAGCTCTCTTGATTTGTTTTAAGAATCAATAGGGTAAAATGCAAATTAAGACAAGTGGTCAAATCTATATAATTCTGATTAAGCCTTTTTTAAACAAGTTGACAGAACTATGTAAAATTGATAATTAGGTTCGCCATCAATAAAAGTTGCATTACCAAGTTTTCAAATACTCTCGCCATTAGTTGTAAATTTGAGAGATAATTAATCCCGTAAGTTTGGCCAGAATAAGCAGTCTTGCACTTGTTTTTGAGTTTTTTCTCTCCCGATTAGAAATGGAGCGCGGTGACTTAGCCCAGTGCTCGATTCTAAAATGTGTTGCTCACTTTTCTTCCCACTTTTTTTCTTCGACCCACCTGATAAGGCAGGACGAGACAGCGGAGTAGCATTAATTTTTCCCAGCACCGCTTGTATGCCAACCGGGTGTGACCGAATCGGCGTATTTGCCTTCCACACCACCCACAGGCCTTAGTTCCACTTCCATTGAAACATCACTAGGCAGTAACCCACAGCAGCACTTCCCCATTTCTCTCCGTCGGAAATGGCAGGCTAGGGAAGGAGAGTGGGAAATCCCTTGGCTTCTCCCTCCTTCCATTACAAAGGAACACGAAAACATTAAAACATTAAATTTGACACCTTTTATTCGTAGTCTTTTAAGCAAGGTTTGTAATAGCGTTACCAACATACATCACTTTAAAAAAATGAAGGTGAACTTCTAAAAAACGTGTATTTTAAGAGCTGAATGTAAAGAAACTATAACAAAATGGAGTTAATCTACCTAAAATGTGCGGTATTTTCGAGTTGGTGCAAGTCTTTTTCTTGTGTAAATCAACTTAATTGCTTTCTTTCTTTTTCGTGGCTTAGAAAATCAAATTGGGATGAGTTGGTAAGTCAGTCCAGACTGATCCCACATCACTTTACCACTTGGCAGGCTGTCACAGGTGGATAGGGTGTGTAAACGCCCTTCAAAATGTCATAACCACTTGATGTGGCTTTAACATGTGCTAGGGGAACGGGCGACTCCCAATGGGTTGCGTGTTTCGCATCTGACAATAAACATCAAGGCAAAATGCGTCTTGTTTAGTTCTACTGCCACCAATAAACAAGTGGAAATCAAAGCGCATCATTTTAAATAACGTGCATGAGATGGAAACAAGTTGCGAAAAATGTCACAATTTCTTCCTTTTAGCACCGTTTGGATGTTGCTAAGGCATAGGATCACCACCGCGTCTTGGTAACAAATAGAACCGAAATAAGTTCGTTTAAATTTAGGTTATTACCTTAGCAAAGCGTTTTTGTTTCGATTCGGGGTGGTAAATCTCTATCTCACCAACAATTCAGACACTTTGACAGTATAACGCAAGGTATTATTCCCATTTCTTTTGATGAAAATTTGAATGGCCTTTTTGGTGCATTAGACTGTTGTTGTCCATTAAGACGTTAACAAATAGTTAAGTTTACCCATAAATTTCGATAGCGGATGTGAATAAATTTTAAGATCGATATGGACCCATAAACCTGAGTGTTTTGTAGTGCTCCGAGACTTCCATGAAGAAGACAGAAGGCATAATACTTAAGCAGAATATGTATTGCCGATGTGCAGAATGGCCGCGGAGGCTACTGGCGTGGCCCAGAGGCCGCGTTGCCTAGCGAACTTACAGTGGCGGAGCCCTAGCTGCTCGCGAAACTAAAACGAGGAGTTAAACAAACAATCAAAGTGCTACAGTTACATCCTGTTAACGAAATAGGGTGTAATGCTTTAGGAATTTAAGTAAAAATGTGCCATTAGAAAGAACAACGATACTATAAGGATTTGAAGCAAAAATCAGCTTGGAGGATGCACTTAGTGGTTATGTATAAGCGAAACGAGCTAAGTGTATACCATTATCAATATTTTAACATATTCGAGAACCTTTCATCCCAATTTAACAAGGATTAATCGCCAAAAGTACATTTTTAGTTGGAAGCTAAAATTAATTTTGTTACTGAATTTCACATTCGGAGTAGTTTAGAGATGAACGTGGAGTGAAGGTTAATTGCAACAAAATAAATCTTCTTTATTTGGAGAGATAATCACCAGCAACACAGTTTGTGCCTAGTGAAGTCAAGAGGCAAAGATATTCCCTCCCACAAACTGCAAAAAGGGAGCCCAGTACAAATATCTTGAATGTTTCTTTAAACGTACTACCATGAAACCGCTTTCAGTCCAGTCTTGATCACCTGACAATTGAAAATCTCTTTTTAGTATCTAACATATAAAGTACTCCTGTAATGATGGAATTTCTTTCATTCCTTTTACTTCCAAAGATTAACAAGCAGTAGGAAACGGTGGATAACTCCAATAAACACTCATATTTGCAATAACGAAGGCATCAATTAAGGATACGTGAGTTGGTTTTTCCTTTTGTATGTCGCAATGCAATACGATTTTAAAACTGTACGTAGAAAGTATTCATCCGCCTAGTGAGAATAAATCCTAGTCTCTTAAGCCTTGCCGCAAATGTTCAACCCGTGTGTTTGATGTATTTCACATCAGTTACCATAAGGCGAAAAGTGGCGAAATCTACTTTTATCGAAGAGTTGCTTGGCTGCGGAGTTTGTCTTATACTTAATTGAGCTTTAAGTAACAAAGCTTATTATTTGAACTCGCAAGTAAGCTATTCATTTCGGGTTAATGAATAAAATTTACAAACAGAATTAAATTACCATCCTGTTACTACAAAACAATCTGAGTTCCGAAAACTGTAGAAGCAGTGATATTTTTAGCAGGGAAGTTTGCCGTGTTACTTGAACTTGAAAGTATGGGAGAGGAAATATAAGGTGTAATGCAGCGCCCCAAGACTTCCCTAAAGACAACAAAGGCGAAATACTTGGGCAGACTGTGCATTAGCGACGTACAGGAGGGCTTGGATGGGGGAACTGACATGGTTCAGAGGCCATGCCGCTCAAGAGAAGTGCAAAAGCGGAGCCTTAAGTGTCCGCAATGCCAAATATTTAAAATGTGACAGTGGAACTCGTTATCTGAAATCTTGAGACGCTAGACATCTGATCGCACTTTGCGATTAAAGTAGGCGTCTATTTGCGCATCTCAATAAAAATAACCGTCTTAACAAAAGTTACCCATACTTCGCTTTTCTATGGCTTCTAATGGTGTTTCAATACGATTTAATCGGATTGAAGTGGTATAAGATGCTTGACTTTTTGTTTTTTTTTTCTGAAAGAGGATTTTGGTGTTCGGTTTTGATTTTTCCGGTTAGATGTTTTTGAAATTTAAAATAATTTGGGGTTAATTAGCGGTACGTCTACGGCGATTAGACGTGGTCGAGCCACTGAACTCAAAAATTAATTGGCAGGCGGAACCTCTATCAGCAAAATACGAAAAAAATTGAAGTCAAAATGTGTTTGTCTGGATTCCACTTCATTTATTTTTGAACAAAAGTAGTTTTGCTATGTCAACTTCTAAAATGTTTGCAAATGTAATCTTAAGATACCCTTTTGGCGCTGCAAAAAGTTGCACATCCTCATTCGTATGCTGCTGGCCCATTGCATAGGACTCTTAGGCTACACGTTACTAAGTTTCATAATGTTATTTGTAAATGTGACACTCAACCTCCAAATTCTTATGGTCAGTTTGAGTTTTTATGCGGTGTAAGCACCGTAAACCTTATTAATCTCTTTGAAGGAAAATATTTGAGCGAATGGATATCCCACTACTCGGTTCCGGTTCCAGATACTTAAAAAGGAATGCCAAACTTGCATTTGGTCGTCTGGTGTGAAAGTGCAAATACTTCAAAACTTCCCACTTTACCAGAAAACCTGCGTGACCGATAACATTAAACAGAAAGAAGTACTAGTTTTATCAAAAACTTGTTGATATATTTGATTCCACGCCTTCATGATGACAAGTTTTAAAATGGAAAAAAATGCAAACTTGGAGGATCAAACGACCTGTTGAAGAAGTTGCTAATGCCTCGATTAAAATTTGCCGTAAGAATTTGAAGAATATCAATTATACGGTTGAAATGGGAGAAATAGAACTTTTTCGAAATTACAGAGCAACACATACCGTTTGATCAGAAGTCTGACAATGCGGGAGAAGTTCTAGCATGTTTTTAATGGTCTAAAAAGAGACGTCAAAATTGCAAAAGAGTTGAAGACGTCTTCAGTACTTTTCTCACATGACTGAGAAGGGAGTGTTGACTTACTTTAAACAAGAGACACTTTATCTAAGTGTTTGGAAATAGAAAATAAGCCAAATATTAGGAAAAATAAAACATTTGACATTTGAAGTCAAGGTTGATTTTTAGATCACTTGGTCCTGTGGGACTCACATTGCAACCCTTCATTACTTCCTGAAATTAAATGCTTCATATTTTTTACTTATCAGTAACATTGGAAGTATCTGGATGGCGTACTTGCATTATCCAAATTGCAAGCCACCCACATATAGCAATTCCAGAAAACTTTCTTTCGGCCTTACCAAAGGAGCAATTTAGAGCCGCCGTCAAAGATTCGTTATCACCGAACCAAAATTGGGAAACATCGCATTACTACCTAAATTGCATTGCTTGTGGCAGGAATTTCATTAAATGAAATGGCTGTCTTCTGCTTCAAAATTTCGGTTCCGTTTAAAGATTACCATGCTCTCCGTTCTTTAGTTAATAATTCTTCCTTCTACTCTGACAATTACAACTAAGTAATAAGTTATGAAATGGGTAATTGAGGAAACATCACAAAGTAAGGACCCAACAGAATACAGAAAGACAAGAGTAATATCGCATGGTTATTACAAGAGCAAAGGAGTCAGACATGACCTACCGCGAGTTAAAACGTTTTGACATTCTATGAAATCAACTACCTACAGGTAAGCACTGTATTGCTTTTCTTCACAGACACTGCTCCTTCGTACTAAGAAATGGACAGTTTGTAGAGCTTACTGGGCCTCTGAACATTTGACGTACTATTTACCTGAATTGTAGAGTCGCAGTTTTTATTTATGTTTTCAGAGTAAAGCATCTCAATTGATAATAACTGTTTAAATTAATAGTCGAGATCTTCATAAGACTCTGTCACGCCATTGAACTTGATCATGACCAGCCATTCCTCTACATCACCGATCCACGAAACACTCGAGCACAACTCGGAGGCAGTGTTCGACTATCTTGTCGCCTATGTTGGAAAGATGCTTTCGGCAACAACTGGGAAGGTTACACTCCACCGGTTCAGGTACAGTGGATAATCAACGGATTTGGTTATCAGATCGACAGTTTGGAGGATATTTATCAGAGGCGGCTAGTTGTGACGGGCAATCGCTCTGATGGTGAGTGACATAAATACATCAAGAGGCCGTTAGGTGCTTAGAAAATGGAACAAGTACTAGCTGTCTCTCTTCGTCAAGCCCAAAGGATGGAGGCACTAATGTCCCATTAACTCTAAATAAGTATTTTGTGACCTTTATGTTTAGCTCCTACGTCCAGTTAGATAATGGCTTAAATTTTTTATTTAGACCAGGACATTTCACTCCCATGCTCCATTTAGGTGTGCGGTTTTCAACCCTGTTCACTGTGAATCTTAAACATCATTAACACAAATATCAAATTTTACTTATTGTACTTACAAGTAGTCTTCAATTAGCAAAATCGAAATTTGAAAGACTAAATCGCAGTGGTACCAAATCAAAAAGATAGTAGGTGATTTCTTTGAAAAAATAATAATAATTCCCCTCAGGGAAAGGATTTGGCTTGTTATTGTCTCTTTTGAGTGGGGCATTTTTATTATGCTCTTTCTTAGAATAAAACCCCTGACTCTTTTAGTAATCACGGCTAATGCAAATGTTCAGATGCATTATCAAGTAAAAATTTACTATGCGATTGGCTAAAATTGTGTGGAAATGTTGCCGGTTGGAAAAGAACAGAACAATGATCAAATATGTAACAGAAGGATGTGCTGGAATTTTTTGTACTTCCTTCTATTAGGGCGATCTTGTTTTGGGCAAATGGTGCTTTTGAAAGTGAATAGTCAATAGAGTTATTTGTTAATAAGAGACTCAAGGATATGGTTGTTAACAGAGCTCCTAGACTTCCATAAAACTCGCATCTTTAACTCCAGATGTCACCTTTTTACTTATTTATTTATAATAGAATGTTCCTTCGAAAAAGTAGATCACTGAATTTTCACATTTATTCCTTTATAAAATAAACCATAAAACACACCATTCAAAGGCACAAAAAACCTAAGACTACAACAAAGAAAATTCAATGCAGGAAATGATCCAGTTTTAGTAAAATTTGTGGAAAGTCTTCAATAAAAATCTTTTCATGCTTTCCATGCTTCCCACAAACCCTATTTTCACCAAGCATCTGGAAGTGCTGATCGCTAGTGCTTGTTAGTGGAAAATAGCTTCATAATTTTCAAAATAAAGAAGACTAAAGCGCTCATAGCCTTCAACTCTGTAGATACCAGACCTAATAACTTTCCAAAATATCTATTTATTTTGAACGGTTTGTCAGGATTTTAAGCAAGCTATAGCGCACTTTGGTGCGTCTCCATCAAAAGCGGAACCGTAAACTTTCATGTTTGCAAAAATAAATTTAGGAAACTATGACTTACTTATTAACAAAGTTCAACTGGAAGACGAGGGTAATTTTGCCTGCCAAGCGCGAATCATGCATAGCCGGCTGTCAACGTCAGCCGACGCCAGGGAATCCGGTTGGAATCGGAGTCATCGCACAACCGGTCAAAGTGTGATGATGATTGTACGCAGCAAGGAAGCCCACCTGACCGTATTCTGTAAGTAAACGTTGTAGATAAACATACTGACGGCTCAGCCACGCCTCTTCATTACAGAATATTGCGTCATAATAAGCAGACATTCGGTATTTTTATATCACGAAAGATTTAGATCATTGCCTTGCATAAGCAGTTGTAAATGAGCCTTGACAAAAAATGAGAGTCCTACTTATATATTTAGCCTTTCTTTTGATCAACAAAACGTGTCATCCATATTAGTCAATGAAGTTGTCAGCTAGCTAAAAAAATCTTACAAATAACCACAAATAGTATCTGAGTGCGGTACCAACAATTTTACATTGATCAGGGTCGCATTGGATCGGGATTATTTCCAATGAGATTTTCAAATGCTCCAATGCTAGTATCATATTTTTGGGGGATTATTTGAACTTTCGATCTGCGTATTGTCAAATGTCATTGAAAAATTCTTACTTTTTAAGAACGGACTTCCGACACATGCCTGATTTCTATAGCTACAGCTACAGCCACTGCTAGGTCCTTTAATCAAAAGGAGAAACTCAACAACTCCAAGAAGAATAATTAAAGGATTTATTGGCAGATGAGGACAAAAAATTACATCCATCCCTCTCTGCCATTGAAACGCGGTGGGTGTAGACTTGGTTGACTGGTTGTTTAGCTTGGAAGCCTATTAAGATGTGAAATGGATTTTCTGGGGTACTTCGTTTATCTTTTTAAGAGCAATCATCCTTCTATGACAGTATTTGTAAACTATTTCTAGATATTGACTAGTTTTTTATTTTTGTGCTAAGCCGACTCCTGACGGAGGTTGTTAGGTAATAAGTCAAACCACCACTGATGAACAAATTGACTAAACATAATTTTCTGCTTTAAACTCTTTTGTGAAGATTAAAAATCAGATATTAGATTTCCCTGCTGTGGACTTAAATAAAAACGACTTGGCTAAGTTCCTTGCAATTTGTTATTTTTTTGCATTGATGGAAGAGAAAAGAACTCTTTGCTGACAATTCAATGGGTTTTCTCCTATCCACCGAAAGCATGCACGCGAGAAAAGTGTCTCGGAGTCAATTTGTGCGGTGCTAACTTGTCATGATTTTATTTTATTGAGATCTTAGCATCCTTCTGTATTGAAGAAGCCTTCTGATTGACTACAGTGCAGCTGAAATTTCCTAGAACTCGTGGATTAACTATTGCTTTGTTGCTTGATCCCTTCTAGTGGCTAATGAACATCCAGAATAGAAGGTCTTCTAACAAGTCCTTTTATTAATGTACTTTTAGACAGTTTTTCCCCGGTTTTGAGCCAAATAGGTTGCATACACTCAATCACGAAGGTGAGAATAAAATACGAAATTTGTTTTTAATTATTAATTGCGAAATTACAAATAAGAAATAGGAGATGTTAGCAATGCAAAAACACGTAAATACAAAAGAAATTATGGTTAATTATTTGAGTATTGATGTGATGTGAACTTTCTGTTCGATGAAGGGACTTAAGTAGTCGATTCTGCAGCACGTAAAATATCGTAAGAAGGATGAATTCGTTTCTCCTTATATTAACAACGACTTATATAAATAATTGACCGTTTTATCGGGAAAGTATTATTTTTGAAATTGCCATGGCGAATCATTGCAATGATCTGTGCTTACACATCAGTCGACTAGAGGGCGAATCTGGATACAAGAACCACTTATTCCACGTTTAGTTTTCCCCTTCTTCGGCTTTTCCAGCACCACTTAAGCGATTTGGTCTTTTCGTTGGCAAGTTCCTAACTCGACCGGAAGTGATGGCAGGGAGTGCAAGTCGACAAGAGCCGAAAATATTCGTGCAAATCGGTAAACCGATCTACCTTACCTGCTTCAGTGATGATTCGCGGCCTCCAGCTTTGTTGGAAATTAATTTCAACGACGAAATTATCGTCCTTTCTTCAAGAAATCGAACAGCTTGCAAGAGGATGGAGGAAAGTCATTGGTGCGTTGGGAATGCGACCAGTTTTCATCATGCTGTGCTCAACTTATTGGTGACGGAATACAGAAAGTATATACACACTATCAAAGGGTTAGTGAGCTTTATAGGTGTAAAGTAAACAGAAATATCAAAGTATTGCATGTATGATTATTCCTTTTGCATTAGGGAATCGGTGCGGCTAATTTTGGAACTTCTGGTAAAGGGTGAATTTACAACACCGCTTAGCGTTAAATGCGAAGTTAAAAACGTCGAAAAATTCACGGAAAGTGGACCTCTGCGGAAGCCCTTCAAGGCAGTAGCCAGTAGTACAATCCATCTCCACGGTAGGAATTCTCCAAACATCATGTTTGCTATATTTTATGTGCCGTTAATAGAGGTTGTTTTTTTTTCTAAAACAAGTAAATTTGAGGAGAATATTATGTTTTAATGGGAATGTATTAACAATTTTTATTTAAAATGCTTGAAAATTAATGGGTTGTTTTTGGCAATTGGTAAAATAAGATAGGCAAGTTGGAAAAGAAGTTCCTCGAAATATGTGGAAGAAACTAGTTCTGTCACAATAATAAGGAAACTCATGTAAAGGATCGCATAGAATTACTGATGAAAGATTCTGAGTTTAGACAACAACCATTTTATGTAAAATGTGGGCAATATCTTAGGTTAATTGGTAGTAGCTGGAGGCCATACACACGTGCACAATGGCAATTCAAGTGCCAAAGTTTAACCCTTAGAGTTTTATGCTTTAGAGGGCAAACAAGCGGTAAATAAACAAAGGATTATGTAGCCCAGATTTCACTAACTCAACAAATAATTCACTCAGTGAGTAACCTAATTTACTTCTATTAACGGTACATGTATTCCTGTTGCACATATTATAGTTAAAACATCATTTAGGAATTAAAGTGACGAATAATTGCGAATCGCGCATAAAATTCTGGAAGGGTGATATTACACTTCTTGATCTTTTTTAATTTATTTAACTTCACTATCAATTGTCTCATTTTCAGTTAAGGAGATCTACATATTTTTTATCCACTTGTCCTTAACAAAACGACTTGAAGTCTTGAGACTGATTAAACCTGAAAAATTATGGGAAAAACTTCTTTGGAAATGATAAAACTTCATTTAGCTCAATTTGCCAAAAAGTCTAGGGGGAGGGGAGAATTGTTTTGAACATGATACTTTCGCTATTTAAGCTGGTAGTAACCTTGTTTTACTCCTTTTAAATCTGCTTGAGTGAAGGAGTAAAGGGTGCGAAAGATAAGGATGTTTGAAGTCGTAAATTTACAAATTACGATACGTCTTTACTCCTTATACATGAGTTGGTTTTTTAAACTTCTTTAATAGCGTTAGGGCCAGGATTTTAATTTCCCTAGAATAGCCGTTTAGAACACACAATTTCCGATCAAATTATTCAACTTGTACGACAGAAACATCCTAAATTGAATTTTGGACTGACACGAACTTTTACAAAATGCGAAGATGTTCATTTTCCTTAAAAATAAATGGGAAAATAGGAAAAACAGGTTAACTTTAATGTACATGGTTTCTGTTTGTTATTCATCATCGAATGGAGTGAAGTTTTTTAAGAGCACAAAACAGTCTGCGAAACCTGTTAGCCTGTTTTCGTAAACACTCCTGTCAATTCACTTCATGGGCATGTTATTTATTACGCCTTTTGAGTGGAGTGTGCACGGATTCGCATTTACTTTACAGTACTGTTTGGTCACCATAGACATCTGCAATATGAGCATTCATCGTTTGTCCGTGTGGAATGACTCAAATCCAAGGGAGAGCGTCAAATTTCGTTGTGAAGGGTTCGTCTCTCTTCTAGCCGGACAAAATGTGACTCTAAGGTAAGAAAAAAAATGCTACTTCTTAGAGAAGTTTAGGTACATTCCAGCTTTGATGGAATATAAGGATATGGTACGTAATACCTTCATTTGGCTAAGGTTGTAGTGTTTTTCTTTAACAAAAAAGAAACGACTATAAGCATTTATTTTCGCGAAGAATCGTAACCCTAAATTGATCTTGCAGATGACAGGTTGACGCAGGAAAACAACAAATGGAGCTTCTTTTTTCTCTTAGAATTTTAACACAAGTGATTTGTTTAAAATAAGCGCTTCCAGCAATTAGGTACTAATAGAAATCGGAATATTACCATGATCCAGTATTGTGATTACGGTAAAATAAGCTATCAGGAATCAGGTCAAGTCGAATCGCCAAGTGATTTTGAGGCATCCTCCATTGCAATACATCTTGTAGAATTATTGCTAATGTGTTGCACAACTTGCTGCTTCACTTGATGACTGTTTAGGGGTATTAAGATGCGCACTCCATAAGATATCCGATGCTTTTTGTCTTTTAGATGGAGTCTCAACAGACAGAAAGTGGCAGAGATGTATCATTTGAAAATGCAAAAAACCGGAAACATGGGAAGATTTAGCGCGGATTTTGAGGCACAGCACTCAAAACTGCCCCTGAAATTTACTCTTCGGTGCTCAGTAAAGTCACAGATATTGGTGTCACCCTCGAATATCCACGTAATTTCCAGACACAGGAAAATCAAGGTTACTATCAATAGTGAGTTTGAAATAACCGGAGTTGCTTGGTAATAAGTGGTTTTCTGGAAAAAAATATTCATACCCTACGGTTAGTAAAAAAAATTCTGCGCATTCTTTAATCGACGTTAGCCATGGAAATAGACATCAGCAAGTCTTAACTGCCTGCAACACAGTTGTAGCACCAGGTCCTGAGGATTGAAGGCACTGTAGCACTAATGACAGGATGCGGGTGATAAACTTTGTATTTTCTTCCAAATATTTGTTTCCAGGTTAATCTCGACCCAAAAGCAAACGATCATGTAGCCTGTTGAATGATTTTGAATCTCAAATTTATTTCACTGGCATCTAATTACATCTAGTACCTCCCTTGAACAAAGCATATTTAATTGGGGTGCAATCCTTCAAATTCAAATAAGTTATTTGCATTAAAAAGGACAGGAATAATTTTACTTAAGTATTTGTTTTCGTAGATTGTCTCACAGTTGTTGAGCATCTTGGTAAAGGCAATAATGCTTTTACTAATTATTTCATGACCAAGAGCTGCCTAGTTTAACGAATAACTGACTGAAAAAAAGTATTCTAAAAGAGTATCATGCATATTTTTTGCGGATGTAGAAAGTTTTCACACATCGCACTTTATTGCAATCATGCAAACTCCAGTGATAACATAAGTGAGAGTACATTAGTATTTCCAGATTTTCATTTGTTATCTGATTCGTTGAGTAAATGCTTTGTGGAGTTTACTCCGTTTCAGTCATTGACATTCAACTACCTTTTCCTAATATGAGTTTATTTTATTTTGCAGAGGAATTTTCCCCTCAAAGTAATCGACATTTCATTCTAACATTGGAAAAGGCTCGTAATTCTTCAAAGCTATTTCATATAAAGGAATATTTTGAAGTTCAAGACGAAGCCCATCCAAATGAATCGCATGCAACATCAGTTCCTCAAAATGTTATAAAAGAAAGTGATTTGGGGCTAGAATTCAACGTAAGATAATTCTTCTCTTAACACTTTACGTTTAAAAACCTTTCTGGTTTTCTGAATTTTATCCAAAGTAAAGACAAATTAACTGTCCTTCATGTTGATACATTCCATTTTCTACGTTAAGAATATTTCATATCAAAGGACAATGATACGTTATTCATCTTTTTTCGAAAACGTATAAATAATAAAACAAAAAAGTAGCCATTTATAAATTCAATATGGAGTTTTCTTTTTCTAGAAGGCAAATGCATTACTCATAAAAACAACCCCAGGTGTCTCCTCACAAATGTACTATCAGTCTTTTCTTTACATAAAAACAACACAATTATGCAGATAACTGAGAGACCATCAGCCCACGAATTAAGTATACAATTTAAGGGATAGTTTACTTTTTCTCTTTCAACAAACTTCCTTAAGGCACTTGCTCCAAGTAATAGCTCCGGGCCTACTTTCTCACTTATTTGACTGCCTAATCACAAGTGTCAAGATGTGACGAAGCGATGATCTCCTATGCGATGCCTCATTCTCGCTTTGTCACCGAACATCATGAAGACCTCAAAGTCGGCCAAGTACCGACAGTCAATGCAATTTTGCCAGTCTGCACGGATTTGGCTACCCGGTGCCAATGTTTTTCATCCATTTGATCCGGCATTCAGGCTATGCAATTCAAATGGGTTTTACTTTGGGCTAGGCTAGCCTAATACCGCCATAGGTGGAAAGAGGGTGAAAATATGCTTAGTACCGAAGCAAAGGTGACGTAAGAGAACATGGTCAAAAGTGAAAAAAAAAGGACAAATTGACACCATCATAGAGCTTGAAGCCCGAAAAACTAACAGCATCAATAAAACACCCTTAGAAAACCGACATTTACCTTAATGAGGAAAAATAAAGGCTTGTTTTGGGGAGAGAACTCAAGGGAAGTAAAGTGTTAGACTTCTTTATAATTTTTAAAGCATACGATTTGTTTTTGAAAATTCATTTGATGTCTTATTCAGCCGTAGGGAGAGCTAAAAATTCTCTACAAAAGACTTCTCGCATCTTAGTCTAATGAGAGATCCGAAATTTCCGCCTCAGCACTCTAAGTCTTTCCTGCGGATGAAAAACTCATAGGACTTGTGCAGAAAATGTGTAACCGACGTATAGAAGGGCTGAGAGGCTACTTTCATGGGCTGGAGGCCATCCCTTTACAGGTGGAAGCACAAGGGGTCGAACTTTAAGTGCCCTCGAAACAAAAACGAAGAGTTGAATTAGTAATCAAAGTATTACGTTATTTACGTTGTTAAATTTTGCTAAAAACGAGTGTCCTTACCCGGATAAACTTTTTTGCTAGAAATTGAGTCATTGGTTTAACTAACCCATGCTCAGCGTCACCTTACTACTTCTCAATGGAAACGTTCTTTGATGCGTTATAAATATTTCCACGAACGTCAACCATTTGCATTTGTCAAGGATGGAAAGTATTAAATGGAAGGATAAATGAGGATACGAAATCGGTTTGATAGCTAGGTGAAAATAATGAAATGGTGAATGGTGATAAAAGAGTGGCTGGATAGAGTGCTGTTGAATACGCCTCATTCCATCTCCACCTTTTTATTTTGATGCGCAATTTATCGCTTTCAAGAGCTTACTTAACCGCTTCATCCAGTGCGGGAGTGTGAACGCGTCAAACACCCTATCCGACTGGCAAGCTGGCGTTTTTGGGGAAAACGGCAAGACGATTTGGTGTAAAATGGGCGCATGGCAAAAGTTTACTCTGCCGTGGACGGCGCTTATGCGAATTACACCGATTTCCAGTGAGCGCAAAGCCTTTTTGTATTCTCGGAGCCAAGGTGAACCGCAGAATGTGAACAGCTCTGGTTTCTATTCTTCACAACCCAGTGAAATATTTTTGCTTCAATGTCACATTAAGGGCCTGCTGGAGACAAGCACCTTTTTCATTTTCAATCAAGGTTTGTCTCCCTCAGTTTTTCACCCTTCCGCAACCAAAATTTTGAGACTGTTTGGAAAAAGAGAGTAATGAGCCTTGTATTTTTTAGGCGCCAATTAATCCAGTAGATTGCATTACACAGGCTAGTCCTAATCTTTTATTTTTGATCAATTGGAAACAAGTAGTGATTCACAAAGAATTAAACCTTAGTTCTTAATCATGACAGGCTTGTCAACGTTTGATAAATTCCGAGTTAAAATGAAAAATATTATCGTGCGCTAGCGTATGGAGATTCGTGGAGTCGCTAAAAGAATAAGCAAAGGTGAATTTTCACATTTGCCTTTTTTTCCCGCTGCAGAATCTAATTTTGCCAATGGCTAAAGCAAGAGGATCACAATTTGTGGATACTGGGTTAAAGAGCCTCACCTTGCTGATCGTTCCACTTACAATCTTTGGCTTAGTGGTACTGGCAGTGTTTCTCAAAAGGTGGAACAAGGACCCATCAGACAACGTGGAATTCCTACCATTCCAACTTCAAACCATGATCGGCAGCAACGCGAACAATCCAAATTCTAAGGAGAGTAATGGTGTGTGTGCTTTCAGGCTTAATCGCCTTACAGAGCGTTGAGCCGCATAAAGATGTGATTGTATAGAGAAGAGGAGAAAGTAATGGTAAATAGATGTTTTATTTGTCCTTTCAGATACAATAAGAGCCACGACACAAAAGAACGGCTCTGCATTAAGATTGCTTCCTACAATTGAAATCAGACCCGAATTTGGGGTGAGTTGTGCACACTTATTTGATACTTGCAGTCAAAAATATACATATCTAGGTTGCAGGGAAAAGAGTCTGCTTTATTGTATTAGCTTTTCTACAATGATCGAGGAAAATGCGGGGCTTAAAATGCCTTGCCTAAAGCATAGCATATTTACAAGCGGTTCAAATTTGCAGCGCTGTTTTCGCAACAATCGAATACTCCTTGAATGAATTAGGACAATAGCTTGAATTCCTACGTAAAGGCTAAATCGTAATGAAACATGCCATCTTTCTCACCATCTAGCCAAAACCATCAGGACTACTCCAACTTGAATTGACTCACCTGGCAGTTACTACTCGAAGTCATCCGCCTGAATAAATAGTTTACCTCAGGATGGATTGAGTCTTCCGTAAATGCGGCAGGTGAGGAGTTGAATACGCTAAGGAAACGGATCTCTATTCAATTTTTAAAGATACACGTCTGTGAAGAAAATCATCAATGTGTACATTAACTCTGCCAGTACCTTTGTATTTGAGTTGGAATTTCGATGGCGAATGCAAATCTCTTTTCGCTGGTAGTCCATGCCAGAGTAGTGATAATTTTTCCGAGAAATGTGTAAGTTGAAACATCTCCAAATCTGCCACTGCACAACGAATTTTAAGCGGCACTCACAACAATTGATAAGGTGGCAAGATAAATTCACACAGCTTTAACGATGAAAATTGAAAACTTTTTTCGAATATTGAATTCATTGAAAGAATCGCCATCCCAACCTATCACTCGTTCTCAACGAGACGAAAACTTGCGGACACTCTGCCTCTGAAGACAAAAAGCCTTGTCCTGACAACCTTTGTTCCTGTCTCACTTTTAGTTTGCAGTTGTCTATTCTATTCCTTATATGAATGCCTGATGCTAATATCAAGGTAAGGTGACATCATCTGGAGAAGCATCATCGGAAGAGAAAGGAACCTCCCCCTCCCACCCACCCTTATTTGCAGATATTCTTTAGCTGCCTTGTAAGAATGGGACTTTCCTCTGGCAAAGAAACCAATTTTGTCTGTTTCTAGAGAGGTCTGTCTTGCGCACCTCCAAGGAGTAGAGAGTAGATGAAATTCAGCTGTACTTGTTGTTTGACCTTCACAGCGAATAAATGCGTCTGCGGTTTACTGCAGACACTACCTTAGAAATGTGAGACGGGTATTAAGGAGTGGTGCGTTGTTTGGAGGCAACCGAACATACGTTGGATCGTTTGAGGAAAGTTGGATTAAAAGGACAACTTCTCATCACAAGCCAATCAGCGAATCGCCTCGCAATGGTGCGTGTAAAGGATAACTTGACGGTCTTTGAAGATTACTGTCATTTGTTAATGAATAGCGTATGGGTGAGATGGATTTGATTAGTAGCTTTTGTTGAAGTGCTCGCAAATTGTTTTTCATCCACAGCCTTGAACCTTCGTAAATCCTATTTTTGACACGTTAAATTCAAGTTTTTATAAGCATTGATGATGCACAATTCGCTGTGATCAAGAATCAAGGTCCTTTCGGAACGTGAACTATTACCGGAAACAAATCTTACGAAGTATTTTCGGGCGGCAAGCTTTGCTACCCCGCTTTCTCAAATGTCATGCAACAAATTTGACGAGAAGCTAGATTCCGCGGCTAGTTCATAAAGCAGACTAACTTGACCTGCATCCTTCGGGTTCAAATGAAACTTCATGGTTGAGGACTAAAAGTAGAAGAAAAGTAGTACGAACTGATGCAAGCGCATGCCTCACAATGAGTGTGAGCAATCAAATGGATTTCCCAAGTCCCCACAAGTTAAAAATAAGCCGTTGTGAACATTTCAGACCCTCTTGGGGATCTAAAAATTAAATGAAACGAGACAAAACGATTACTGCTACTTAAAGGAGGTGAGTAGGAACGTCTTGAGGCTTGCATACGTAAACAACTCCAGTAAACAATATGACCATATTCCCCAAGTTCCAGCCGAAATATCATCGATACCGAAAAGAAATTTGCGGGGTGCTCGGAAGACTTATTCTCTAACATAGCGATACAGTGGCTGTCTTGAGCAGCCCGTAGATTGCTAATTAGCAGCACCCCAGTTCCCGGTTGTTACCATACTTCGGTGAGACCTTTAAATGCTTAAAAACTACCCACATTATGCTAAATAGGATTTGGAAAGATCTTAATCAGCGCTACGATAGGGACTACTACTTCTTTTAATGAACCGTTTACCATACCCAAAGGAGTAAAAAGTAGAGAGGTTGTAAAACATATATTTAGGCTTTCCCCATAAGATAAAAAAGGCAGTGATTACTTACAATAACGATCGGATTTCATTTTTTCGCGCCTAAAAAGGAAAAGAACAGCAACATCAGCGAAGCAGAAAAGTCGTTAGAATAGTAGAGTTGAAGCGATTGTGAGGCTATCTTAAAGTGCATAAGATCGGTAAAAGTGGAAGAAAACAGGTCACTACTGATAATCCTACTATTCAATGAACGAAACAGTGGTGGCAATGCACGATCAGAAAAACTCACCGATCCAGCATACATTCATGGAGGTTTCCGACGCGTTTTGCATCCTCCAAGGCCACGGTGTCTTCACGGGTCAAACGAATCTTCTTGTCTTGCCAGCTTTGAAATTTGCGCCTGTGGTACAAGCGAAAACGACAAGTCACTCTGTTTTGCCAGTTTTTTGCAAGTAGTGGCTATACCTTACTTCGACTACAGTTCCAAAAAGCAATTATTAACGCCTCGGCTGCAATGGACCATAATACAAGTGAAATTCAACATTTTAGACTTCTATAAAAGTCCTCAAAAAGTGTTAAAATTGTGGAACAGTTACGAACACCTTATGAAGAAGCGCAAATTTCTTTGCATTGACAATAAAATAACTCTTTAAAAGAGCGATGGTTATTGCACGGCCGAGGTTTTGAAGTTTAGAGATGTTATCTAGACGAATCGACTGCATATTTGAGACTCGCATAAGTAAACCAATGTTGAGGTCTTTAGATGTGGAACTTGAAGCTGAAGAGGGCAATAAGTAGACTGATGAATACAACCCAACCCAGTATATTAGCACACTGCTGATAAATCAGAAACTGGCTTAATGGAAGGATACTTACCACTAAAACAAATCATTCCTAAAAGCAGCCATTTAGATTATGAAAAAAAGATATTCACACTAAAATTGGAGACTATGGGGATCGCATAAAGTTATTTTACAAGCAGTGGCTTTGAGAAGTACTTCAAACTAATAAAATCTGGAAGATAATTTAATGCCGAAATATCGATAAAATGCAGCGAAATTGGGTATTTTAAAATAAACAACATCTTTCCGCCAAAAAAATTTGAAGGAAGAAACATGACCCCAACTTACACATAGAGGTACTCGGCCTTCTTGGTGCCATGCCTTTCCTCCTCTGGCAGGTCATTGAGTGGGTTGTGTGTCAGGTCCTTGTTGGAGCGGATCTAAAATGTCACCAGAGGAAAAGCGATGAACGCAACTTAAGACTTTCAGAAAGAACAACTACCCAAACACCCATCCCACCATGAGCATTTCGGTTGGTCCGGCTTTCTGCGCCCTGCAAATGGCCCTATCGGAGTCGGCATCGACAGAGACGAAACAATTGTTGAAGCCCAGAAGCGCCGCCTTACCGTCTTGGAAGACCGGCTCAAATTGCTCTCGAGGACCGATAGCATCAGCAGCAGCTGTGATGAGATTCTGCGCGCTTGTGTTTGCTGTCATATACTTGTCGTAACTAAGGACGATGAGGAGTAAAAGAGAACAATCAAATCCTGTTTCTATTATTAGAGGCTATAAACTTTCGAATGAAATTTATGTGCGACGAATTGAACGTTTCTCATTCAACAAACCCAAACCGAAGACAGTTCAAACAGAAATTAACGGCGTCAATCGAGTGCCGTACGAATAACAGGGCAAAAAGTTGGAAGGCGTGACTCAAGAGTCGCAGAGCTCAATGGGGGAGGAGAATCAACATCATCAATGAGATCTACATTAAGTTGCCAATTTGAATGATAACATGAGAAGTCTCATATTTGTGACTAATTTAACATCGAAATAAGAAAGCAAAGCTTATGTGTATAAAGGCAAACGCTACAATTTACTCGACAAGGGGACAATAATTACTTCCCAAAGCTGCATTTACCGCTTCAATTTCACGCAGAAAAAAAGATGATTTCAAAATGAAGAACTGAAGATACGAATAGGTTTCTTTCAGCAGATTTTAGTGGTAGTATGTACATATAGTGGAATACTATAATCGAATGAATTGAAAACGAATTAGTACAAAACCTTTAAAACTCTAGGGGCATTTAAAAAACTAATTTAGCTATTCTCTCAAGACGACTTTCAACCCATCAGCAAAAGGCATTCTCAACTAACAACCACATCTGCAATAATAAACACCCATTTAGGATAGAGAGCAAAAAAAATGTACACCAAAAATCAATAAAGGGGGTTTAAACAGACACAAGAAAATAACGAGTTCCGAGTTTTCTAAACAGAAATCCTAGAGACTATAGCACTTTGAAAGAAGTTTTACCTTTGTTTAACAAATTCATGTGGACCAACTTCAATTAAACTGGAAGAAATAAAACCGTCAATCGTTCCAACACCTCGATTCTCCATTGAATTCTCTCGGTACCAAGAAAAAAAGCAGCTGCTTTAAACACCGCCTGCAGTACAGTCAAATCAAACATGTTTCCATAATCTGGTCCAAAATGCATATAAACGAGATAAAGAATTTAACTGAAAACACCTATCATAAAGAAGAACTATTAACTTAAATGTCTATATGGGAGTAATGTTGAGACGAAGCAAGAATCTTCTAGAGCTTATAGGGAACACTCCTCAAGATTTTTAATTGAGCGCAGCTTTAGGAACATTGAAAAACACACCCAGTTTTAAATGCAACCTTTGTATCGGAAACCTTAACAGCAGTGAAGATTTCCTCCGGAGCTGGTGGTTCACCCTCTTTGCGCGGGGGTCCAAGGTTAATAAAACCATCGTCAGACGCAGACAGGTAATAAGCAGGCGGGATGGGGAGAGGTAGATTGGTGGAGGATGAGGAGTACTCCTGAGCTGGAGCTAGACCCGTCATCTGAATGGCTACAGGGCCGATAATGTCCACGAATTTGGAGATCTCCCACCAGCCGCCATGAGCTGCAAGGTCCTCACTAAAAGCGTTCCTGACCACCTTTGTCGCACGTGTTGAGCTGGTCCCAGGGGATTTTCGCTTCCGTCTCTTCACCTTGTCTTCATGGCCTTTTAATTTCAGTTTGCCAGATTTAACGAATGCGTAAGCATCCATGACGACTACTTGTAGAGGTAAACAAGTATACTCGTATAAGGGAAAATTATAGGGATTTGTGCGTCAAGTTCAGTTCCCCGTAGAAGCCTATTAGGTTAGCTGATTTCAAGCTGGCTGCAATAGACAAGACTAATTAAAACGATAATAATGACAAAACAAAGACTCAAAAGTTTTGATATGCTTAGGAAATCTGCCTTATGCTGCAAAATCCACTGATCTTATAAAGTAAGTTTAAAAATTAGCTTTGTGCAGGGCATGAGTGTGATGCTTTAATGACAGTTAAATACTTAATTATGGAATACGCAATAAAGTGAATTAACATTGCGTATCGGTATCGTCATTTGTTACACTTCAAAATAAATGCTTGCGCGCAAACACTATTTTGATATGAAGTTGTTAAAGAGGCTAAAGTGTATAAAATGCAACACCTGGATTTTATTTTTGACAGTTCGATTCAGGTGCGCTGACAGCAGAAACTTCCTTTTTGTATTTTCACTAGGAAAAAAATTTTATGGTTGTTAGCAGGTTTTAGTCTCGTATGCGTCAGAATTACGTCTTCTGCCTCAGAATGATTATTTCTGCCAACTTCACGAAAGAACCGGGATGCTACAGGTAAGTCTGCCAGTGATACTTAAGCATAGAATCAGACTACACTGCTCCAAGGGCCCACCTTGCACAACTATATTGCGACAAACGTAGGATGTGACTTCTCGTTTAAGATAGTCTGCTCTGTCTTTATTCATTCTTGAAATCGATGTTAGTCACACAGGCGCAGAGGGGCTATTCGATGCGGCTCAAGACTACAACTCTTTCACGCATCTACACTACATTTTGTGCCCTTCCTGTAGCGTCCCGAGACTTCCCTGAAGACGAAAGAAGAAACAATACTCGGGCAGAATGTTTATATCTAGCACAAAGGAGGTGTTTGGGATACTGGCATGACCCGAAGGCCAACCCACCCAGCGAGGTACAAGGGGGCTAATTCAAAGTACAAAAGTGGCGCCTCACCAATACTGAGGGATAAACCACTATCATACTACAAGTTTACCTTAAATACAAAACCTTGAGTTGAAAGACCTTATAAATAGTAGCGGGAATGCTTTATTGAATGTTGATTAGTAAGTTAGTAATAACTGATACCATGTTTGACCTATCTTTTAGACCTAATGTTAGAACTTACACGGAAACTGATTTTGTTCCTATTGTATGTGGACTATGTTTTTCATCAATCAGTTCTTGATACAAATCCGGTTGATTTCTAAATGGTTGCAAATGATGTGGTGATTGGTTGAATTCGATGTGCTAGGACGACGCAACCGGGAATTGTCTGGTGTTTGTTGACTACCGGTAGCAGGAATCGTCTTGAGTTTAGTGGGATTGACAACGGCAATGTTTAAGTGTTTGCCCTTCATAAAGGGGTGTGGAACACAGATTGATACCATAGAAAAGAGTCATGCCAGTTTGACTTCGGTCCCTGACGACGTCCTTAGAAGCTATAGGACACTAGAGGAATGCAAATTGGATGCGAATCAGATTAAAGAACTGCCAAACGTATGTTTGTACTTATCAACACAGTTGTAATGATAATCCAGGCATTTTTTCGGCTAGAACGAATCCGAATCCTTTCAGTTAGTGATAATGAACTTACTCGTATTCCTCCCGGTATTGGGAATTTTTCTTATCTCGTGGAGCTTGATATTAGTCGAAATGGTATGTTTGGGATGCTGCTCCTAATTGATTAATCAGATATCAGTGAACTCCCAACCAGCTTAAGGCTTTGTGATTCGCTACAAGTTCTTGATGCGAGTAACAATGCCTTGAAAATGTAAGCGGCATGCACGTGATTTTATTCCCTGTTATGTTGATTTCTTCGTTTTCCACTTTCACTAACCAAATACTTTTATTTTCTTTGCATGTTTAACCGTAATTGGTCCTTGTTGCCATTTTAGGTTGCCAGAAGGGTTCTCGCAACTTCGGAGTTTGCGTGTTCTCAGTTTGAATGATGTATCACTATACGAGCTGCCCGCTGACTTCGGAGGGTTTGCCATTTAGCTTCGAACACTTTACTGTCCAAATTAACAAATTTGTAGGCTAAAAAAGCTGCAAAAGTTGGAACTTCGTGACAACTATTTGAACAGTCTTCCGGTTACGTTTGGCGAACTCGCTAGTTTGGAGTTTCTCGACCTTGGCGGCAATGATTTTAGCACAATGGTACTTTTGAAGCCCTTCCCGGTTCACTCTTTTTGCTCCTACTTTTGCGGAATTTTTTCCTGTATTTAGCCACCTTCCATTGGATGTCTTCAAAATCTTCTCGAGTTATGGCTTGACGACAATCAAATGACGTCGCTTCCCGATGTATGTTCTCCATTTTCTACAACTTTTTTGCCAGAAATTGCGCACGGTATTCTGGTATAGCTGGTGCAGCCCATATTTTGCTCGTCATTGGTTTACCACGCAGTCGAAATCATGTACTTCTTAACACACTGGAATCTTTTATGCTTGGATTTGATTTCGATTTTCGTTTTCTTTGGGATCCCATCAATTTACGGCATCATACGCTTGGGAATTCATTGTTTGATTCACTAAGTCTGCCCCAAAACCAGATGTAGCACCCCGGGTCTCTCCAAAAGTTGTGATGAGTTACATCATTAATTTTTTTTTTAACTTGCGGCTATAATCGAGGCCGAAGAGCTATGCTTCCGAGTGTAGGTGTACAAACGTCGGAAACTGGAGGGTTTGCGTGGTCAGAAATGCAGTTGACAAAACTTCGTCTTGGATAGAATGTTTTTGTGCAGGTCATTGGGCGAACACTTCCCCCTTTGTTTCTCGATTTCTAGGAAATTGGCAATCTACATGCACTGCAACAAATGGATGTCTCGGAGAATCGTCTCACTTCCCTTCCATCCACAATCGCTGGGTTGACCTCTCTTGCTGACCTCAACTTAACCCAGAACTTTCTCGACTGCCTCCCTGATGAAATCGGCCAGTTGGCCAATCTGAGTGTCTTCAAGCTGAACCGCAATCAATTGGTAGACTTGACACCAGCTATCGGAAGGCGAGTTTTTTGCCCACAAATGCAGATTCTTTCGAATGCAATATTGATCTGTTACGTTCTATTGTTTCTGCAATATGGTAGCAACTTTTGATGTAAGCACAGTATACGTATCGGCCCTACCTGGTCGGATCTCAGCTAAATATGTCTTTTTGTAATAAAGAAATCACATTTTTAGATTAGGGCTCCTCTGTTGATTATAAAATGCTTCATGTACCCATTTAAACCGCTTGTTTTGCTCATTTCTCCGTTTTATAGGTGTCAAAACCTTTTGGAGTTCTATTTAACGGAGAATTATCTATCGGTATGTTATCTTCTCAGCGTTTATTTGTGCGTACACATCTAGGCCCTGCCGAACACGATTGGCAATCTGACAAAGATGTTCCATTTTAACGTGACCAAGAACCAGCTTGTAGAATTACCCCCTGAGGTAAGGTTTTGGGTATTTATGAAGTCTGGGATGATGGTCAAATATTTCCTACTTGACGTTTTTTTTCCTTTGTGTACAGATTGGAAAGTGTGTGGCACTACAAATTCTCTCCCTTCGTGATAATAACCTCCGTCGAATACCTTCGGAAATCGGCAACCTCACCCAACTCCACGTTCTCGATCTGGCAGGCAATCGGTGAGACGGACAATCCTTTTCCGCTTTGTTGTATTTGGAACAGGTGATAGTAGCCTCTCGTTAAGTTTCATGCAGCAGTTAGCCGGTCAGTCGCTCTTTAAACGGAAAAGTCATCTTTTGGCGGTCCGCGTACTCGATTGTTTGTATGCGTGTGGGAGGGTGTGTGCGTACCAATAAGGCTTGATTTGCATTTCGTATGAGCTTTTGGTTCCCTTACACAGAATTAATCCTGTATTGACCTGTATTCTTTTGGCTGCATCACCTGCACCGTTTGATCGGTTGCGCTGATTTCATAGAAATTCCAAAAATGCCTCTTTCGACCAATAGAAATCCACACTCTGTAGTGCTTAACCTTTGTTTTAGCGTCTCAGAAGTGGCATGAACTTCCGTTAGGTCACGCAACTGTCTTTAATTCGCTCTTTTTTAATCGCTTGAAGTACCGATTCTTAAAGAGTCTTGTCCTTAAGTTAACCATAACCATTGAAATGGCTGCTGTGCAGCAACTTTGGTATTGGAATTACGATTTTTTCACATGGTGATTATTTTTTTTGCAAGTATTTTGTGAATTGAGAAACAGACCGCCCGTGAATCAATTTTAATCTCTTACGTTAATTGGTAAAAATATGCCCAAGGTTTTGTTTCTTCAAACGGGTTGATCTACCCCACAACTTGACGTCTTACTCCCTGTGTTTAATCGACCCCCTTCAATGCTGTTAATAAAAGTGACATCGCCCTTCATTTTATGCACCAATGGTAAATATTTTAATGCCATCTTTTTACGTCGATTTTGCCAGCCTCATTGCGGAGAGCTTTCAGCACAGCTGGATCTTTGAACTGTTGCACTTTGTCGAGTTTTTCTCTTCTTTCTCTGCAGACTTGATCGACTTCCAGTTTCGCTCATGTCATGCCCACTGAAGGCCCTCTGGTTGGTTCAGAGCCAGGCCCAACCGATTTCACTCCAACGCGCTGTGGACGAGAACAGTGGGGAGGAGTACCTAACCTGTTACCTCCTGCCACAGGAAGCCGATGACAGTAAGTTATATCTTGCTCTTTCTCTTATCTATCTCTCTTGACTTAGATAATCGATTAAGAAATAATATCATAGCTAGCGTCCGGTAGGTCTGAAATCAGACATGCCATCTTGAGCTCTCTGGTATCTGGGTCTCTCCTGAAATTACAGGTTATTTGAATTTTGTAAGGTTCTTTTTATGCTTTGTTAGGAAGCTGACAAGCATTATTTGGACAAAACGTAATGGTTCTCGATGCCATTTACGTCAGCCTAAAATAGAACTCATCTACCAACAGTCAGCCGTGGGTTTTTGGGGTTTTTAATGATGCTGCACAATTTGCTCTACAAAAACTGGTCATTGAAAATTTTCGAGGCTTTTCAAAGCTTCCTTGGTAATTTGGTATGTCTTCTGCAATTTGATTTCATAGATCCAGCAGTTGTTAATATCAGTGAGGGCTTGGTGCAATCCTGAAGAGATTTTGTAATGTTCAAGGTGCGAAGTCGTAAGGTGTTTTCGGGCTACAAAAGCGTATTAACCCTTTTATTTGCCTTGCTCATTTGCCACCTTACTCCCTGGCCCGTTCCTTAAAGTGGTTTTGTTCTTTTCTGCGCCGTTAACATCTTGACATGGAACACTTTTGGACACTAAAATCTTGGTTGGTTTTGATAAAACTGTAATTATTGTCCAAAGATCGAAATATTGCGAGCCTACGGAGGTTTGGAGACATTTTCATTTTTTATATAAATTTTCCGTAATTCGTGATTGACGCATCTTCCCCGTGGGAAATTCTACTCACGCCTACCTTTGTTTTGGTGTGAGGCGTTTAGTTATAACCCTTACCCTTATACGCTTTTTGACCTCAGAACCCCGTCGTAACACGCTTTTGACATGCAATCGCCTTATCTTGCTTGGAATTGAAGAGCCGGGTTAAAGTTGTGACACCGTTATTCATGGCACAACTAATTGACAAGGCTAGAACCGTGTAAATTGGCTTTTTATACTTGAGGTGTTTCTTTTTGAGTAAAATGACTTCTTTTGCAGTGCTTAAACCACCTTGAAAGAATATCAGCACGTGTGTGGCACATTTTTGAAATTATTTAATTTTTGGCGCGCCAGTTCTTGCTATTTCTTTACGCAAAAGTTGCAGTCGAGCATATTGAAAATGAGGGTGCATTCAACTATTTTATGGTTAGCGCATTTCCCTTCATAAAAAATCATACCGTCAATTGTTACCTGTAGTTAAAGATCTTCCTGTATATTTTAAGCGATGCCAAAAGATCTTCCAATTTTTGTTTGCTTAAAATTATGAGATGTTTGTAGATGAAGAAAGCTTGTTTGTTTGGTCGTAAACGCGAATATTCAAAGTCCAGACATCTTAACGCTTTCGTGCAATCCGGCCGATAACGCTCACGAAGTTGGACTTATCTGCGTATTCCCCTCTCGATGCCTTTAGTCGCTTTACTGAAGGGTACACCAAGGTCGCACTGGGCTATGCTATGAAATGGGGTCAAAGAACTCAGAGGCGATTCCCATGCTTCTAAAGTTTTGTAGAATACTAAGGGATAAAGTGGTTTAATACCATGCTTACGTACAAATGGTCAAACACCTCAAATCCTTGATTGTCCCTCTTGGAATGTGGCACCGCATTTTTAGCACAAATACACATTTCAAGTCACAACTTTAAAGAATAGATCTGCTATTACGTGACACAATTTGACAAATAAATTGGAGAGCACGCATATAAATACGTATTTAACGCAAGTTATTGTTAAATCTGATGAAGTTTGGCCCTGCAAAAATTATCGGGAAGAAATAGGGGTTTTTGTACTGCAAAAACAGAAAACCAGGTACATTTTGTCTTACTGAAATGATTGAAAGATTCTGTTTGATTTTTGAACCCGAAGTGGTAAAAAAATTAGGAACTTTTAGTGTCAACATTTGGTCTCTCGATGAAAGGTAGGTGACGGGACTTTCGGTGAGTACGAGTGACAATAGAAGTCTTGAAAATTTCACTAGGACAAAATCTTTGTGCACTGAAATTCGTTTTGATAAACAGAAGCACCGATAATCGTAAAACTGGGGGAGATTAACGTGGTAGTTGTCATTTAATAGCTTCAGCCTTTTGTGGGAGGAAAGTAGTTTGATAGGTCATTTTTAGGTAAAATTCTTACATGGTTAATTTGATCTCATCTCTTCCTTGCAGATAAATTTAGTTCCCATCAACTATAACGATTATCAGCGGCTTCCCAGCAATACGGGAACCTTTATTTTATTGCATATGATGCTATCGTTTGCACTGGAATGCCTCTCTTATTGTGGAATCCATTGCCTTCATGAATAGAATAGGAACTTGGCGTTATGCCTAAACATTTGTCCCCTTGCTTTATTTCAAAAGATGTCTGTCGTAATGGACTGCCTTCGTCAAACGCCTCTAGCCCGGGAGCAACATCGAATCAATTTAAGAAGGAACTGGAATCCACCAATGGAACTCTTCTGCCCACTACGCAAATCCCCTCCGGAACCTCCTCCATCATCAATTTGGAGGACGAAAAGGGGGTAGGTGAGGAGCAGGAGGGGGAAGAGGAGGTTCGTTGCTAAAGCAATCCCAGGCTTTGTGAAAAGGCGATGATCTCTTATCACCACCCTTTCTTTTCAGGACGAGACAACACGAGAGCCAACTTCGGCATCCACTCGAGTTCGATTTACTGCCGAGGAGGGCGTTACCAAGGCCACCAACGATGCAGCGGTACCTTTGATATCCCTTCTTCTCGCTCCCCCTTTTTGTTAAATTGGCACACTGACATATCTTTTTAGGCTCGTGAGTACCCCAAGACGAGGCATCCAATGCACCTGAAGAAGGTCATACTAAATGGCGAGCTCGCGCACAAAGTGGTGAGTGTTCTCCACTAAGCACACACAGGCACACGCCCCCAAACGGCCAGCTAACCACATGCAGCGGCAAAGGCAAGAGTTTATGGCACGCGTTCTGTGACAGTAGTTATGCTGGCACACATGGGCCTATGACTCACGAAACGCCATTTGATGCTTGCATGCATGTACTTTTTTATGGTGAGGCAAGCTGTCACGGAAAGTTAAACAATCACACGTATATGCATGCTCGCCCACACGCACATGTGCCTTTTTGGAAGAATGTCACGGAATCCTTTTATGTGAATACGGCCAAATGGTGGATTAACAGAAGTAAACTCACTACCTTAGCTCCGCGTCGTGGTTTTGTTGATTTGAGTCACGAATCATTAGGTGACTTTTCTGGAAAGTAAATTCAAAGAACTACGTGATTCGTTTGATTCTTCTGAATTCTTTTTTGTTGTACCGAGAACTAATCCTCCCTTATTTTTTGCATCACATTAATTTCGGACTGTATTTATCGTTGTTACATCCTTTAAATGTCATACGGCCGTTACCGATATAGTTCAAAGTACATTAAGTGCCTTCTCAAACTGGCTATAACCAACCTTAAACTTCCTTTGATGTGATTAGTCACTTTTGTTTTCGAGCAGCTTTTATTGGTCTCTTTTGAGTTTACCGCCGATCAATTTACAAAAAGTTTTTCAGGCCACCAACGATTCCAATACATATGCTTTGTATGTCATTTTTGGGTTTTTCCTTTTGATACCTAATAAGTGCATTGTTTACCGGAATGGAGCTGAATTATCCTACTTCAGAATAACTCTTTTCCTAAAGTAAGTGTTACACTGTATAGTGTTTTCGTTCATTTTTTGACATTTTTCAGAGTGACAACACACCATGTCTGCCCTCTAATGGTCTTGGTGAGTTTCTCTATCTGGTGTCACTTATTTGCACCTAAATCCGTCGTAATAATAAAAGTTTTAATTTATGAACTCATTAAATTTTTCTACCTGTCCTATTTATAGTGGGCCTATTCAGTTCACAATTATTTGCTTGTGGCCAAATTAAACTGCGTGGAATTTTTTCAAAACGCTCCTTTTATTAAAAAGTCATGAGGACCTTTTATTTTCATCTAAACTAAGTTTTACAATCAAATTACTCGTTAAGAAAGTTTGAGCTTTCAAAATAATGAAAATACCTCCATTTAAACCAATTAATTTCTTCAGTTATTTTAGAGGCAGTTAACGTCTGAATTAGTTTTTTTGGAACTGCATTCTCGATTGTTCACTTTAGACTTGCAACCGAAGGCGGACCAGAACACGTCTCATGGCCGACTTCAGGAGTATCCTGTAAGTTCTTTAGGCACTCTGATGGCTCCCTTTCTCCTTTTGGATACCTTTGACAGAATTTTGCCTCCATTTCGTGTTATTCAAGGTGCCTGTGTGCAAGCATCCAGACATCCAAGGGGAGGATTCTTCAGTGTCGATTTATCTTCGCCACCAGGATGGACCTAAACGCATCCTGGGCTCGAGTTCTGCCGCTAGTACTTCGCCTTTGTAGTAGGTTATAGAAGTTTTTTTCTGTCACTTAGCATCTGTGACTGATGGTGGAATCTGTTTGTGCCACCAGAAATTGCAAGCTAAGGAAAATTTTTAGTTGTTTGTCAGTATCTGCTCTCATTCCAGGTTCGCTGTTTCGCCTTCATCATTCCTCTGAATTCTCCTTTATAGCCGATACAGCACTTGTAAACGAAATGTTGCTGAACTCTGATTGTGTGAATAATCATATCTGTTTGGTAAGCTAAACGTGGCTGTTACCACTCAATTTGACATCTTCAACCGACGATTATTGTCCTTTGTTGTTGTTCACATCGTCATTCCAAGTCTTTGAACGTTGGGAATATTACTTGGAGTCACACGGGTTTGCACTAAAAAGATAGAAACGATCGTTAAACTGAACAGCCGAAAAGATGCTTGGATTCTCCATTAATTTACCAAAACTCACTGCTTGCCGGATGAAAATGTTCACGGATTGTTGAGTCGATTTTTTTTCGTGTTTAATAATTTTACTCATTGAGAAGTAAAACTATGAATTGTTGATCACCTGAGTCCGCTGGGGGTTATTTGGATCCTTAAAACGCATGAGTGTCTATCGAATGACAGGTATTAATATTTATTATTCATTAGGATAATTTCTTAAATAGATACTAACCCAGATAACAATGTTTGCATCACCGTTATTTTGCCATTGCCCCTTCTGGGTTTGTTTCAGCTTTCGTCTCCCACTCTTTGAACTCGTTCAGAGGTGCCGCAACACGTATAGAGAAGTGGCATTACGCTTTGATTACATGATTAGTCATACTTTTTATAGGTAAAAAATGTCCATTTTTATATGATTTGACATAGTGGGCTGATGACAAAACTCTCTTGCGGGTGTTCTTACGTCTTTTGTCGGAATTTGCTTTTTTTACATTTGATTGGATGAATGAATTGTGTGGTCAGTTCAAATCATCCAGATACCTTTAAGACTATCAAGATATTAACATGCGTACTTCTAGGTAGGTGAAAGCGTATATGAAATTGTTTTAACTTCGTGAGAAATTTTTGCCTGCTAAGAAGTTGCCAATATCCTAAAATCACATAAGCTATTTTACTCTCAACAGCTATCTATCTATTAGGAGCCAAATTTTATACTATTCATCTGCGGGGAGTTGAATTTTTGTTAAAGTCTGTCTTTGGACATGATGCAGTACTATTAAATTAAGTAATATTTTGGGTCGATTTTTTGATCATCCATGCCCTCCCTTGCGAAGTGCCAATACTCGTCCCTGCAATCGCATCGAGCTGGTGAACGACTGTGTTGGCAGTCTCAGCTCCGATCTTGGCTCGCCCATATCTACTGGCAGTTCAGGCGGCATCGACGAGCTGCTCTCGCCAAACGCTACCGTCTCCGCCGCTTCCACCTCGTTATCTAGAAAACTGTGTCGTCATGGCGCTGAGGGAGGCGTGGCTTTCGCTGAGACTCCTGGCGAACATCGGTTTGTCACTGGTAAGGGGCAGGAGGAAGATGAGGAGCAGGCATATAGCAGCGGTGGGGTAAGTCACCTAGTTTCGGCTTTATCTTACGAGAAAAAGAAGTAGTCAATAGTAGTGGTACTGTGGTCACACTATTGTTACCCTGCAGGCGAACGCGCTGTGCTTACTCTTTGCCCCAATTTTGTAGGAAAGTAATGCCTTTCTCCTTTCTGTCCCCTCTCTGCCACACTAGCTACCAGTGTTTACTTGTCCATACATTGCAGAAAATTTGATGATTTGGTCGACGTTATTGCTGTATTGTTGTTGCTGCGGACAGCTAAATAGTCATTCTTCTAAATATTGGTGCGAAAATGAGTTCTAACATTGCCTATGAATGAAAAATAATAATATGGTATCTTATATTGGTGGCGAGGGTAATTGAGGATTTTGATATTGAATTATATGAATGAGTCTTTTTGATTCATTTAATTTCCACTAAATTTATTCAGGTGTTTGCTCAGCTTTTGATTGCAGAATATTCTTGTATATTTTGTTTGGTAAGTAGACAAATCGGTCCTAAGTTTTACGTATTGTGCAAAAACTGGTAATTTGGCTCCCGAATTACACCCAATCTACTTCAACTCAAACTAACAAGCATTCAGTTACAAATGTTAAGAAAATAGTCGAGCATTAGGCAGTAGTTGGTTGAATTTTGAACGCCTTTAGTGTTCCGAGCTCACAAGCTAGTTTAAGCCAATGGCAGAGGACCAAATATGCAGTAATGCGAGAATGCCACTTAAAAGAACGGCAAATAATCACTTCCTGTTTTGTTAAATTAGACCAATTGAGTAACAGTCAGACTTCATAAAAATCGACCAGAAATCGTTTATTACATCCCACTTTACTAACTTTTGAAATCCATTCAACACTGTCAAGTGCCCACTTACAGGGTACCAAATACCCTAAACCTCCCAGGAGCTACTAGCACTATCATCTTTTGAGCTTATTGAAGCTCTGGCTTACCAATTAACCAAGCGGAGGTTGGAGCTGTTTTTTCGCTTTTTTTAAGTTCATGATAAATACCCAGTTGCATTTAATTCCTTTCGATTGTTACTCGTCCTTTCTGCTGTTTTTGGTGTCGTAGGAGGAGATTGACACAATCACCAAGTCTGTGGCCTTCAGCGACGAAGTGATCGACAATGAGGCCAACGCTAGCCAGAAGTTAATACGCCGTGATACCCCGCATTACACCAAACGCGCCCGCATTCACAGTAAGCATTTTCGCGATAGCTATGAATGTTTTGATAAAAGCTTATCCACTGGGGTATCAGTGGTCTTTTTTTCATCAACAAGAAAAATAGTTAAATAATCACCCCTTTTGCGACTGAGGCTTTTTGCCTTTGTAAAAAGATCATGTTTTCTACTGGTCTGGTTGAAATTCCCGGGGGGCTTTTTGTTATTCCAATGTTTGCTGTTTGTTCAGTTTAGGTATTTCGACACTTCTTTTGCGAAACCTAAAATCCAGAGGATATGAAATTGGTATAATTTATAAGTACGAAAAACATCCCATTCGAAACTCCCTTATGCAATTAAGTTGTGAAAATGCTTTACATACTTTTTGAGAAATAATTTTGCTCACACTTATACCAAAAGTTAGGACCATTGAAGACACATATTGCTCTTTCGATACCTAAATAAGAATTGAAGTTTAATTAGTGTCGGTGAGGGCATTTTACGAGTTAAAAGCACGATATGATAAAGAAGTGATATGGCTACCATCTCATTAGGCTATCATCTTTTGACAGAATAATTATTCCGTGTTTAGGTGAGTTCTTATTCCTTATGTGCGAGTCTCTGGATCTTCACAGTTGAATAGACCAAGTTTCTTACATGACCCACGAGGGAGTATTACTAATAAGGTGTTTCCAGGGGTTTCTTTTAGGCTACTTATTTATCTTTTCTAGCTGAACACAATATACTTCCAAACCAGCTGTTAATAATTATTAATCGTCAAATCAACAAGTACACAAATAACAATATTTATGGACTTTGGTAGTTTAAAGTTTCACGTGGTCAATTATGCTTCTTAGTGTTATAGGCGCCCACCATCAAGTCCTTTGCCGTCATTTGTAACAAACCTCGTCTTAAAAAATGGATTCAGTCTACTTTAGTTTTATTACCTTGAATCGAGTGCCTTCCAATAATGGCTTTACAGTTGTCCAACGAAGGTACGCCACATTTGACACGACCACCTAAACACCTGGGGTTTTGACGCAGGAAAATATTTAGATCGAAATATAGAGGTCCTGTTAGCATACATTTTTCCACTTGCGCATTCTTTGACAAAGTCTTTAGTTCATACATTTCCGTCGTCTTAACTGAAAGGTTTAGTTATTTTTACTGCCAATGTTAACTTGAATGTTCGCTGTAATTCTAAGCGCAACACCCGAGTATTTTTGAAATGCAAGCATAAAGTATCTATTAAATGTTCATGCACAACGTATGAGTTAAGCTTAGTTTTCCTCGGGATTGCCTAAAGTTGGCGAATGTATGAAATTAAAAGGAATTTGTGTTGCATGATTTCGCCTCTTCATGCAGTAAAGGCCACATGGAATAGCGTCAGCTGAGAACCTATCACGTTGCTCTTATTTCCCTTTCTGCAAAGTATAATCAGCTGTGTTTGAAATTATGAAAAATCCACAATCTATTTTGATCCCTTCTTTAAATGCATATCTTTTAGTGAACAATGAGGAGGCTGTGCTCAAACTCTTGAAAAAGTATCACGACCCCTCTGTAGTGGACGCCTTTGCGGACGGCAATGCTCCGGAGAACGTGAAGGTGACTGTGTAACCTCCAGCAACAATCCCCATCCTTTGTTCTCTTGTCCACGAACTTACCCCTTCCTTCTCTTGCTTTCAAATGCCAGACCACCAACGCCCTCCTTATGGTCGCCGCAGCGGCCGCTGCCGCATCGGGAAGTGGTGGTGGAACAATGGCATCGACCGACTCGCAATTCACTACAGATTCTCAGACCTCCGCGCCACCCACACCAGCTCCAACGTCGCAGCAACCACCACTGCCGAAAACGGAGCAAGTCACCCTCCACGTAACCCTGGAGCGTGTGCCGGGTGGCGGTTTGGGTCTGAGTATTGCGGGGGGCGTGGGTTCGGTACCCTTTCGTGGTCTCGATCAGGGCATCTTTGTTAGTCGACTGGCTCCTGGGGGCCTTGCCGAAATCTCTGGTTTGAAGGTTGGCGACAAACTACTCGAGGTGAGCTGCATGATGCCTTTTCTGTTCACAATTTGAACTTCTATGAACTAGCAACAACCCCCATTGATAGTAGTCGATCAAAGAAGTTTATCTCAGGGCTGTGGGAAATCACACGGTTTGAGTCGGATTAAAAGTGAATGAAGTTAGTCTTAATTGGTAGAAGTCCAACGGTGCTCGTCAAGTGGCCTCAGCTCACTTAAAGTCTATTTGTTAGCGTCTCCTTATTAGCCTCTGTAAGGATGTCTTTAGCCCTTGGTCTAAGACATTGTGAATCTCTGAAGATGATAACTTCTCATTTTTATGGAATGGTTAGGGCCGTCTTCTTGATCAGCTTACTTTAATGTTAATTTCCTATTTAAAATGGTTGGGTGTTACGAAGAAGTTGCTATTTTATGTTACTTGGAATAGTTTTTTGAAGTATCTAAGACAGTTTTTTTTATTCAATTTGTTAAAGTTTGCGGTTCATGGGTAGACCTTTTCAATGTCCAGTTGTCGAAAAATTGAAATTAATATTAATGCTTTTACTTTTTCACTTTTGCCTGCTTAAATATGACCATCGGGATTACCTGCGTACCGCTAAAAAGCCCATCCCCACTGGCCATCCGCGTGTTTTGCTATTTTTTGGTTCGTAGATGCAAGACTTACTCAGTGTCAAAACGTTGAGTTTAATTGTTTCCCATTTGGAAGATTGTGCTGAAAGGCATCATAGTTAACTACGAATTGATGAATTTGCAAGCCCCTTTCACATATGTAAAATTTCATTTTGTAAAAGGACGTCAAGTTTTATGTTTTTTTTTCTTAAAACATTGTTTGTACATCTAAATTCAGTTACTTGGTTAAACTTTGGGTCCATGAGAATGTTTACGTAATTATCGCGCACATCTCAAATTTTATGTTCAGGTTCGCAATAAATAAAACCAAGTCGAGGATAGTGATGTTTTTTCGTTTAATCTGTCAAAATCTTAAAAATAACTTTTGGGTGCGTGGATTTTTCGCATAAACCACAACCTGAAGTGCGTCAGTATTGCTAATCAAACTCCATTCTAAGTATTCGCCGTATTTAAGACTGCTAATATTTTCATCAGAGCTTGATTTTTTGTGCACTCCACGTGATTCCATCACCACTGTTGCAATTCCCGCAATCTAGCATCTCAAATATTGCTAACACTACCCATGACTAGCTCAATCTATTAGTGTTTTGGGAATTCCAAGTTGTAATGAATGAGACCTCGTGAAATGCCAGCCTTTTTTTCGTACTAATCAAATTTCATGTTTTTTTAATCTATTATGAGAAAAATTGAGCACTCCATACGCACTAACTACTGGTGCATGTTGAATATTAAGCATACATACATCTTAAATTGTGGTGAGAGAGGATGACAAATAAGGTGTCGCTCCATCTACCAGTTGCAAAGTTTCGGAGTATTCTTTGAGATTATCGGAGACTTACCAATTTCTCACCTGAGCACTCCGTGGGGTATTTGATTGTCACATCCTTACATGGAACACAAATTTGTCATAACGGTTAACTTAATTCCTTTACTGTTACGTTTTTTTCCCAGTGTGTTTTGCCAATTTTTTGCGATGTGGATGTGGTAAACCGCATGAACTTCGAACGAATATACAGTTGAGACATTTTCTCTTAGTTTCGTTTATTCTAATGGCAATAGTATCGGGGATTTTGGTCTTGCTATTACTGCCTCATAAATCTAGATTTTTTGAGTTTCTTATTGAACAATGAGATTTTAAAGTTTACATCATTTTGTTTGAGAAGCGCTATCACCTGTGAGTTCCCCAAAAATAAATATCACGGCAGTACAAGAAGCAGATCTTAATGAAAGTTTGTATGCTAGCAGAGTGGGCAGTGTGACCACAACCTCAGCTAATCGGTGTGGAAGTCTTTGCATAGAAGTTTGGCACTCTAGTACGCGCTTTCACTTTAAACCTTTTGCTATGAAAGTGGCTATTAATTGAAAATCGTACAAGGTACTGCGTTGAATTTGCTTATTCAAGCATTTTATGCAGAAATGATTTTTTTCATCCTATGGTCGTAAGGTAGTTCTTTTGCAGCCTTCGTACTTAGCGTTATTTACATGACTTGGGTGTCCTGGGTTAAAGTAGCACAGCACTTGAGTTATGATTCGAGACATTATTAGTCGTAGAAATTTGAAAGGAACTTCCCTAAGTATGAATTTGAAAAATTAGTGGGCTAGGTGGAATGTGCAGGACTTTGTGTCACTGGAACCAAGAATGACTCGTATGCAACCGTAAGTATCAGCGTAGCAATGTAGCAGATTAAGCTAAGTACCACTTTTTACGATAGAATCACTAAATATCGAAAAGACGAAGGTTTGTAGTATCTTGGACCCAATCACAAAACATTCAATGTAGTTGTCGACGCATTCGAAAATCCTTTAAATTATGAGAATCACGTATGATGGTAGTTTGATATCCACACCTATCCATGAAGTGGATTTCCTTTTTCTTTTTTTGTCGCCAGATGACTCGTTGTCTTTTAAGCATATCCATTCAGTAGTTTTTGGAGGGTATTCTTGATACACAAGCGGTTGATGCTGGTAATGCAGGTTGAGTTGTGGGCGTGGCAGTGGACGTCCATTGTGATCGCCCTTCAGTAATAAGTATTCCGGGCGTTTAAATGTTACACAGGTAACGCCTTGGTTGTACTTTAGCTCCAGAAATATTCTAAAGGCCATTGGAAGGTATATCCGCCTCAAAGTCACTTTTTATTGGAGTATAGAAGTAATGAGGAGGTGATACTACCAGTTAAGCGCGCCAGTGGGTGATTTGTTGATAGAATAGAGTACCTCTCGTTTTTTATATTAAGCAAGTGGTGGTAGAGTAACATTTGACATTTATTGAAATCGCAGGTGAACGGGGTGAGTATGGTCAACGTGGAGCACCAGGTGGCAGTGAGTGCACTTCGCACCGACTCCACGCGCTTCAAGCTCCTCCTCTGTCGCGAAGTGCCCGTGATCACCCAGCCCCTACCCAGCGATTCCGACGCACCCACCTCCACCGCATCCCCCACCATCGCACCCATCGCAGCAACACCACCACCACCCTACGTGATGGATCCACAAAGGGCGCATAATCTACCCTCCAGTCTACTCAATACCACCTCCCTGGGTCGCAACATTCCCAACGCCACTGTCCCATTCGTGCAGGCTGCTCCTATGGCCATGCAGGTGAGCCGTTTGTTTCCATTTTAGGCTCAGGAACAAGCCTTTGGTGGGTTCGAGGAAACGTGTTGCTGCATATAGGCATTCCTCTCTGTTGCTCTCAATGGGTTCCAATAATTTGGCTGTTCGTTAGGTTTAGTAGATATATCGTGCGTTTCATTTTAATCATACGTGTGGAGTAGCACAAAAAAAGTTTAAGCCCTTCGATATTTATCACAATAAACCACATTTCCAGAGCGTGAGTTTTGCTGTACTTCTTGAGCTTCTAAAAATGTTTGAGTGTTTACGCATTGTGAGAGCTGTGGTTTGGAGAGCATAATACGATCCAATGTGGTTTAATATTAATAACTCAGGTACTATTTCACTAAAAATAGTTTAACTGAATATGTCAAAAAATTTACTCTAATTTATAAGCACGTTTACCATTGTTTTGATGAAATATTACAATCTGTTTTCAAAAATTCTGCTTTTGGAAGCATTTAAGGAAGACTTAACAAGAGTCATATTTGATGATCAAAGACTTCTCAAAATGCGAAACTTGAGCTACCCGCTAAAGCGACTACTTTTTAAGTATTTACAAACAGACTTTGTAGAAGCATGTTTTTGGTGGCTTTCCTAATCATAAATGCTTGAGATATATTCAAATAATTGAAATGTTTTTGAAGATTAATATTAAATAGTTAGGTTGATTTTGGTTGAATTGGAATTTACTGTTTTCCATTTTATTCCTAGTTTGCTTAGTATACACCGTTTATTGTCAAGATTTCAACTTTTTCTCGTTAGATGATTGCATAGAATCTCTGGGAGCACCATCTCGACATGACGTAGGATACTACGGATAAGGCATTTGCACACCAAACAACCGAATTCTTCTCAACGGGAAAATATTGTTAGATGTACACTGTAAAAACGAAAACCCAATGCATCAGTTTGTAGAATTTGTAGGGTCGAAAGAACAAGCAACAGAATCGGGGTCTTTCACGAAGTGCTCGGAGGTCATGGGGTGATGCGTTTGATGCTTGGGTAGCATCGTGCAAAACCAAAACAAAAGCAGCATACTGCACGCCAAGCGCCATTCGTATTTTTGAGATTTCTATGCCTTAACAAGTTCTTATCGAGTTGGATTCCATAAGCTTGGGAAAATTCTTCTTTTCATAAAAGTTGTTTTTTGATGCCAAAACCCAGGGCTGCCCTCGAAATCCGCTTTTGTGTGACAAAAATGTGAAGTCGATCCGGTTTGTAAGAAAACCTACCAGCGTATGCACTGCCCTGCGGTGTTTCTTGTAGCTAACTCCCAAAGGCCCCTATCAGTTCCGTTTTCTTACTGTTCTGAAGGTAGTTTTGGCGATTTTTCCTTCTTTTAAAAAAGTGCATTGGTATTAAGGTGCCCAATTGTTCGCTGTTTACATTCTTACTTTTCTCCAAATGATTGATCAATTATCTTTTTTTCCGGGGAAACTTTTTGTGCTTCAACTTTGCATTTTTATCCGGCGAAATGCGATCTAGGATCGCTAATTTTTCAAAAGTGCAATCCTGGTAGCAAGAACGTAGGTGTGGATGCTACCTTTTTTGCAGCTTTACCTTTATTGTAGGTAGTCAAAAGTCGAAGTTTTAATGCTAATAACTCATTTAGTCGCTGCAGTGCATTGACTCACTACCGTATCTCTTGCTTGAGAATGCACTAGTTTTTGGCGTTTATTCATCTAAAGGCAGTGTCTTTCGACCCCTACTTTGAAGCAACATCTACCAGTTTGAAAGCGCTTTTGACAGCTTTCAAAATGGTGCAATACTGTGGAGTCAGATCAAGGATCAAAATAGACGTTTTTCATCACGTTCTTGCAGTGTCTCTCGATTATTGCCTCATTCGACTGCTAAACTTTATTTCACAAATTACCGCATGAAATTATTAAATTTCTCCCTATTTTTACATGGTACATAGGTCGAAACCAGATTTTTAGTCCTCTTATTATCTTTTCTAAAATGCGATTGAAAAGTTTTTATTAAATTGGTGATGTGTCCCTCCTCACTCAAGTAAGCGTCTTTTCAAATGGCGGAATATGATACCAGCAATTAACGCTTTTTCACTGCCTGTATTAGTGTTAAGCCTCGAGACAGTGCTCATGTTCATACTCAAAGCATTAACAAAAACAAGTTTTTTTAACCTCAGAGGGAAAGAAAGCGAGTGGGAGAAGTTATGAAGCTGTGTTTTCTCCTGGTTGGTTAACTTGCTGCAGGCAGGGCTAGCGAGTGTTCCTGATCAATATGCTAATTCCCTCGCCCACTTTGTACTTCCACCTCCCTGCCTTTTTCCTTGCAGTTAATTAAATGTACGCTGCACCGAGACTGGAGCGGATTGGGCTTCAGCATTGCTGGCGGCCGCGGTCTCCTCGGTCAACAGGCCGACACATCGGTGAGTCATTGCTGCACCTTACATGCACTAGTCCACCCAGACAGACACTATGCGTGAGGCCAAGCACATCTTATCTGAGCATTTCATCCCTCCTCCTCCCTTTCTCCGTCTAGGCTCATTTAAGCTTCCTCGAAGTAAGACGGTGGCGGCTAACGCATCTCGCGTACTTGATCAAAACCACTCCACACACACGCATCCGCATTGTTTATGCAGTTGATTTTTAACGCCAGTTTCGTTTCATCCGCCTTCCCCTTGGCTCCGATTCTAATCTCTACACTCTCTTGTTAACTTGATGTTCCCCTCTTCCTGCCTGCTTCTCACCCCACTTATGATTGAGTCTTCTTTTTCTGTTCTTCTTTTAGACCATCTACATCAGTCGCATCGTGGAGGGTGGTGCAGCTGATAAGGCGGGCAAGCTGCGCATTGGAGATCAATTGTTCAAAGTTAGTTTCCAAATAATGGATGCAGTCCCAGGTTTTTGTGCAACCTGCAGTATCATGCATGTGCTTTGTCCTGTGCAGATAAACGGCATTGATGTGCGGAATGCGCGGCACGACCAGGTGATAACCCTGCTGACGGGTGCTGGACCGAAAGTGGAGCTGGAAGTACTACGCAAACTCACTGCGCCTAATACTTCAAGTGCTCCCTACATTTCTGGTGTGTCCACCTTGTTTTTTCCTGTTTAAGATGACACAGCAACCCTATTTTGAAGCAACAGGTTATTTTAGGCTTGGTCTTGTGGGTGGAGAAACTTGTACTTAGAAGTCTGTTTAATTTTATTTTTTCACTTAGATTTCTGTGGATTTTCAGGGCATTATCATTAATATTGTGCACATAGTTTAAGAAATAAAATGCAGGCTTATGAAGATGGATGTTAGCCTTTGCTATCCCTAATTCTTAACTCCTCCTATGCTTGCTTTTGGTATTAAAAGCTCATTTCTCTCCTCAAGTTAATTCGTGCTAAGTCAGCACCATTCGCATCAGCATAAATGCGTTTGACTATATTGAGTACACATTTGCGACTTTGTAAATACCCCCATCTGCATGGCATTATCTGTAAGGACTAATGCTTGACAATCTATTTTTACCTATTTTCAGTAAAAAATACAAGTGAGTTGCTCTAATTTCGTTATGGTTTTGGGCCTGCTTTAGGCTAATCCGTTGAAATTTTGCTAGTGTTAAACTGCCCCAATTTCTCTAATCCACTTTCAACCGAAGATCGTTTTTTATGGGACCGATTGGTTCAACAACTCTTCTGTTACTTCGGCTTTGCCAGATTCTTACGGTTTCTTCCTCTGTTATTAAATTTAATGGATCAAAGTTAAAGTCGTCTTCATGGCTTTACTAAAGAATAATTTGTTTTCAAGTGTTTATTGAAGTTTTTATACTTAAATATGCCCCATTTCTTTTAGTTCACCCTTCATTATTCTATCTTAATTTGATAAGCTGATTTGACCGTTTTGCTAGTTTAGTCTTAAAACCCTATTAAGAATTGTTCGTACAGTTTTTCTCGGCTTTTGTAATTTCGAATACTTTGAAGCTCTCCGTCACCTGTAAATGCGAGTTAGATTTTTTTTCGCCGACCATCTGGGTCGCGAATTAAACCCGGATTCATCAATTCTTCCCTCATCACCTTAATTTGATAGACATTGAGGTCGTCTTGATGGCCGATTTACAAAGGCGTTTCCAGATTTTGTGTTCAGATTTATCAATTTGTGTGTTCAAGTCTTTTCAACTCTCCCAGCACCTCAAAATGGCACGATCTTCAAGGCTCCTATACCTTAATTACCAGGATATTTATCCACATGTGAGTCGTTTTGATAACTGGCTCACAGTTTCCTTTAAACAGTGACCGCAGAAATTCACCGTTTTTAGACTCAAGTTCCCAGGCCATTAATTTCCCTAGGAACTGACTAGATTTTCGAAATTTCCTCTACGCTACTAAATTGGTATGAAGTGATTTATTTGTCCGTTGAAATTATTTGTGTAGGCTATAATCTACCAATTCCTTCTGCCACTTGGAGCCATTTAAGTTTTCTTAGAGTTCATAAACCCTCCTTACCCTCCTTTTACAGGTTTGGGCGAAGGCTTCTCGCGTACCCCCTCGTTGGCCGCGGGACCGCAGTTCTTGCACAAAGAGGAGGGTCTGGACGTCTATCGGGTCACCCTCAAGCACCGACCTGGCAAGAGCCTCGGCCTACGCATCTGCGGTGGCTGCGATACTTCGTCTTTGCCCTTCGGTGGTGACTCTCCCGGTGTCTTCATTTGTCGAGCAAGTTTACCTTTTCGATCTGATGTTCATTCCTGTTTCTCCTGAATTATTTTTCGTCACTGAAACCGGGAGAAAGAACTTGTTTTCGATAAAATTTGGTGGTTTT